TTTTTCTAGCGAACATCTCACTGAAACATTCCTAATGTATCAAATTCAACGGCGTATCCTTCACCGTCTCTGGGTTCATTTGGACACAGTGCGAGCACAGCAGTGGACATAGCAGACACGGCCAGGAGCCAGAATACGGGAGATAAACACACAGGAAACTAATCGGACAGCGAGACACAAGGGGGCCGCCTGAAAGCTTGTAGTAACACGGGGGAACAGAGTCAGGCTGAGCAGACTTACACGACACAGCGGATCCCAGAAACACACAAGGAAGTCAAACAATCACACAAGAGGCAAGAAGACCGAAAATAAAACGGAAAACAAGCGAAACTGAACTGTTAGACCCCCATCAGAGTGTTTCTGTGAAGGGAAGTCACTCTAGAACTCACCCTTTAATTGATCATTAAATTCATTGTTGGTTATTTCTATACATCGATCACAGCTGGAGTGTATCAGCACTCAACATGCTTTCTGCTTTGCTGGTGGAGTCTGGCTGCTCTGACTCCACCACCAATGACTAAAACCCATCTGATGAAAGGAGAAAACACCCACTCTGTTTTCCCCTCATTCCACATCCGCTGTAGTGGCCTCCAATTAAATTGGTCTCCGGCTGCAGCCGTCATTATGGCCAAAGGCTCATTCATCAAAAGAGATGTACCTGGCTTTCTGACCCTGCTTCTCCTTATATCATGTGTGCACTTTGTTGGACAACAATCTTCTCATCTGCTGCTGCAGCGTGTTCACTGTCCCATTTGAAGTAATGCTTCAACCAGCAGGGCTCACAGACAGAGTCCCATTGCAGCTGCAGATGTGACCGTGTAACCGTGCATCAGGGCGAGGCTATCGGCCGGAGCCAAAGTCAAGACATGAGCTCGTGTGGCGATGGATGGTTCAACATCCCGCTGGAGGGATTTCCAAGCTCAATATGAGGATTAAAGGATTACATCGTATGATATTGCTCTGGATTTGAAACATGTTCGACATGTTTGTGCGGACGCTGCAACTGATCACATCACCTTTTTATTCAGCATGCCATCTGTCCGCACCTACATAGCAGGCAATGATTTCTTTTTCGGTTTGAAATCTGTGCCGTTCCCATCCTGGTAGCCATATGCTTTGTGTGACATTAGCTATTTAACTGTGGCTGGGTACTGTTGGGTTTTAATTAGCAGTTATTAGCCGTAGAGTGCAGCGCCTGCACCATGAAGCCAATATTTACTCCCCACACTGATAGCTGGAAACTGCTCATTTAGTGGAAATGTCTTTGTTTGCTGTAATAGCCTGGACCTCCCTTCCTGTCTGCCTCCTTCTAATCACCACCACCACCCCTGTTTAAACAGTTCAACTCTCTAATCCCCCTCTTGTTCCATTTTACACTCCTCCAAGACCCCAATCCTAATTTTCCACCGTCGTTCCTCTCTCCGTCTCGTTCTTCTATTCTGCGAGAGTTTTCCTTTCTCTTACGTTCACAAGGGTTAGAGGGCATCATTTGACCTTTATACTGAGTCCTCACACGGCGATTATTACCTACTAACTAAAACAACAACTTCTTTGTCCTCTCATTTTGGACTAAGAACCGATGAGATGCTACAGTGACTCACTTCTCCGAGAATTGATTTGAGTGGTTTACAGTATTGGTCAAATAAACATAAATACTATCTTTTTGTCTGCAGTTGTGCAGAAAACGATGCCCTGATTTTTTGGAGCAACATCTGAACCAAAACCAGTTTAATTCACCTCAATTACAAAAGCGCAAGAGGAGTCTTTGAGCACACAAACATATGTTTGAACAAGCTGGGGGAGCTGATGTTGATGATCTGGGACGTCAGCATTGAGCACCGTGATACGAGTGGGGAGATCTCAGGACTACCTGCTGTACGTTAGAACCCAATGGCCCAGACAACTGGAGCCACGCTGGACATTAACTGCTCCTTTCAGCTGTATTGCAATGTTAGAGTAGATATATCACACATGTTGTCGTGTCATATCATGTGTAAATGACGGGACATTCTACAACTCATCCTTCCAAATTACAAATAAAAGACAAACAACAGCATTCCAGGCAAATGCGGACACTGCTCAGGTGGCGGCTGGATGGAAAGAAAAGGCGTTTCACGCAGTCATATGTATCATTAATGGAAATAGCATGAACTAAAATGATAACGTATTTGGGATAGAAGAGTAGCATCATGAATGCAGAGTAACAGCCAACAAGACCCCCTATTATCCCTCCCCCCATGTCTCCATTCAGAGCTGTATTCGAAAAAGACAGCAACCGATTTCTCAGCTTGCAGCTCATTAATTCAGAGTGGTTACTCCAGAAATGGCAATTGTCCATGACGCGGGCAGATTAGAAAAAAAGCTTCCAATTTGGGCTTCAGTCTGTCATGGAAAGAGCTTTTTAGGATTCATGAGAAAGCGTACGGGATGACCAGAAAGTAACAAATTCTACCGCCGTCCACGAAAATACTCCATGATAAAATGATTCATTTACAAAGTTGTTCATTAGTGTTCACAGCGTCATGATCTGAACATTGTTTCAATTAATGGTGTTAACTGTTTTTAAATCTCCTCGCTTTATGTTTTTAATGGTTTTATGTAAAGGACTTTGAATTGCCTTGTTGTTGAAATGTGCTATAAAAATAAAAACGCCTTGCCTTCGAAACTGGTGGTGGTGTTTTGTTTGATGATATTACATTACATTACATGTCATTTAGCTGACGCTTTTATCCAAAGCGACGTACAATAAGTGCATTCAACCATAGGGTACAAACTCAGATATTAAAGTTGTCTGAGTTTATTCACTTAACTGACGAGTTTATTATTAATTTACTTAAATATACATACACTTTGAAGAATTTCCATCAGTTACGACATCCTAGAAGTTAGTTTGATAAAAGCAGGATTAAATGAAGGTGTTACTATGCAGTTAGGTTGTACGCAATGTGACCTATTGGGAAGGGAACCATGCTATATAGACTCTACTCTTGCTGCTTCTGCAGCTTCTGGAATGCTTATTCCTTGAAAACCAAATCCAAATAATGTGTATCGATAGTAACAGCCAACACTCAAACAGAAGCTGGCATTCAAGGATTAAGCGTGTTTGTAATCCTAAAATGAAAGCAGGTATTTAAGCCTTTGGTTTTCCTGCCAGATTTCCTGTGTTTCTTTCCTCCCACAAGCTTTTCAGTTTGTGCCTCCGAACATTTCACACATTCCTGTGTGTAATATTAGTTTTTCTAAATTTGTTGCTGATGGTATTTTTACCACAAAATGTGTTGTTTCTTCAGAGATCATCTTGTTCATCAAATATGAGTCTCTCTAAGAACAAGATTTTTTAAATAAACTAAATTACAAGTGTATTTTCTATGAATGTAAATTGTTTTAATTCATGCACACATAAAACACCATGGATTACTTGGACAAAGTAAAGGGTAGTTTTCATTGCTTTTCACTCAATTTGGGGCAATTTCAATTATCTTCTTGAAGGTGGTGGAAGTAAGTATTAATAATCAGTTCTTCAGTCTTCTCTTGTGGTCTGCGTATCACTTTAAGCGGATTTTCTGTCTGTGAACACTCTTCAGACAGTTTTCAAACTGCTCTGTTTGTCCAATCACCTGCGTCCCCTCAGTGCATTTAAACCATGTGTATCTCTTGTCTTGCTTTGTTTGTCAGTTCGGACGTTCCTGTGATCTTCATCCTGTGCATTTTGTAGCTTAGTTCAAACTTCTGTTTGAAAGATGGGTTTGGGTTTGAGTCTTGTTGAAACCCTGACAGTGTTCTCTGCTGTGCTGTGTGCACGGGGTTGGAAACCGGGAGTGTGTTTTAGTGTGTGTGTGATTTAGCACCCACGCTGGGTAGTTGAAGGGCATCCCCCTGCGGCTAGTTTGGAATTCAAGCAGTACAAGGCAAGATAAAAGGATAAGACATAGACATATTATTATCACATCAATCTGCCTTTACAAGCCTGGATCTCTGCCCTCTTATTATCATTAAGCTCTACATTTATAGGTAACTCATTTTCTATTCATGTAATACCTGGCGCTTGACTAATGGATGGTCTATGTATAGCAGCCTGTCTTATTGTTCCTCCGCTGTGCTCAGGCCATTCTGCATAAGAACAAATATTAACAGTCTAAACAGCAATAATGTGTGTATGACAGATCACGTCTACGGTGGCCCTCAAGCATACACTGCAAACCACAAGGCAGTGGTCAGTCTACCGCTGTGACGTTACCTTAAATAAAGTAATTTTACAGTAACATACTGGGAAATCACTGAAATATTCTGCCATACGCAGTGTGAAGTCACAGCTTATTGCTATTTTTAGCACAATAACTTACTGTGAAAACAATGCAGTTAGAGGTCAGTCATTTTGTGTGAATTCATAGTCAAATAACTAATACTGTAGTTCCTGTAGAGTTTTGTCAAGGATTATGTTTCTTTAAAAAACAGCACTAATTTAGGTCAAATCAGTGTCTTAGGTGAAAACGTATGGACGGAAGGAAGGACGGAATCAGCCTTTTGGCAGTTTTCTCAAAATGCTGAATTGTCCAAAAGTTTTGACTGCACAGAGAACAAGTTCCATGACAGAGCAAAGAATAAACGCCTCATTTGATGAACCCAAACCAGTTGCAGTACATTAAGCTCTATATTAGGTTCTTGTGCGGTTTAAGCGTACTTGCTAAGCAATCATGAGTCTAAAAGGAACCGTCTTAAAGCTGCATTCTCTCGTATGTCCACCAGGGGGCGGCTCCTCTGGTTGTATAAAAGTCTATGAGAAAATTACTTGACTTATCTTTTACTTTTCTTTCCCTCAGTAAATATTGTAAACATTTAGTGTTAAATACCTCATATAGCAGGGGATACTTTAGGGCATGGCTACCTTGTCAACAACAAACAAAACGTTCTGTTATTTCTCTGTTAGAAATAAACAACCGAAGGGAAAGATGAATGTATGAATATATGAAATGTTGAACACCATACTATTGAGGACTGACCTGGCAGGCATTATAGAGGAGCTGGTGTTCAAACTTCTTGATGCCCAGGATCTGCTGGAACATCTCGTACAGCTGGTCCTTGCTGAGGATGAGCTCGGAGGCGGCACTGGCCGTCATTCTCTGCTGGTGCTTCCTGGGGTCTTCTTCTCCTCGGTAGATGGTGTCGAATTTGGCGATCCAGGAGCTCAGCACCGTCTCTTTACTCAGGCCGTCAATCTCGGGCAGACTGCGTACTCGCTTCTCTATGTGCTTCTTAAAAACCTCCCGGGAATCGCTGGCCGAGCAACCGCCGCTCTGCACCATCCGGGACACACGGTCACTTTTCAGGAAGATCTGCAATCAAATAGCGGAATGACAGATTGGTTGTTTTATCCAAAAGATTACTGGTCTACAAATGATTTGTTTGGTAGGAAATTACTGCCAGTGAGGCCAGTGGATTCTTCACGATTACAAGGACACCACTTTCTATTTGTTCTGTCACTTTCATTTAGGAAATGTTTCTGAAAACCACAATTTTTTTTTCTCCAGTGGCCCACATTGTATTGAGATATTCTAAAGATCTAAAAACTAAAGTATTAAAACGATGTACACTGCTGATAGCCATTCTGTATGTTAGCCTCTTTTATTCGTTTCCTTTCTACCAATTAAAAGAATCGAGGAAGGTCTTCAATCACAACATTTCTTTGAAGGCCGTAGCTCGTGATTGTCGGGTGGTTAGTTCCAGTCACCTGCTGTCGGGCTCCTCGTACCCTTTGTTTCCTATTTTTAGCTGTTTCTCTCGTCTCCTTTCGCTTTGCCTGCGTCGGTTTGAGCCTCGAGCTGAAGCCAGTCTGGGACCTTTTTGGTTTTAATTGAATTGGATGACCTGTGCCTCCAGCTTCACTCGTTAAATATCAGGCTATTCTTATTTGGCTTGCTTGTGCAACCACCTTACATGATAAGAAAGGGCCAGTCAATGTATGGACACCTCCAGCCCAACAGATGCCCTTCTGTTCAACCCAACGGATCAAATCTCCACCACTATTACTATTTACCCCATTCTTAAAAGATGGAGGCCTACTGAGATGTACAGGTACAAGTCAGCACAGATAGACACCTTGAAGAAACTTAACAAAATCTTTGAATAGATAATCTCTGACGGGTTCCATTGATAAACGAGATATTTCTATTTCTATCATATATGTGCTTTACTCCTCCACGGGTAAATGGGCCGGGATTCTAAGTTGTAAATGAACAGTTTAACCCAGACTGTGCAGTGATGATTCTAGCTCATCTGTCATCCTATTTTATTTCCCTTTTCTATTCTTGGTGAATCCGGTCCGCTGAATCCGGGTGGTATGGGAGCACATTAGTAAGACAGCGTGTGCAAGCTCTGCATCATTTATCAGACACATTATCTCCCCTGAGGTTTGGACAATGTTCTCCACATTATTAGTGTTCCTGCTTGGACAAATTCACTTTAAATACCTTTCAAGGGAATTAGGCTACTTAGCAGGGTTAAAAAAAAGACTATATGAAATATTCTTTTTAGTATACTGGTGACAGAATGAAACATTCATGCAACAGGTAGTACAGACTCGCCTCGTAGTAGCTCTGGACAGCGTTGATAAAGGCTTCATCAGCAACGATCTGGGTTTCTCCGTTGAGGAACGCCTGAAAACGCTCTTTGACGGTCTGCAGATGCTGCTTACTGATCTGAAAAAGAAGTAACAGGAGCCAGAGAGGATGTAAGATGTGGAACTTAAAAACTCAACAACTATGCATAGATGATGTTATCTGTAAAAATGGACTCAAAAGCTATTGCAGTGGTTTTCAATCTTAAACATTGACCCGTGAATGAATCCTTTTAATGTCTAATAATCTGAGCGTACAAAGCACCGACTTAAAGGACATAAAACAGTTTCCCGAGAATCATTGCACACCAAAAGAACCGTAAACCGAAACTACCATAACATTTGACGAAATCCAATTTTACAGTGCTGTGAGCTTTTATTTTGAATTATTTGGTTTGGAGCTGCGGTGTCCAAAGTGGTCGGCGGACTTTGTGTCTTTATCCCATTGCTATTCTACTGGTGTTCTTCCCAGTTACCATCTACACTACCCAAAGACAAAGTGGCGGTCATACATGTGTTATGATTGAAGTGATCCAATAAACATTACAATATGCAGAACTGAATCCTCCTTCAGCAAATGTAATTACAGTTCCATCAAAAAACCAATGAGAGCCTCCCTCCCTGCGAGCAGACTGGCCGGTCTCTGTCCGCAGCCCTGGTAACCGTTACCATGGACACTGCAGCAGGATGAGATTAGAGCCTCCATGATGGGGGTTAAAGGTCACAGTTCAGATGTACCACAGTCATGCCAGTTGTGTACCAACGTATATCCATAACATATCGGTTGTGGGTCAGCGTAAAGTCTCACTCGATTGAAGAACTAAAAGACGCCATATTTATACGCTAGCAGTTTTATTCATTTTCAGACAGCCAGTAACATGATTTAGTCGGCTTAGACTTAAACTTTTTACACTCCGCCATTCATCTTAAAGTTCCCCAACAGGGTTTAAAGGATAAACCTCCCACGTCTTTTATTCTGAGAGACCAGCCTAATTATTCCCTGTTCAAATTGGACTACCAGGAAAACGCCAACATAAGTCATTTTTCATGTTCCTTGGAAGGACAGTTTTTAAAACATTTTAAAGTTATGAGTTGTTTGGGTGGAGCTACATGTTAAAATGAGGTCCACTACAAGCCACAAGCGAGTGTGTGAAAGAAGGGTCTCTCCCTGTCAGTCAAGACTGTGTATCACCGTGTGTGTGTGTGTGTGTGTGTGTGTGTGTGTCGGTGTGTGTGTGTGTCGGTGTGTCTTGGGATGTAACAATGATTCAAAGATCATTATTAAAATGCCACCAATGCAATGTGAGAAAATTGATACTGAGCTTCATCTTTAGGAATCAGCCTGTATTTTGACATGTCCATCCCCCTCCTTTCTATAAAGCCCAGTAATACAATTGCCAAATCCTATTTGAGTTGCTTTTATTGAGCTATTGTCAAAGTAAATTGATATGTTGTGTTTTGTATCCAGGGTGAACCCTTGAATGGAATCGAATTGGAATCTTTTCATGGGAGACTTTGTGATATAAACAAATCAAAAATCGTATTGTTTTCCAAAGAATCAATATAATATGGTATTGTTGTTTATTTATTAATATCGTGGGTACTGGGTATCTGAGAGGTATATTCAGACAATGGGTAGAAGGTTAGTAGGTATGCTACAGACCAATGCAAGTGTAACGGTAACATATAATGAGGCCATGATGTTTTAGAAGGACCCGTTCTGGCCTTGGATGCTTTTTGGCCTCTGCCCCAAAAATGGCATAGTAGCATAATGAGAAGTGTAATAACTGTAACTGCTTTGTCTATCTGGACTTTTTGTCAGGATAAAGGGGAACCCCTATGAGTGTTCCTATGAGAATCCGATTTTGAGAACCCCTGGTACGTTATTACTACTCATGATATTTATCATCCTTATATGATCGGGCCTAATACTGACTTCCTCTGCAGCGTTGCCATTGCACAACGTTGGTAATAGAATAGAAAAAGTGATCCTGATGACTGTAATGTAAAGTAATGTAAAGGCTGCTCATATAACCTGAGATTTACACATGTTTTATTGTCATTTAAATGATGATTAAGGCAAAGTATAATGACACACACACATAGTGATGTTGTATGGAGATGCTCTTTGACCATTAATGATTTCCCCTTAGGTTTTCTGCTCTTTCCTAAAGATATCGTTCCCCTCCAGTTGTGCATGTGAAGAGCCATCTGTTCTCACCACTGCTACTCCAGGGACGAGAAGACAGAGAAAGAAGAGTGAGAGCAATGACAGGAGCATCACAGGGAGGGGGAGAAGAGGGACACCAAAGGGAGAGGAGGGATGGGACGGAAGGAGAAGGGGAAATATTAATATAGATAGGAAAGATGAGATAACTTGTCGCAGCTCGACAAATACCAGTCCAGTGGTGAGCTTTGAGAATGTGGAGTGAGGGCCAAGCATGTAAATGTTTATTAGACAGCAGGAAAAACTGCCAAATATGATATATTTATATAATGGCATATGTTCCTCTGCCTTAAGATTACAAAATTACTATTATTAGCAAAAAGTACATGGTTCAACAAATTTAAATTTAAAATGACCTGAAAATGTTCTTCTCTCAGCCTGAAATATGTCTCATCCAGTATCCCTGCCGGTGATGGATGTCTTCCAAAATCACATGAAATAAGACAAAGATCAGAAGAAGACCATCTCTTGCTCCATTTCTAAGGCTTTTGCAGTAATGCGCTGCTGGTTGCTAGGCGACGGGAGCGGCAAAGGAAAAGTCGGTGATGCGAAACAGGAAATCCCCTGTCAGACCGTCTCATTTCAGAGACCGTTCTGTTCAGCTTCTGCGGCCTTCAAAGGCCGCGGCCCACGTAGCCCATGAAAGGCAGAGGATGCAGGATCAGGACACGAGAACTCACCGCGTAAACCGTTTTTAATAAGAGGCTAACTTTTTTCCTTCTTCCAAACTTGACTTTTGCACACAGAAAGACATACGGACGTACGGATGGACACCAGTGCATTGTGTCATCAGAGTCCTGGTGTGAGTGCAGGAAGGCTGGATGTGGCTCACACTCTTGTCTGACAGCGGTCGGCATTCCAGGTCTTTTTCGGTTTATCAGATTTTGACTTTTCCAATATCGCAGTGTGATAGTTATCTGTCAAATGAATATATTTTGCTTGGACGGAGACGCAACAAAAAACAGGTGTTCTGACAAATGGGATGTGCGCGTGTGTCGTGAGTTCCAGAGGCCACGGCCGTAGTTTCACGTGCTCTTACGGAGGCAGAGCAGATGGGTACGTCCTATCCGGAGGTTCATCTAGTGGGATACTGGTCCATGTGTTCGGACACCAGCAGCACAGGTGAGCTGCAGAGGATGAGCCGCTGTCCGCTCGCTTCAAACAACGCGCTGGCGAGTTTATTGACTCTGCGTGTTGATTTGCTGTTCAGGCTCAGGCTACACAACGTGACGTCAAGGATCCTTCGAAGGTCACACTCCTTTCTCCCTCTTCCAAAAGGGAACAAGCTGGAGGTCCGTGGTGATGACGTAACATCAGATAGACGGTTAATCCCAGATTACACACAGGCCAACAAAGGATTGAGAAAGTGTTCATCGGGGCGCGACACTCACACACAGGATTTGCACATGAATGCAGGGTGGCAGCCAATGCTTTCCAGCTCTCTCACACACACACACACACACACACACACCTTGCCTCATGCTGTGGCCTTATGCCGAATAAAGAAGGGAAAGTATGCTTTAACTCTTTTGTTCAGAATTCAATACCAACACTTGTCCTGAACCTCACAGCGATGGCACGGTGTTTAACATTGAAAGGGATCCTGTATGAAGACAGCTTCACAAAAAGCCGCCCACTCGCTACTGGCACACGGATCCGCAAAATTTGAATTATGACCAACTTCCTGACTTGCCAACAAACTATTAGTGCCAAAGATACTGTACTTCACCCATTCCCTGGCTTTAATGTTCTGTGATACGTTTCTTGGGCTGTGTAATACTTATGTGGAGCAATCCATTAGATGAATTTTACTAATCTAGCATTGGAAGAACACAGATAAGTCCTGGGGGAAAAAAAGCTTGGAGACCTTCAGCTGGGTCTGTTAGTCCTCTGAAACCAGGCATGTTGTGGATCAGTGGCTTATGGGCCTGTAGATGGCTGGGCGGCTTGTTGTGCTGACGTGTGTGCCAAGCGTGTAGAAGAACTACAAAGGCTGATGCAAATGACTCCAAAGTGCCATGTCCCCTTTTTGGAGATACAAACATGGCTGACCTCTGTGTGTATCTGTGAATGGATCATTCTACAGAAACAATCCCCCCAAATGCTGCACACTGAGCACGTTGAAGTGTGAGAACAGATTGCATTCGGTGACATCCTACATGCATGTATATATGTAAATATCATACATGTTACAGAATGTGCAGGCAACGTGTGAATGGGAGGAGGTGGTATGGCCCTGCGCTCTGTGGGGAATGTTCCGGTGGGCTGCCTGAAAGGACTCATGCTAATTGCCCCGTGGCCCTGCACACCGCGCTGATGAGGATCATATTAGAGTCTGGATCGGTACGATGACTCAGCCACAGCCTAATTACACCTTCTAAAAGTGGACGTGTCACAAGACCTCGGCGCACTGTAGCCCGTGTACGTTCATGCTGCGCGTGTGTGTGTGTGTGTGTTTAACCGCGTGGGTTTGTGTTGGTGTTTGAACACAACTGACAAGGCTTTTATCATAATAAGCGGTGTACGTGCTGTCCTCTTGAATTATGCAGACCCCATTGATCTGTTTCTACAACACACACACACACAAATGTGCTGCCTACCTTTGATGGCATAATTCAAAAAGGTTTTTCTATATTAACACTGATCTGAACGCAGAGAAAACTGGTTAGTTTTTGGTAAATGTTTATTCAGTGACACATAGAGGTGACATGGGTGTTGTTTCTGCTGTATTTTAGCGGCCTGCGTGACTGGACAGAAACAAACATCAGACGATGGATGTTTTTTCAACAAATAATCAAAAGTCATCTTGAACCTTTTTAAAACCTGACGCTCATATTACCCAGAGTGCAACTGGGCCACCGACCGGGTGAAGACTGAGTTGAGCCATAACTGCCCCCCCCCCCCCAGAGATAGCATTTCTCTAGAGATGTTTACTTGATCAATTAAGAACTAGTATTCCTACTCTGGCTACTTACAAGGTTATAATTTGTTTTGTTGATTTATTATCACTTTCAATAAACTGATAGTAAATGACCACATGCTTTTGGTTGGGGCTTCCATCAGGGGTATGAAGGGGTTCAATCAAATGAGCGGCTGTTCGTCCGACCGAGCAGCGGGGTCGAATTCAGCTGCGGACCTCAGATGATTTGGAATGTGTGCATATTGTGATTTACCAACACTTCTTGTTGCATGCCGCTGTGCCATGAGGCACAAACAAGTCTGTGTTTCACTAGGATTCTCTCACAGAACCCGAAGGATTATTTCAGAGTACAGTATGATTGAAAGTTACATAACACAGGCAAGTGACATGACAACGCCTGTATTGACTCTGTCCCATTATGACAAATCACACGAGAAGCCCAGATAATACCACGCTGACCCACTAATCGCACTTCTGCTTAATGATGGACTCCTCTTCATTCTGGCTCTGCAGCCAGAGCCCTCTGACTAACACCATCTTACATTATCATGTTGTTTTTTGTTTGTCTCTGTCTGTGGTTTTATGTTATTAGTTATTTAGTGTTTTCTGTTTGCTCAGCTGTTTCCTTGTTTCATGTTAATCTCTTATGTTTATTGTAATTTGCCCCACATGTGGCATTTTTCTGCTTGTTTGGTGTTGCCTACCTGGTTAAGAACACCAGCCCTCGATTGGTGTGCCTTTGGTCTATGCTGTTTTTATCGCCCCTTGTTTTGGATGTTCCGAAAAATGAGGAGAAGATCTGGTCTGTTCTGCTTTGGTTGAAAGGAGTGATGAAATGTGTTGTATTGATCTTGAGACCAGGGGCCTCCCTGTTGCTCTAGTTTTGAATCTGTCCTTTGTATGTGATTGATTGATTGATGCCTTAAATTACAATGCCAAAGGTCATACACATCGACCTCACTCTTGTTCTGAAGGTGCTCACGAAAAAACAACCGTTTGAAAATGGCTTTGTTGGATGGAAACATGCTAAAATCTCTATCTGGTGTATTTAAGAACCAAAATTATGTAATGAATGTATGAACTTGAAGCCATCAGGACAGCAAGAACCCATAAAAGCTCATCAAATGTGCTGTCAGCAAAATATATAAAACAATAATGATATAGATTATTGGGCAAAGGTTGTTGGCAGGTATGAAAAATTGTGTAAACTAAGAATGCTTCACAACAGGATCCATTCCTCAGGTCCAATTGCACACAGTCTGGAGGAACTCGGCTGGTACACTGTTCCAAACATCTTGGAGACCCACGAGACCCAAACACCCACGGATCCTCTGTGGGTGAATCCTTCATGTCCCTTCATGTAATCCCAGACAGACTAGATGATGTTGAGATCAGGGCTCTGTGGGGGCCATACCATCACTTCCAGGACGCTGGAGATAGTTCTTAAGGACATTTGGGGTTGTTGTCCTGCTGCAGAATAAATTTGGTGGTAATCAAACGCCTCCTTGATGGCATTGCATGATGGATAAATATTTCTTCTTCCCCCCGGTTCCTATGTTTTGGTCGTTGGTTGAGATGCTTGGCCTTGTTTCCATGTCGGAGGTTTGGCTTTTTGGCGCCAACTTTTCCATGAAGACAACCTCACGTCAGACTTCTTCAGACAGTACATGGATGTCTCTGGATCCCACTGGTTTCTGCCAGTTCTGAACTGATGGCACTGCTGGGCATTTCAAAAGAGCTGGAACAAAACATCTTGCTTTGGAATCTTTGTCGAGGAGACACCAGGCTGATGCACTTACAACTACCTTGTGACATGAACTGGCTTCCTCAACCTCACCTTGGTAGCAGAGTCTGGTCAACCTGCTGATCTTACTTTTTTTTTCCAGTTTCTCTCCAGTATCCCAAAGAAGGTCTCCAGCACACATCCGTCACAGTGAGAAGGAAAGCTCCACCAGTCAGTGTTGGCTCTCAGCAGTTCACATTCTGAAGAGTCCAAAACAAGAACACTAGACGGGACTAGACACTAGACTTCAAAGCAGCAACAAATGTCTTCATAAGACAGGTCTAAACATGAAGGAAACCTTTCAAACAAGGGACAGCCATGGCGTTTATCTCTTGTCAGCCCACAGCATCTTAAGCCCGGTGCAGTACCACCCACTTCCCAGCTGACTGGCAAATGTGTTTCAAGTAGGCGTATGAGCTCCAATGTCTGATCTGAACAGGGTATGTCAAATGACCTTCTAATTCTCTGCCAACCTGTGCGTCTCCTCTCTAGCACACGGACTCGTTGTGTAACTGGGTCTGAGCCGTGACGCCATTTGTGTGCCTTTTACTCCGTCTCTGCACTCAGAGCAGTTGTTTGACTCATTTGATTTTGCCCAATCATCTTCTCTTCTTTTCTTAAATCCAGATCACTCTGTTTACTTTTTTTTCTAGGGATGAATCTTGAGATGAGGAATGAAAGCTTCTGGTGTTTGTATCGTTCGTTTTACCGAACGTTTTGTACACATGCTAGTAAGCTTTTCCAACGACTAATCCTCGCAAGTTTGGTGCTGGAGGCAAATGATAATCTACAATGATGGAGCAGATGTCGTGGCCCCTCCTCTCCTGGCAGGGGCGGTTCCTCCTGCAGGTAGAGGAGGGTCGTTGGTGATTGGAGCCACCTGGGCTCAGGGTATTTAAACTGCCTCACTAACCATGTTCTCTCTCTCTCTCTGCTGCTCCAGGTATGATCCTGTTTTGTTTGTTCCTTTGTAGTTTTACTTAGTTTCCACTCAGTCATGTTTACACACACAGATTCACGCATCCCTGCACTTTACATACACCTTACATTATGACGTTTTCACGCCTCATTCCTTTTTCTTTGTTTAGAGTTAATAGTTTTTGGATAACAATAAAGAAAACCTTTTTTATTGGCCTGTACCTGTTGTTCGTGTCCTCTCATTTTTGCCACAGGCTATGAGCCGGCCTGTGACAACTTGTACACCCATCAATCGAAGCTAGACACTAACAAAGAAACAGCATAAAGCCCGTTCCACCCTGATTAAGGAGATAACCGTAAGATTTCTCTCAGACAAATCTTCCCAGAGTTACAACACCAAACATCCCATTCGATCGGTTTAGGGAGGTCGGCGTGGGATTTGGGAAGCCGAGCGTCACAGTGGAACGTCATCCCTCGCTCTACGTGTTCTGGCTTCCCAGGGAACGGCGCTCTTCTCCACATGCGGATACTCGGATCCAATAGGCGCTGATGTTTAAAACAAGGGGTTAAACTGAAACTGCCTGCCTGAGTTCTCAGAAAATTCTGATTTCAATACACGAGTTTCTGTGCCATGAGGCCTGTACAAACGCCTCTTTGGATTTGTGCTTTTTTTTTTTTTGTTCATTTTTATACCCTGAATATAACGTGGGTAAGGAAACACATGCTGAAATAAATAATGGATCAATAAGCAAACAAGTGCTTCTGTTACGTCTGATTGTGGTTGCTGAATCCCATCTTCACTAGATTATATGCATTGTGCAAACCAGGGAATTCATTACAACCAACATACGTGACTTATGTGAATGACTTTAAGTTATATACCTATAGAGGCTGATGGAGGTCTACTGACCTGCTGCTACTGACAAGTCTCTCAGTATAGACCCAGAACTCATTGAATCGCGATTCTCGTACAGTTTTGTCCTAAGTCATCATAATTCTACTTCCATCATGTGTTATGTGAAGCACGACAGTGGCTGGCTTCTTAGCGAAAACTTTTCCCCCTGATGATGATCAAACGACTTGTTGTGCAAACTACTGGTGCCGTCGGAGCCTCGTCCTGTCTTTTGATACCGGCACAGACCACAGGGGGCCTGAGCAACAGTAGAAAAACAGACCTACATCCAAGTCACAGACTGTTTCTTTGAAACTGGCATGTTTTAGTTTTTGTTTGTCTTTTTGAAACCTAGCGAATGAACCTCCCCGAAGGACCAGGATCAAAGCTGAGAGACATTTCTCCGTAGGGGATGTCGTCCACTGGTGAGGCTGCATCAATTTCTGCTGTGCAACAGATTGCTTAAGAGCTGGTTCAGACTAGCAGGAGGGGTGGGGGCCAGTGGGTATACACGCATACGCTCTGTAATGTCATGCTTCAGCTGCTCCTTTGTGTTGCCAGCCCCGTCCTTCTTTAGTCAGGATTCAGCGCATCGTGTTGTGTCTTTAAAAACCCGTCTGGCATCGTGGTTCCATGTTCATATGTTTTCAAACATATTTTTTATCAGAGTGAAAATGTGCTGCTGACCCTTAATGTGCAGTGAGATATACTAACTATCATCTCAGACTGCACTCCCTCCATCACAGTGCACGCTCTTTAATATCAATAAAAGTGTTTCTGTTTGAATCCTCTTGCCGTGCAACTAATAAAATGTGTAAAAAGAATCCTCTCTGAATATAACGTAAACCGAGTCATATTTATGCCTTCTTATATATTTGACCAAAGGCCGTCCAGCAACACGGTGCAAACGTGGAAGCAACAGTTGGTGTCATGTAACTCTGGCATGTCCTCCAGCAACAGAATATGTATTTAAACCCCAGCGGGAGGTTCCCCGTCCGTTGGACGGATCTTACCTTCTGCTGCCTTCTGGCCATGTCGGTAGGTTGCTTCGCGTTAAACGGATATGCGATGCAGCGCATCACAAACACATACAGCTGGAGTCTCTTCTTCCTCTCCTCCTCCTCTCGCTGCATCTTCTCCAGGTCCTCCTTCTCCTTGTCGCTGCCCACTGACGGGCTGGGGCTGGAGGGTCGGCCGCCGCCGCCGCCGCCGCCGCCGCCGCCACCTCCGCCACCACCGCCGCCGCCACTCCCACGGCCCCGGGGCTGGAGCCCCCCACCGGCGTGGCCGTCGGAGGCTCGGCCCGGTGACAAGCGGGCTCCTGCGGCGCTCTTCGGGGCCGCCACCTCTTTGCGCTCCACCTCCAGTATCTCATCCCCTTCCTCCTCGCTGGAAGACGGGTCCAACATTGTGTCCGAGGTCTGGATGGAGGATAACGGCTACCTGCCGCTGCAAAGGTAAAACTGCAAAAGTAGGAACAGATGCAGATCGCAGACAGACCACACAGAGGGAGAGAGAGACCCGGGGGAAGCAGCTGTGGAGACGGAGACCTGACTGATGATCACCTCTGGAGGAGAAAAACGCCGCCGTCAGACTAATCAGTCTCGGCGAGAAATAAAGATGAAAGTGTTGTAGAGTCTGTTTGGTTGCCTTTCAAGTCCAGCAGCCAGTGACACATAGGAGGGGTTTATCATTAGAGCCGATATTAAGGGGGAGGGGTCGCAGGGAGGGACAACGGGAGGAAGCGTTGTGTTGCTGCTCCGCCGCCCGGGGAGCAGAGGAGGAGGAGGCGGGGAGCTGGCCGCGGTGCTGAAACCCGATCCCCGGCTGCTCTGGGACCAGTTTGAAGAGGCTGCGAGCGCAGTCGGTGAATGGCCACCTGATGATCTATCTGAGTCAAAAGTCAGCAGGGTACAATAGCAGACCGGAATCAACGCGATTTGACTTTCACAATAAAAGCTTTACCGCTCACTCAATATAATATAATGCATGATCAAATGAATGATAGATTGAACTATTTAAAATATGACCCAACGTTCTTCCTGCAAGGCTATACCTCAAATCAAACAACAGTATTACCTGCATTTCAGACATTTAAAAAAAAAATACAACAAAATTCATTACAAAATGAAAACGCCTCTCAAATACCTTGTGAATTGAGTATGTGATCTTCTAATAGACGTCTGAATAAACACTGCTATGAGTCCCACATCTAATCCCATACCATCAATTGTGTCAGAATTTAAAGCCTTAATTGCTTTACTATATAGCACGATATCAATCAACGGAATACATTAATCCAACACACCAGACACTAATATGTTTGTATGATAGGAGTGTAGTAAGTCACTCATCCTCTTAAAATACATTTTTTTTAAAAGGAGCCCATGAAGATGTTTTTATCGCCTGTACCAATAGCACAATATAAAATGCACTATAGAAATTAGGTTGACCTTACTTGTATACCTTTATTGTAAAAAAAGACATCTTACTTACAGAAGAAACATTACAATAGAGGTTAACAATAAAAAGATTAAACCACAAAAGAAGTGAGAATATTAAAAACGGAAGTGATCTTCAAAGGCAGAAAAATGAATATGGAAGTGTATGTTATCAGGTAAATGCTTCTCCAACACACACAAAGGACACAGCTGAGACCACACCTGAACAAAGCCTGCAGCCTCCATTCAATGCAATTTGGCCGGTGACAATATGTGATCTATTTGGTTATTCCCCTGCCGGTAAAAGGACATATTAGTGTACATGTGAGCTGACATTGTATCACTGCACCAGAAACGCGGTGTGATAAAGCTCTCCGAGTGATCCAATTAGCAACAAAGGCAGTTAACTTTATCAGGATTAAACAGTTAAAACACCGCCGCTTTCTGTCTTTTCATGAGAAGATGGATTTGAAGTGGTATTGAGGGAAAGTGCTGAAGGCTTTTTTTGTTTTGCATGAGGAAATCTGCCAGTTTTTGGAAAGCAAAGGGAAATATACCAACGAGCTATAAGGCAAGGTGGCGATGTGAGATGATAAACAGAGAGCTCTCACAGCGAGCTGCCTGTGGGAGACGCCGATGCAGCAAGTCGGCACTTTCTGTGTGCAAACACAAACAAACCAGTCTCCACGGTGAACAACGTAAATAAAATAATGTATCCTACCTGAATATGTTTTTTGTTTGCACTTTTACCAACATGCGGCCAATCCTGTCTAAGACATGTTGACCCAGTTTGGCCCTCCACACAGGTCTCTTTTTGAAAATTAACTAGCTGTCTTACATGAAATGTACCCATAATCGAATGACATACCAAGTATTTTGCACTAAGGTTAAGTGTCATAGTAATTCATAACTGCTGTTCACTCACTTATTATTATTATTTAGCAAGGATTATAATGTAATATAATTCAGTTGCAGGGATACATTACAATGCATTATAGTGTGATTATACATGTATGTGGCCATTATTTGCTTTAAGTAAAGTGAAAACAATATTGTTAAATCTATGCAAGAATAACACAGAAATTCAAAGATTACCATTTGCTTTACTTGAATGACAGATCTGTTTGAAACACTTCTGTAGTGTTTTCTGAAATAGCATGCTGCTTGGATTACATAACAATTATGCGTGGAACAATTGAATCATATCAGCAACATCTGTGTAAAAGTTCACGTCTGGAAGTTGCAGTCTTGAGGCTTGATGAACTTGGGAAATATTAGCAAAAAGGTTCAAGCTTATAGACCAAAGACTCAACGTCCAGTTGGTTTCCTATGACAAATACATACTACTGTTGTGTTAGCTTATTACAATATGTGCTGAGTTATTTACACTAAATGTCGTGGTGAAATGTCATGAAAAAAAGTATTTACTTATAGGGGTGTTATTTGTGGGGGGGAAGTATGATTAACATGCTTCGTTGGGGGGAAGCAGAAATAGACGCGATTGCTAGATCGTGCTGGTGGAAATGGCGTAATGCTACTTTTTAATCTGCTAAAAAAAAACTACTGTCCATGAATGCAGCATTACGTAGTCGGCCCGGGAGGCGGGGAGAAGGGAGGACGTGCGCCTGGCCATGCGTGCTGGAGCCCCGCCCCTTTGCGATAACCCCCCCCCCCCCCCCCACCGACAAAATGACTACTGCTTTGACTGCTACACCGGTTTTGTAACGTCCGTATCCGAGTACACCGGAGAAACCACCGCGGTTACCGTCACGAAAACTCGACGTTGAGCTCGATTCTCTCTGCCGCCCCGTTGGCTTCTGTCTCGCGCTCCGGCTGAGTCGCCACGAACAGACTGAAGTGACGGTCCATTCATCCACAACAACAATGGCAGCGCAGGAATTTAATTTCTTGCTGGCGACCGACTCGTACAAGGTGAGCGGACCCGTCCTTCGCGCCGAAAGCCTCTTTCTGTGCGGCTTTTGTCTGCCCGGCGACGCGAAAATGAAATCCGTTTGTTTTGGGGATTCCTGCCGGGCTAACGACGCAACGCCTTCGGTCGGTGGTTGTCACTACGCGGCGTCGCGCGCGACGAGCGCCCGCTCAGCGCGCGGCGAAGTTCCCTCGGCGTAACGTTCGTCTTTAGCCGTGTTGTCAAACCGAAACCCTAACCCTAACCCGAAGAGCCCAGCAATACGTTAGCCTCAGCCATGCTACGTGCGACCTTGTTGCTAAAGCGCGCCGTGCGCCGTGCATTTGCTAAACGCGGTGATCTTTTTTCCCCTGGATGTACCTGCCCGGTGTCAGCGTTAGCAGAAAGTTACATCCGAACGAGCGTCCATGACGTGTTTGGTGGCAACCTTGAGTGCGGTATTTCGTAACACTATGTGGGGTCGTGCACGGCCACATCTACCGTGCGCGCTCAGGGGCCCTGTAAAGGAATCGGGTTTGTCCTGTTCTCTCTCTCTCTCTGGACGATGCATTTTAATCACGGAGCCCAACCGTCGCTGTCAGGTTAACTTTCAGTTTCCTTTCGGTCCAATCGAAACTGCTGAGAGGAGTTTCCAACGCACCCCCACGGCGTGTGCCAACGTGACGTAACTGATTAAATGCCATTGTTCAACAGCATTTGGTGTTGTAGTAGAATGCCTGACGTCACTGTTGGATGGCCTTGCACTGGAGCCAGAGGCCGAAGGTCTGGATGGTGACCAACTAGTGCCGACGACCCTCGGTCCAAAATGCGTCTCATCACAATCTCGTGAAATAATCTAGTTTGTGATGAGACCATGTCAAAGTCCACTTTGTGTACTGGCAGGTGTTGGCAATGGAACCAGAGTACACATACGCAGTAAAGTTGGGGGGGGGGGGGCTCCCCGGGCTCCCCGGGCTCCCCGGGCTCCCCTGATAGTCACTCCCCATCCAAGTATGTTGAACTTCAATGGTTGCAAAAAAGCCAAGACGGCGACGGCCAAATTCCCAAAATTCTATTGCTTCAAACCAACAGGCCAGGGGCCCCTGAGCAAGGGACGGGGCACGGGCACCACTCCGAGCGCACGGGAGCTGCCCCCCTAAAACGATGGGGGTTTATGCCGAGGTCACGCTTGTACGTGTATAAAAACAAATACTTGCTTCTACGAATCACCTGACGTGTTCTGAAAATAACCGCATGTGACGCGTGTTGTGAGCCTGTAAACACTCCTCATTTTTTTTCACTCGTTCGGGATAATCGTACTTCCAGGCTAATCTCAGAATAAGACCGTGCCTGTTCTGTTCTTCGTTCCTTTAGGGACTCGCGTCATTTTTAGCTTGTTTTCTTGAAGCTCGATTAGGGGGGAAGCAGAGGGGATGTAAATAAGAGGCGGGGGTGAGGCAGAAGAATGTGGAGTGAGGGCCTCTTGAAGCTGTTCCTCTCACTGACTGCCTGGTTGTTGCTGGTAATCATTCAATTAGTTCTGCAAAAAGAGCACAAGGAAAGATTTGTTCTTCAAGCCGCCATGATTTCTCACAATATTGATCCAGAAAACATGTTTACGTACACGCGAGCGTCACGTCGAGAAGCTCTACAGCTTCAGTGTTCTTGTTGGATTGATGTGTCTAAGCATGATCATTAGAATTACATTGGGACACGTTTAAAATGTGTTTCTGGGACCCACGAGCTGCCTGTGCTTGACTTCTGTCCGTGTCTTGTCTTTCAGATCACCCACTACAAACAGTACCCTCCAAACATCAGCAACATCTACTCCTACTTTGAATGCCGACGCAAGAAAGGCTCCCAGTTCAGTGAAGTGGTGTTCTTCGGTCTTCAGTATCTGCTGAAGAAGTACCTCTTAGGTACGGTCGCGGTCCTACCATCTGATCTAAGGGATACATGAACATATATCTATATATACACACATATCTAAAGACAGATGGAAACAGTTAATAGGAAATCTGCTGTTGAAGACCATATTGGCAGATGAAGTACCTTGTACTAACCCGGTCAGTGTGCTTTGTTGTCTGCAGGCCAAGTGGTCACAGAGGAGAAGATTCAGGAAGCCAAGGTCTTCTACCAGATGCACTTCAAGCAGGCCGTGTTCGATGAGGAAAGCTGGAGGAAGATCCTCGAGGTAAACAAAGGGATGTTCTAGCGGATCCCTCTTCATATGTATCCAACCTGAAGCTTACTGTGCTTGTAACCGTCTCAGAAACACGATGGGCGTCTTCCCATCCGGATCAAAGCCATCCCAGAGGGGACCATTATACCCAGAGGCAACGTGCTCTTCACCGTGGAAAACACGGATCCCGAGTTCTACTGGCTCACCAACTACATTGAGGTAAACGGGACGAGACCGGGTGATGTGTTTGCAGGTCACTGCCTAGTCTCTGCACGCCCGAGTCATAAGGTCCAAAGCCTTAACTGTGAGTTTCAAATCCCCATAATAGTACGTGACATCCTAAAATGTATTTATTTGTAGGGGCAGCTTTGTTAAAAGAAGCCAATCACTTTGAAATAGCCTTGTCCGTTTATGACGTGCAGATAATTACACTCCTTTCCCTTACAATATGTGTTTGATTGTAATAAATAATAGCCAACCATCAAAGTGTTATTGATATTTAATCGTATTCAGCGGGGATATCGTTAGCCATTAGCATTAACCAGCTTCCTCATTCTTTTATGTTACGGTGGTGCTAAACCCAAGTTAGTTTTGTCTAAAATGGGGACCTTTTTAAAACTTAAAATGTTAGAATGATGTCACGATGCTGTAAGGATCCTTCCTTCTGTTATACATTAATTACAAAAAAAGAGTAAGTACGGGTGCCACTAGCATTGCGGTTAGATTGTAATTGTGTGTAATCCAAATGGAGCCCTCCCTATATAATGGTGGAGGGAGACACTGGGCTCTTCTCTGATCAGATCATAGGAACTACAGTCGGATAAGTCATACGGCTCCAGATATCCGAGTGTCCTCAATGAGGGACAACAGCTAATGAACCACGGCACTTTTCCACTATGAATCTAATTTTATTCCACTCGAGGCTCTGCGGTGGAAATGAGAGGCAGATAAAGCTAAAGGCTTCTCTCTCCAAAAGACGGAGAAGGTCACTTTCCATGTGTACTTTAATATGTACCAAGGCGGCACAGTACTGCTCTTGGTAATCCATGGATGGTAATCCAGACATTTAAGTTTAAACTGTCAAAATCTACCATCTCTGACGTGACAGAAGATCTGTACTGTAGCGCTTTCGCTTCAATAACTGTCCTTTTGTTTGTCTTCTGCCATCTCTCACACCATCTTTAACCACCTCCACCTGCTGACCAGACCATGTTGCTCCAGATGTGGTATCCCATCACCGTAGCCACCATATCCAGGGAGTTCAAGAAGATCCTGGCCAAGCACCTGAAGGCCACGTCTGGGAGCCTGGAAGGCCTGGACCTGAAACTGCACGACTTTGGCTACAGAGGAGTCTCCTCGCAAGAGGTCAGCGACACTTTGGGGTTTTCTTTGTACTTTGTGAGGAAGCAGCGTTGAGGCTGAACGGAGATGTGTCCGCACCAAAGGACGTCTTTGTAATCACTGTCACCGCCGCATGGATCTGTGAAATCGCTTAACACACTCGCCGCCTGGCGTTTGTATAGAACATGGAAATGTCCCACGCGCGACGCAGTCCGTGATCCTCTTGTGAAAGCTGCTGCGTGGACACAGCTGTCATGCCGACGGTATCGCGTCTGGCCAAACACACGGCCCATTAAAGGCACAATTCTCTCCCAATTACACGCGCTCGTCTCTCACATTTCCCAAGCGTCACCCTGGCGTTTCTTTTGCCACGCGTAGCAAAGCTCCCACGTCCCATGACGTATCGAGGGGTGTGATAATAGCGCGGCGCAGCGAATCCATAGTGAAACTCTTTCAATAATCCGGCTTTATCGATTGGTTGTTGCAGCCCTAATCTTAATCGGATCATCTTTTGGTCAGAACGATGGAAAAGCCCGTGGCTCTAAAAGCTTGAGGCTTCATCACATGAAGGGCGTCACCTTCCCCCTTTGTGAGTTTGCAGGTGTGAAGGTTGATTCAGTCATTCGTCTCTGGTAGAGCTGAGCATGTAGAAGAGGATTCTGACATAAATATACTAACACAAGGTCCCACTTTGAATTGACAGATTGCTGTAAAGTCTTTTTGCAACCTGGTGGCAGTGGTGTGTTTATGGTAACATGAAGGCAGAGTTGAGTAGATAACTGGACGCCTTTAGGAGCTCTTCTCGCTGGTATCTATTCGTAGTCACATTAGCTGACCCATTAGTTCCTTTGTTATCATTGTTAATCTACTACATCCACCACAGCTGCTACTATTAATAGCAGAAGTCATTTTTTATTCTGCTTACTCCTCAATATTTAAATCATCTCTGTCACATGCTTTGAATGTTTCATTGTGAGCGTTCGGTAGAGAGGAGCTCGCGTGTGAACAGAGGCGTGTCCGTTGGATGAGACAACGCGCGGATTGTAATAAATTCCCCAGATGGAAGACGATCTTGTTCGTCACAAATGAGGCGTGGAATCAGGTCGAGCGGGTGTAACGTGGTTTGGTGTCGTGAGATCAGTAGTCCCACGTAGACCAGCAGACCCAACAACTACCAAGCCCCCAGAGGCACACGGGGCTTCTCTGAGGTGTTTGTGGTTTCGGAGTGATTCCCAGCGTCCACCTCTCCTCTCCAGTCTGCAGCATTAGGTGGAGCAGCTCACCTGGTGAATTTCTGCAGCACGGACACAGTAGCGGGGCTGCTGATGGCTCAGCGCTACTACAGCTGCCCGATGGCCGGCTTCTCCATCCCAGCCGCAGAGCACAGGTACCACACGCACACACCATCTTTAACTATTAGAATAGCATTACTAGCTCGGTGTTGTAACCTCCTTCCTGTCGCCCAGCACCATCATCTCCTGGGGGAGGAGCCGGGAGAAGGAGGCCTTTGAGCGGGTCCTTGAGCAGTTCCCCTCGGGGCCAGTGTCCGTGGTCAGCGACAGCTACGACATCTTCAACGCCTGCAAGAACATCTGGGGAGACAAGCTGAAGGAGCGAGTGATGGAGCGCAGCCAGGACTCGTGTCTGGTCATCCGGCCGGACTCCGGAGACCCCGCAGAGACTCTGATCGAGGTACGGGACGAGGCTGGGGGCTCCGCGTGGGGCTCCAGCAGAGGACATACCTCTTGTTTCCATTCGTATTGGGGTCAATAAGGTCACTACTATTATTCTGTTATATTTACTGTGGATAAAGTCACTCTACTCGTGGTTAGCAAGTACTCTATGTACTCACGACTCCCGGCTGAAGCCACAGCTGGAGTTTATGTGTATTTCAAGCAGCGCTAGCAGCTAATGGGTCGACTGCTGGTGAGACAAATTATGCACACAAAAAAAGACAAACTGAATTTGAATTCATGTGGACCATCCGGATAGAGGGATCCTCCTTCCTGGAGGGTCCTTCTTGTCTTTCTCCTCGTGATAGCTTGTTTTTTTCCTGTACTGATACGAGTCCTGATAAGACAATGTCACACGTGTAGACATTTTTGATGTGTGATATTAGGCTGTGCAAAATAAAAGGAATTTGAATGAGATATGAAGCACGACTCAGTTCCAAATGAAGAAGTGAGCCTACCCATAGTTAATGAGATGAAACATCATCTCCTAATCGGCCTGAATGCGTCATCCAATATAGATAAGAGACTGAAGGGTCCACTTCTCTAATCGTATCGTCTTCTGCTGATTGGAGTCAACTGGGACTTTGCACATTTATACTAAAATGATGTTAAGGACAATATGGCGTACTCCATACAATTAAATACAATGAAAATAGAGAATAGAGAATTTAGATAATTAGTAGTTCTTGTTAATCTTCTCTGAAAGTGTGTTTTAACTTCTCTTTAATGTATTCAGTATTAAGGGATGATTCAATGAGGCTGGAAGATGGTCAGATTGATACACCCTGTCATAGATAATACCTACATGTGTAAATTGAAATCCGTCCTAAAAATTGTAAAAATGCGCCTTCTGTAGGTCATCAAGATCCTGGAGGAGTGCTTTGGCTGTTCTCTGAACGTCATGGGATACAAGGTTCTGCCCTCTTACCTGCGAATCATTCAGGGAGACGGCATCGACCTCAGCTCCGTGGACGAGGTGAGAGCCGGTCTGGCGTTACAGATTTACAGTACAGGACCAGCTTGGTTTTAATCCCCAGTTAGATGGGAAGGAGAATCTGGTTCAATAGGCGTGAGACCCTGACTGAGAGAGTCCTTCCTCTTAAACAAGTCACTATCTGGGTTGCTATGGTTATGAGATGCCAAGACATCAACAGCCATTTCCCAGGTTTGGAATATATTTTAGTTGCTAGAGCATGTTGAAAAAGATCCTAAAACATAATGTCACGCACAATAAACAGCGTGACAACGTGTCATGTGAACGTTTTAATGACTGAGTTGTTTGGAATCTCTTACTGTGTTTGTAAAAAGTAAATATTAGCAATACTGGTTTAAAACCATCATTAACATGGAGGTTTGTATATTGTATACGGTTTTTAATGCACCACATTGATTGAAGTTGTTCTCCTGTGTAGATTCTCCAGAAGCTGGCTGACGAAGGCTGGAGTGCTGAGAACGTCGTCTTTGGCTGCGGCAGCGCTTTGCTGCAGAAACTCAACAGAGACACTCTCAACTGTGCCTTCAAGTGCAGCTACGTGGAGAGTAACGGCAAGGGGGTGAGTTGGGGGGTCGCCCGCTTGCTCAAGAGATTTGACTAAACTGCAGACTTCAACAAGTAAAATAAAAATAAACATGATTAACAACAATTTTTAGTGTTTCCCCTGAATCCTCTCCGCTCTTCGTCGGCGTCGGGTTGAGGATTGTGGTGGTTCACAATAGCTCGCTGCATCCTTTGCACAGAAGCACAGCGTGTGCTGCATTCCATCCATCCATCCATCCATCTGCAAACCGCTTACCCTGCACACAGGGTCACGGGGGGGTGGGGGGGGGTGCTGGAGTCTGTCCCAGCCAGCTTCAGGCGATAGACGGGGTCCAGAAGCCGGAAGAGAGAACCCACGCAGACTCGAACCCAGGACCTTCTTGCTGTGAGGCGGCAGTGCTCAGTGCTGCATTCCTTCATCATAAAACATAGTGACCGAGCTCACATAGTCGTGTTCTCTACTGCAGTTAAGATCCTTGTTTTATGCTTTTTAAAATGCTTAACTCGCCATTAAACGTTTCTGGAAACTTTGCTCCCCTTTGCAACCCGAACAATATATGACTCATTCAGCTCAGACATTTAAGCGACATATAACAGCCCCATGAACACAAATGCCAAGCTGATTTAATGCCCCCCCCCCACCTTAGCTGGGCAACTGGGTCTCAGTGGAGAGCAGAGTCGCTCTTCAATCAGAGGCCTCGGCGGTTTGATCCCCGGCTCAGCTGGTGTCTATTTTGATGTTTCCTCGCAAGACCCTTGACCCCAAGTGGCCCCCGTAGCCGTGACGACGTGTGTGAATGCTTGTCCCTGATGGACAGGTGGCTCCTGATCAGTGTGTGAAAGTACGCTTGCCTTTCACTTGAGTGATGCGGTCTAGATGTTCTTGCCTTACTGAAGCGAATAGGAATGCCGGCTGCAATAGCTGGACTGTGTGTGTCGCACGGCACCGTAACAGACACACACCTTTAAACCACACCACAGCATGGAAACCATGTCTTTCTTGTGCCGTTAATCGTTACGTCCGTGTGCGACGCCTTGATCAAAAATGAATTTAGAAGAAAACGAATAAAAACAGGAGGCGCTTCCTCGTTTCACAAACAATTTTTCCGTTTCTCACAGATGGACGTGTACAAGCAGCCGGTTACCGACCCGTCCAAAGGGTCAAAGAGAGGACGATTATCTCTGAGGAGAAACTCTGATGGCTTCCTGGAGACGATAGAGAAAGGCGCAGGCAAGCCTGAGGAGGTTCGTCCATGCATTTCATCTTTAATACACACCTTCTCTTGCTAGGCTCTTTCCGGTTTCTAAAGGTGGATCTTATGGTGCTCTGTGAGGAGTTCAAAGCTTGCCGTATGTTTTTACAACAGTTCTTCAATGCGCTCTGCGTCCTTTAGGATCTTCTGGTGACGGTTTTTGAGAATGGCAGCCTGGTGCTGGACTACTCCCTGGAGGAGATCAGGAAGAACGCTCGTCTGAGGGACGAGGAGGTGAACCCCACTCTGCACAACCATGAACAGGAGCTGCTGCACAATCACATCATCAACGGCATTCATTAGAGCAGCCACGAGGAAATGCACCCTGAGCAAGTCCAGCTCCCCCAGGGTGCAGGGGAGGGAAACAACAGCATATGAAAATCGTTTTATTGATTGCAGTAATCATCGGGTGTGTGTTACTCTTGCTAGTGCTGGTAAACGAGATGTGATTAAAAGTCAGCGCACGGCCTAAAAATGGCATCAGGTTTAGAGAAAGAGAGACGAATCTCCTCCCGGATGACGTCCCATTGGACGCCAAAAGTCAATGATGATTTAAATTATAATAATAACGATTATTTTAAGCTAAATCATGATTGTTTTACAAGACAGAACCAAGTCATTTGGTTGCCTTTTTGTTTTACGTACATTTTTAATACCAGGAGAAGACGGGGTCGCGGTGTCAGCAGGATATTTTCTCCCTTCCGCCCCACATCCCTCCTCCCCCCTTTTTAGTTTGTGTAAGAAACACAATGCGTACACGCGTTCAGGACACGAAAGAAGACGCCATAAAAGTGACCAGTAGTGCAAAAGAAGCAGGAAGCCAGAGCCCGGTGGTCCTGAACACATTGAATATACATCTAAATAAACTGTAACATTTGTCACTGAGATGGATGAGCTGTCAATCCCTCGGCACTCTCGCTCCTACGGGCCGTTTAGAACCACCAAATTCACCCGCGAGCGTGTTGTTGGCCCGTGGGACGCACGCTGTTGCTGCTCACCGCTCCACCACCAGAGTCCCCTCCGTCACTCATGCGTTTTACCAGGTTTTCTTCCGTCATAATAATAATCACGTGATGAGAATCCCTTCCCCTGACGGTGCTCGATGGTGGTGCAGCGGAAGCCTCCTTTACTCTTTGCACCCGGTCTCTTTTGCGCTGCCGAGTTAAACAAAAGCTACCAAATGTATCCTGTCATCCGGTGCAGACAAAAGGCTGACGTTGTCATGCTGCGGTAGATGAACAGTAACCACAGCTGAGGCGTAACACGGTTCGCTCTCTGGGAAGGAGGCGGTCAGCTGGCTTCTTGTGGGAGCCGCTGCGGAGACTCGATTAGGAGTTTGTGAGAATGGAACCTTGTGTTCTCTCACATACCCTAAAAAGTATTAGTTGGATCATATGGTTTTTAATATTTTTGTGTTGAACATTACATAATTTCAGATAATTTGTTGATATTCATGCAAATTACAAATAGTTAATGTAATTATGTTTTTGAAAAGCTGGCGATATTTGGCATTGCATCTTTGAAGGTGGACCAACTCCAATAGAATGCTTCTTGTGTATCTTTTGATGTTTGGTACAATACAGATTTTTCCCTATTGAGTTTTTTGTTTGTGCAGATACACCTTTGAACACCGACTGAATTCCTAAGTCAATATTTATACGATATATATATATATATGTGTGTGTATTTCCGGTCGAGGGACCTCCACGGAGCGCTCGTCATGTGCTGGCGAGGCGGCACACTGAGCGCATGCACCAGCATTAAGGCTGCACTCAAAGAGCACATCTGGAAGTAGTCTATTCATCCAACGACTAACTCAACTAAGTCAACTATTCTATTTTTTTGAAACCGCTGAATAATAAAACAATTTGTTCAAATAAATATTAAAAATATGTCTGATTAACAATAATATTACTTCTCTTAAAATAATTTAAACTGAGCAACATAATAGACCCTATTTGTAAAATGAACGGTAACAGCCTGAAACAGCTGCAGCAATGACGCTTATCGCTGACAATAAGACGCACAATGCAAATCCAACTATTTTTTGTAAATAATGATGTTCTAGTTGTGCCCTCGTCCTCGCTCACGCGCACAGAGGAGCTCGTGCTACGACGCACACGGAGGGACAGCCGTTTCTCACCAGCACACTACATGTGGTAATAATGGTTATCACTTGATACCAACTTTCAAACCGCTTTATTTAAGGGAACAGAGGCCTGTTGTTGTGCCCCGCTGAGTTCAGTCCGTCATGTCACCTCGTGTACTGGATCCTGGATTAGGGGGAAGGCCTGAATCGTTAGATGGAGAAATGTACTGCGAGAGGCAGGATGGGTTTGTTCAGTGTGACTGTTCTATGGACACCATGGAAACAGTGATATTCTCTTACATACAGTTATTATATAATAATTTATTTTCTTTAAAAGGCACCTTTTATGAACAGATGTCAGAGTGCCACAGAGCCAGCATATTGTAATAAAACGTAGAGTAGAAAACGCCTTCCTGACGTTTGGGCCAATCTTAAGAGTCAGTGACTGTTCATAGATCAGTTCATTCGTTACCAGCCTTCCTACTTTAGTTCAGTATTTTATTTCCCGGACTTTGTGTAAACGGTGTTTCAGGGCAGTCGTTCACAAACACGAGTGGGTTGCGGGGGATTTCGTTTGGGTTGCCAATTGAATTCGCTGAATTTCTTTTTTCCAACATTTCTTTCTACAGTCTCTTGAGCCTCATGACGTTGAAGTTGTTCGGATAACGGAATCGCCTTGACTCTGATACGAATGGCCGAGGTTCTTTCGTTTGTCCTTTTTACATGCATTCATTTTACAGGTCTACCATTTGTAAATGTTTCCAATAACACATTGATAACAGCGTTTAGATTCATCAGACTTGTACCTTTATCTACATAGTATGAGGAGACGTGGAAATCAGGAGCCTTCATTCAGGCACAAAGGAATCTCACGTCAGATGTGACGTGTGATTACTGGAGCTACTTCCTGAATAACGTAGAACGGACTCAAAGTGTAGTGGACGGATCAGCTGGTCTGCTGCAGGATCCATATGCATATTGTATGACTCCAAAGATACTTTTACACCTGGCTGTTGGTTTTCTCTTTTCCTCCCTTTTGTCGGCTCACCGTCTCCACTGGACACAAGCTTTACCTTTACATACATGACATTATGTTTTGTAAATAACTTTTTGAAAATAAGCTTTTTAACTTATCTGTATCTTTTAAAACGTGTCTTGATTTGTTTGTGTTTAACGAACCAACCTTTTGTAATATTAAAAACAGTAACACTTTAGAACTGACTGAATTTCTGTGTGTGACGAAGGACCAGAATAAAGAACCAAATTCTATTTTCTGGTTCTTCTTTCTGGTCTTGTTTTTCTCTGGTTCTATTTTCTGATATATTTTTCTATTTTCTGTTCTAGTCTCTGGTGCTTTTTCTGATCTATTTTATTTTAGATTGCTAGAAGTCTTCTTTAAATGTTCATTAGAATATATAAATTACCTTGGACTCTTCTAGCAACGATGTATCTTGCTACTATTTTAGCCCAATCGTTTCCTTTTTTCCACAAACTAAGGCTCATCAGAATGATTAGAAAGTGCATTCAGGGTGCTACTAATTTAAGCCATATTTATTTACAGTAAAAGGACTCACACTTGAGCCACTGGAGGGAAGCAGAGGCAAACAGCTGAGAATCAGCGTTTCGTGTTGGTGGGTGCAGATTCCTGAGCGGCCTGAACCGGCCTTAAAGCGTCCGATCCTCCACACTAAACACGGGACACTTAATGGATGATATGTGCACCTGTACTGGACCTCAAGGGCCCAGTCCCACTCACTACATTACCCTCCAGAATTATTGACACCCTTTAGTAAAAATGAGCAAAAAGGGCTGTGAAAAAATGTCTTTTATCGTCGTGGTCCTTCACTCAAAGTATTTACAAAAATCTGGCCTTTTCATTGAAGTGAAAGTGGAAATTATTGAAGGAAAAAAAGGAGGTTGACGTTAAATAAAGAAGTTTTCTCCAGAACAGCTAGAAAAGCTCATGTTTAAAATCCAACAGAAGTATTTTGATTAGGAACTCTTAAGTGTTCAACCGTGACTTCTTGTTTCACTGGGGTATAAATATGAGGTGACGCAGGTCAAACTTTTCACGATGAGAAAGACCCGAGAACACGAGTGACGATGTTCGGCGACAAGTTGTTGAGCTGCTCAAATCAGGAAATGGACACTATCATCTGTCTCCAGACATTTGGAATATGTTGACACGTCCACTATCAGGGCAATAATTGAGAAGAGGACGTGTGTGCACGTTGACCCAGCGCACCGAGAGGAGGACGCTTCCACCGGCAAAGGCATCTCCAAGGATCTCAGATGGACAATTGCAGAGGTTAGTTGAGTCTTTGGGTCAGAAGTCTCCAAAACTGCCATCAGACGCCACGCACGGCACATTATACATTTCCTGTACTATTGATGACATACAAGCATGATTTGAAAAATATTGTTGTCGCATTTTTGCTTTTTGCATCTTTGCAAATTTAAAAAAAAAGCAGAAATTGGGCAATGCACTTTGTATCGCCCTCTAGAGGTGTGAGTGAAACATAAATCTCACGTTCTGTGATTCATTATTCACACGTGCAACAAATTTGATGATGGTAACGTTCTGGAGATCTTGGAAACAGACACGCCCATAACAAGTTAATTGGTCCCCATCTTCTAAACACAATGAGATGTTAATAAGATCAATAGTGACTCATGGCAAACTTGGTGATGATCGGACACAGCTTGTAAGGGGAATTCACAAAAATGACCTTTTACATATTCCAATTGCCAGAAGATGATTATGTGCGGAGCTCAGGGGTCTTAGTGACTTTTTTGAAGCGGACGTGGGAACGTGTGTTGAGTTGACTTTACCCAGAAATGCACAAATGTTTTTGGTCAGTACTGATATGCATGCCAAAAAGGAACATTGTTTTCTTAAGTAAATCAAGTTGGAACACTTAAGTAGCTCTTATTGCGATCAATGTGTTCTTTTTCTGCATGTGGTTGAGAGCGAGGCCGAGTGGAGGGCTAAACAACAGGCATGTGCTCTTTGGGCGTTAATGCAGCACATACAAAATAATGTGTTATTGCATCTAAATATTATTCTATATTTTATTATTATATAGGTTGACCATGTGCTGCTTCAGTCATATGAATGCATGTCATATATAAAGTTCCCTTTATACATTCCGACCCAGTCTAATTAAGCAATACAGTTTCAGGTGATTATATAAAGAGAAACGTGAATCAACAATTCCAATAAGATCCAGAAGCTCTCCATAAACCTTTGAACGTGCTGACAGTTTAAACTCCTCATCACTACACATGGACACACTTGTGGAAGTAGGGACAACGTTTTGGTTGTTCCCGTCCGGACAGCTGATTGGCTGGGCGTTGTCATGGAGATGAAGGGACACGCGCACCGGGGCGGTTGAACTGGGATAAAAGCCCGAACACGCGGCTCTTGTGATGGAGAGCCGAGCGGCTGTGAGCCACACACCGGAGCCCCTGAGCGCGCACGGTGCGCGGCCGCCGCCGGGATGAGTCCGCCGTCCCGCCTGTGAGCTCCCCTCTGCGCACTCGGTCCTCCGCCCGGGGGTGATGGAGGCGGAGAGCCGCCTCCTCCTGCTCCTCCTGCTCGGGCTGACGGGCCTCCGCTGCTCCGCCATCGAGACGGGTGAGAGCAGACAGAAGTAGCATCGTCTTGACTTTGTTTTAATATGAAAATGAGGCGTCCTATGAAATATGTCAAGGACAATGTCATGATGACATGCATATGTTTGTGTTCGAGTCTGTTTCTTTCCTTTTAAACCTAATTGATTAAATTAATGACTAATGTCCTTTGATTTTCTACGTATTCAGTTTCAATACATTTTGATCCTGCACTGGGAATGTTGGGTAGCGCAAACTATTTAAACTATTAAAAAAGGTATTTAAATGTTATTACATTTTTTTTAAATAGCATACTTTTGTTGTTGAAGCAAATCGAATAAACCACTTTTTATTATTATTCCAAAAACGGTAAAATGTTGAGATTATTCAAAAACTTTGACTGCTGAATAAAAAGTGTTTATCCCTTGGATTGTGGACACTCCAAGGGATCATTTAATAAATATTAGGAAGATATATATGCATATTTATTACAAATTTGGGGCTGCGCCACTTGACATTTTGAAGCCTGTGAATTGTCAAAAACTATTGAAAACACATTGCATTATTATTTTTTTTTATCAGCGTTTCAGACGCCTAATCTGTCATTGACCAACTTGCCAATTTCCAAACATTTACAATCAGATGAATGTGTTCATCGGAGGAGCCGATTGTGACGCAGTGATGCAGTCCTCCCCATGCGGTCCACATAGCACATCAGTCCGTTGACTTAAAGAATTGGCTCTCAATCGCCTCATCTGGCAAATTAAAGGTCAACATACCAATCAAGTATAGATCTGCGGGGTTTATGATGGGGGAGGAGGAGGAGGAGGAGGAGGAAGGGCCTTTTGTAGCGGCATCACGTGTTGCTGGGGGTCATTCTCGATCCTCCGGTTTATACATCCGCAGCGCCTAATCTTAAAGGACTACCCAGTTCCTAAAAGGCATCTTGAGGAGCAAGAAAAGGATTAAATGAGATAGAAAAATCAAGGAAAAGTCCCTTAAACACGACGTAGGTCATAATACAATATCCTGTGTTTCTGTCTTTGTTTTTGGCGGCTGTGGATCAGGGAATGGTTGGTGGTTCGACCGCTGGCTCCTCCTGTCTACATGTTCCATGAGACCCTGAACCCCAAGTAGCTTCCTGGTGTTCTTATAGCAGCCTTTGGTAGAAATGTTCTGTGAAAAAAAGAGTGTTTTAGGATGTGTTGATACCATTAATTCAGTATTCTATGATAAAAGACCCGATATGTCCACATGGATTTGTCGTGTGTGGTCCACAAAGGCCTGAATCGGTTCTGTGTAAATCCCAGCGTTAGGATGAGATGCCATGGACAGTGAGGCTTCTGCCCTTTGCTACACAATGCTGTCTCACACACATTGCTCACGTCAGTGTGTGACACACACGTTCACCCTCTGCCTTTGCGTTCTTAAGTGGACTCTCCATTGACAATGACAGCATTTTAAATAGTATCATTTTCACACTGCAAAAATCTTCACCGGGGACTTTGTGTCCTGGGGTGCCCCATATTTTGGTCAGTGTCCCCCGAGAGTTTGTATTTACTTGCGTTGCAGGGTGGATGAGCTGTTTCCCACCAACAGGGGCTTTGGGACATTCCTGGAGGTCAGTGCAGGAGGATCTAGTTGTCTCCCACGGTAACGGAGCTAATAAACTCCGGGGGTGGTTGTAAATTTTCTCATTATTTGGCCTGTGGGCCAAAGGCAGCGGCCGATGGGGGGCGGCTGGGGGGGCGGCTGCTGGAGCCGGATCTGCCTTTCCATCTGTCCTGGTCCAGGGTCTGGGTTAGAAGAAGGATTTTGTCCTTCAGGCTTACTGTGATGTGTGAGAGTTTCATTTCTTCCTGACTCCTTGGAGGATTTGCCCAATCATAGGGATTCCTCCCTTTTTGATTTATACATTTGTAATCCTTTACGTTTTACATCTTTCATTTCATATTCAGGAGTTCCTCAAAGTGCTTCCTCCAGAACCTCCTCAGTTGCAGACCACAGGGTACCATCTTTACTGTGCACAGCTCGGCAAACTTATTCCCCTCTGTTCGTTTTAACTGTAAGCCCCAAATCTTGTATTTCCCTCAGATTCCTTAAATTATGGTTTCATCTAAATACCTTAAAACGATCTCTTCTAAGACTGAGACCCCCCAGGAATCTCTTTTGTGAACAGTAATACAACTTTATCAAAGGACAAACATAACAAACAGCTGTGAGTTGGACTCATTTCATTTGTGAAATGCTCCGTTTGTCAGCTCGTCTCATTGGTCTTTGTCTTGTCAGTGAACGTGGTGGACTTCTGCGGCCAGACCATCCGCGGCGACGGCATGATAGTCAACTCGCACCAGGAATCAAAGAGGTACTACTTTGTGACCATGGCGACGGACTGCCACCTCACCATGCAGGCCAGCTCCCCCAAGGACAAGGTCCAGTTCCACTTCCGCTTCTTCCTAGTCTACAGTCTGCTCCGAGTGGCCCCTCTGAGCCCGGCCCCTCTCCTGCCAGAGTCCCCTCGTGGCGCCGCACCTTTCAACCCCAGACTGGAGCCCACCTCTGGGGAAAGCTCGGAGGACCCCTGCCACGCCGGCTCATATGTCCAGTTCTATGATGGATGGGACAGGAACTCGCCTCCCCTCGGGCCTCCGCTCTGTGGGAAGAGCCCGCCCCGGCCCGTGTTATCCACGGGGATCTACCTGACCCTGAGGCTGGTGACCCGAGGAACTCAGCCCAGAGTGGACTTTGTGGGGGACTTCACGTCCTTCAGACTGGGTAAGAAAGACAGATGATTAGATAATAATAAGTGTATTATCTGTACAATAGCCACTCCCATCAAGCTGTGTCTGAACCATTGTAAGAGAACTGCTAATGTTAGTAAACCCACGTTTACTGCAAACTGGGTTTTCACTTACTATGACTTTTTTAGCATCAATATTGTCACCAGTACAATGATTGAGCTTCATGATGGAATTGTTGACAGTTTCTTCTTAGAGTGCAGCTTTATTGACGGATGGATGGTGTCATTTGATTGGTTGAAGTTACTTCTAGATTAGTACTAGATTACACAATTATATTGGATTAATTTATTTAAATGTATGTACATATTTTGTTAAACAAAACTGCACAATATGACCAGAGACAGACTATAACATAATAATATAATATAATAGCTTTGATCAAACATGTTTGATTACCCTCAAGGTTTCTATTTACAAGAGGACTCAATTATCAACCATGTTTCCTTTTTGCTCTCAATTCTCAATCAGAGAAACCTTTAGTTTCTATGGTTCATCAGCTCGTTCCTTTATTACTCCCAAACCTTAATCGTTATCTTCCTCTTCAGGTTTCAACCAATCAGAGTGCAGCAACGAACCTTATTTCACCTGCAGAAATGGAAAGTGCATCCCTCTCAGTCTGGTGTGCGACGATAAAGGCATCGACAACTGTGGGGATGGAAGCGACCTGGAGGAAAATCTGACAACTGGTTGTAAAGGTCAGTAAAGTGATGAAGTGACATTTGTGCTGCTGATATGTAAAGATATTTTCCCTGGTTTAACTATTTGTTGGGGGAACGTTTATAGATTTTGGAGACACAACAACAAATATAAGGCACGTTTACTGTTCAACAACATAGTACATTCTACCATTCAAAGTCTGACCACCTATCTGTCGTCCATCAGCGGGTCAGCTTTTACCTCCTGAGCCTCCCCCGCCAATACCAACCCCATCCCCACCCGTTGTGAATGCACCCACAGTGCCGGTTCCAACTCCTCACAGCTGTGGTGTGCCGGCCAGCGCTCCCAGCCATGAGTCTGTAACCGGTGAGTTTACACTTTGACAAAGTACATGTCTATTAATTCTATTAGTTGAAACACTCCCTGTTGGGAGGAATCAATCAATGTGTAATGCAATGCTCAGGAGGATGTTAGATCAGTGAACTAAGTACCCAGTTGGATGCAAAGTATCCTGGTTACTGAGCATAAAACTAATGGAGGAAACCATTGAGTTTGTAAACTTGTAAACCAATAATTGGTGATGGATTTTCACGGCGGGCAGCATCTCTTTCTACTGAGGGGCCCACCTGTCAGCTCCTGATTGCTTTCAGCTCCCGGCCAAGTCCGCCTTAGAAAATAGCTATTCTTCCGCCGAGACTGCTCCATTGAGAGCGGGAGAATGGGACTCACATTGGCCTGCTGCTCACATTGCCTGCTGTTTACGAGCTGAGATCCATTTCAATGCGCCCCGGTTGGCCCACCGTGAGGGACCAAAAGCGGTTAGCTGACCTGTTAGCTGCTACCTGTTAGCTGCGCTTGAATTAACTCATCCCATCTGAACAGTCAGCGGGCTCCAGCCATATCAACATGTATGGGTGATTGGTTGTGGTGACAACGCTAAGGCCTCGGTCACAAAGCTTTTATTACTGCGAAGAGGCCTTAATGGCAATAAATAGACGTTTGCAGGTTTCTGCAAAACCTGCATACGTTGCATGTCTATGTTTTCGCATTTGTTCACGGACAGTTATGGAAGTATATCGAGCAACGGGCATTCAGAGTTGAGTTATCAAATATCTACATGTTATAAATGTTTGACACTAAACATTGTGTGTGAATCTTATGCACTGTTTCAACTAATCTCAGCCAGGTGTCTCTCTAATGACCACCGCGGTAAACAAGCGGCAGCAAATGCACTTTATTAAAGCAGCGGCCTTCAAAGTTCGACTTGCTGTACAGTCGAGCCAAAGCACAACGGTAATCTCAGCGAGGCCCAGCAGTGTGTGCACGGGTGGTTCTGTTAGCTCTTAGCAGTTAGCCAAACACACTGTGCAAACTGTTTCGGCCACATGGAGGGGGCCAGATAAGAGTGTGGGGGGGGGAGCAGGCGGTCAGTGCCAGTATAAAAAGGTAATAAAATGTCTTCTGAGAAAGTGTGAGTCACTGTAACCAGGACAAGGCTTTGAGAAGCCGTAGAATCCGGGATTCCACGTAGAAAACGTAACAGATGAAAAGACAGTTTCAACAGCTCAAAGAAGATTTCTTTCTGTGGTTTGATAGAAAGTCTTACTCCATTCTTTACTTGCCTTTCTGAATTCCTTTGAACCGATTCGTGTCCACTATGTTGATCATGAAAAACATAGAATTCTCTTGTAGCGCTGAATACCTTTTATGAAATTACAGATTTGTATAATGTTATTTGAGTATAATAGTAGTATTTAGTGATGGTTTAATAAAAGTAGAGCTTGATACTTAAATACTTAAGTAAATCGTCCTCTAAAATCAGTGTTTTTTACGCTTTATTTGTTATTAACTCTCTCCCTCACGCAAAAATCAGAATAACTTTAAACTAAATTCAGTGCAGCAGAAGTTTTGTTAATAACACATAATTTAGATTAGTGTTTATGTGCATGACAAGTCGACTAAATACTCCCATGTGAACTGCATCTGTGTGTGACCCCTAGAATCGCCGGCCTCCCTGTCCCTGCTGGCGCTCTACACCATCCTGGGCGTGGTGGCCGGCGCCGTGGCGCTCTGCTGGTGCTGCTGGTCCCCCGGCTGGTTCCTTTGGCGCGTCAGCGTCTGCCGCTTCTTGCCCTGCTGCAACTCGGCCTGCGCCTCCTGCCAGCTCTGCGCCCGCAGCTGCGCCCATAGCAAGGAGCACCGGCTGGCAAAGGTCACCCCTCACGCACCACCCGACGGGGACCCGGCAGGCGCCAACCGCGCCGAAGACCGCGTCACCACGGCAGCTGTTTAGAGCGGGATGGCGGTCTGAGACTTGGGGACGGAGGACAGTTAGCACGTTATGTGACCGAGTATCTCCTCTGTAGCAGCACGGAAACAGTTTGTGGTTCGTGTGCGTTTTAGATGTGATGATGATGCAGGTGGGGCTGTGTTCTCATGAGAAGGTGAAGCAGGGTACAACATGAATATGGATTGTGTAAACAAGTATCTGAAAAGGACTCCACTCCAAAAAAATTGTTGTTTACATCACATTCTGTCCGCTTTTCAGAAGAAACAATACTTCAGATTCAATTAGTTGTAGTTTGTCTGCTCCACCTTAAAGGAGAGACTTGGTGCCGCAGTGAAACCACACTTCTGTCTACAGCTTTGACCCAGAGCGAGCCACGGACACATGCCGAGGGAACGTTAAAGTCACCCAGCGGGGGGCGACAGCTGTTCGCCCCCGGAGAAATTCCTCCCGGCAGTCCGCTGTTGTTCCACGTCTTTGGTCCCCCCCCCCCCGTGTGAAGCCCTCAACGCTTTGTAGGGAGGAACTTAAAATATGAACGTCTAACATGCTGTTAAAAAATGTATAGCAAACTACGAAAAATCTTCATCTTTATTTGAGAACTTAAAATCAACTTTTAGATTAGTTATTGTGGTGGCCGCATTTGAGGCTCGCAGAGGAAAGTGACCCCAATTATTTTTGAAAACAAGGTGTTCAAATAAATTACATTCGAAGTTGAAATGATGAAGATAAAATGTGAATGATGAAGATAAAACTCTTTCCCATTTTTCAAACCCTCCCCGTCGGAACAGGAAAAGCTCCCCCAAGAAATAAGAAATAAACTGCAACAGGGAGAAAAATGGAAGAAACTTTAGGCCGAGCGGCAGAGGAGGATGGAGGATGGACAGACTGCGTAAAGACGGACAACGTGTTCAATTCATACATGCGGGTTTGTCTCCTCTGACTGCAGCTGAGAGCCTCCCGTAGGAAAAAGGACGATTTAAGTCAGTGGCCTGTGATTGAGATGTGACGCGCGAGTCCTGCAGCCAGAGGGGGTGAGAACCAAAGTTTAGGTTGACTGTGTTCAGAGATGAAGAGGTGAACAACATTTGCCGCAAATGTTTGGGGGACAAAAAAAAAAGAGGGAAAGCGGAGTTTATAAATGAAATCAACTTTATTGGTATGAAAAAGGTCGTATATTTACAGCATATACACAGAGCATCGGGCTGTTCCTCTTGAACGCAGTGAGCGCTTGGATTGGCAGATCCGATGCGTCCGCTGGAAGCCAGGTGGCGCTACGCAGCAGCTCACAGCGCGCTCACGCTCTCTTAACTTCACGCGCTTCATTTTGGGTTGTGAAATCTGAACAAAATGGGTTTTTTTTCACTGTTTTTTTTGTGGAAACCAGCAACAGAATAAATAATGGGGGTTCATGTAGCTCACATTTACCTCAGGGCGACATCGAGAGCTGTTCATATAACCCTGATTAGATTCATTTCCAGACTACCTTCAGGAAAAGAAACCCTTCCTCCGGGGATGAATAAGAGAGAAATAACATTTTATAGCAAACTTATTGTGACATTGAACAATCTTTCCGTTTGCTGAGGACCCAGGATCCCAATACCCGTCTCACTGAGGGAATGTACACTCCCAACAGGCCTCTGCCTGTCAGAAAGTCTCAATTTCACCCGGATCGGCTGCCACCGGAACCTTTTGGGGTCTTTTAAGTGCATCCAATGCGTTAGGGCATACTTAGACAGCGCTTCTGACAGCGCTTGTGGGCACCGTTAACTAGCAGCACAGAATGGCAGGTAGCTCAGACACTTTTGTCTCTAAAGCCTCAGATTATCTACGTGTTGCACGGGTCTGCGGCGTGGCAGGAGCGGTTCCTTGATAAATATCTTCAGTCAGTAGGGGCTGACCCCTTTGGCTTTAGGAGGCGTGCAGCCGGTTGGCGACGCTCCGCTGGTTGAGTTTGTGGGTCTTGTAGATGATGGTGCTCTGGGTGACGGCGTCTTTCTCACGAGTCGCCGTTTCCTCCTCGTCCGCCGCGTCACCCCGCGTCTCGACCCCAACAGTTCTCCGCTCCCGGGCCAACATGAGGACCATCTCCGAGTCCATGGGCTCGCCGCAGGAGAAAGGGTGACACACGGCCTCCACCAGGCCGACGAGCGTGCCCAGTACTGCAAACGCAGAACCCACCAGGTAGACCTTCAGCAAACCGCGGCTGGGTTTCTGGCTCAGCATCTCTTTGGCGAAGGGGATCAGATCCTGCATGCCGTCCATTTGCGGTGGCTGAGCGGCGAAGATGAAGGTTGTGTGAAGACCTGTTAAAAGTGAACAACGTCAGAAGGTTTCAGGTGTCCAGAAGTAACATGTTTCACCATCATCGTCAACGCAACATGGCTGTTTAAACTCTTGAGAGCAGCCGTCCAAAGTGAAGCATGTTGACTTACTGCGAGGTGCTTGGTAGTTTGTTCTGGTCGCAGGTCCTACTCCAACTCACCAGCTCGAGAACGTACCTTTGCTGGATACTGCTGGGATTTATAGCCCGACTGTCTCCACCCACGCAGTGACAGCTGCTGAATATTCATGAAAGCAGGGGAGGACCTGTGAGCCAGAAACTTTCACCCAGTTGTGTGTAGGCTTATTCCACCAGTGTTCCTTCTCAAACGCCGTCAGAGCATCTGTCACAAGTTCATACTGATCTCTGTACTCTGAGAGGTTCGCGTGTATTGTGGCCTTTCTTGCTTGGACCACAACCGTTTTATTATTTGATTCTACCTTCACGTTGAGCTCAATAAACACAGGTAGTTTTTGGTAAGCATCTTTTACGGTAGTATGGAAAGGACAAGAAACACCTGGATAAGTACTCCAAAGCGCTTATGTAGTTGGTCCTGTCACAAAGGGGGGTCTCCATGAACACACGTTGGCATGAAGACGCACACAGACCAACAGCGTTAGAACAACCTGGACGCCAATTATTATCTCGGTTCCTAACCAGTTTTTTGTGTCCTCCAGCACCTAAAGGCTTCATCTGTGCTGCTAATGTGGAACGAATGTCTTCGCTTGCTTCATTTAGTTGCAGCATGACGTCTGGTGAGATTAACTTTGTCTATTTGCGTGAGTTTAATTAAGCTTTGCTGACTTCAGTGTCACATCTCATCTGTAAAACGCTTCATGTCTGACAGAATCAGCCCAGCCTCTCAGTTATGCCTGAACTCAGGTCATCACGAACCGCTTCCAAAACCTTTTATCCTTAGTATCAACTGGAGGAGGGAGTAAAACTAAATCATTGAGGTCAGAGATCAGATCGTGTTTACGGGAATACTGCAAACAATGACACAGCAGAATGAAGTATATATACTCAGCTCTATTCAGTCATGGGTTAGAATGACATCAACAGACGGAAATAACAAACGTGAAGCACATGATGTTTCTCAGTTTGTTTGTTGTCAGTTGCACTACAGGTGAATCCTCTACAATCAGGGGAAAGGTTGTGTAAACCTGGTCCCCCCCCTGCATCCTGACCCGGGGTCGCAGTGGAAGCACACGTCACGTCTCACGCACACTCACGCCGCTGACTCACAGCGAGCAGCGGAGACGTGACGGCACGGCGCCCGCCACACCGCATCAACTTCCCATCTTTTATTTCAACACAAAAAGGGATAAACGGTGTAACTTCAACTTTTCCATCCATTCTGGACCTCACGTTTTTACTTCACCGGACCGAATAGCTTCTAATTAAATGACACAGATGTAACTAATAGCGCAGATATCCCGCCTCTCTGAGGCCTGCAGCACATGCCGGCCACAGGGGTGACTTACCGGCACACCTGAATGAGGTGGACCCATCATTGTATTCATCAGGGTTACTCACGAGTGTGTGTGCGTGTGTGTGCAATCCATCTTTTCTCCACATCTTCTATAATAACCACAATAACAACAATTACCGATTCAGGTTTCAGTATCCAGTGGCTGTAATTACCCCCCCCCCCGATTTATGTTTCCTGGCTTATCTGCTCTGCGTTGATGTCCAGGCAGCTTTTGCTCTGTTTCACCGTAACCACGGCGGAGAGGAGGCGGCGTGCCGCTGTGGGGAAGGCGTGACGCTGCGTGTCTGGAACTGTACGTGCGCTCTGGTCTCTGAGTGTGTGTTTGCTTGAGTCGCGTCAGAAGACACACCCTGGACTTAGTCAGTGTGTCTGTGCAGCGCAGCACACCGCCCGGCGAAGCCTTATCACGGCCTGCAGGGCATGTGTTGTGTCTGGGGAGGGAGGAGTGCCCCCACACACACACACACACACACACACACAGTGCCTGGGCTGTTTTCTCAATAGAATTGACCTCAAAGCAATAAACACACTGTAACCAGATGGCTATAACAAATAGCTCGGGTGTTATGGATCGATACTCCGGTATCACATCCTGACATGAGTGAGACTTTGTCGAGACATGCAAGTTCAAATTCTGGCATTTGTGGAATTCCGCTGTCTGTCTGTCACCTGGAACGGAGGCAAACATCCACACGGGCCGCTGGCGTTCTGTAGTGAGCCTAATAACTAAAACCAACGCGCTGCCAGCAGTGACAGTTTGGGCTGTAAGTACACAGGAAACAAATTTGCTTTAAAATTGTGCGTGCGAGTGGCGCGCGGTGTCACATGTCGGCCCATTGCATCATGGAACAGAGCTTCAGCCACCCGAGTCTTAAACTGAGCTATTTGTGTTTCTGGTGTAGTATTTCATTTGATACAGATACAGCGAGCATCAACGACGATAACCGGTCATGAAGTCAGTAGTAACGGCGCGTAGCACCTTATTTCAGTCAGCTTGCGGCTGTGTCTTTGTGTGCGTGTGTTGATTCATGTAGAGAGGGCGTGGAGGGGAAGGGTGTGACTCTGACAAACACTGTATCACGGCGTGCAGGTGAGTCCGGCTCTATAAAGCAGCAGCTTGGCAACAGCGCAGTTTAAAAGAGGAAAAAAAGACGCATTTGTAGATCACATACTGGCTGAGTCTCATCAGCAAATACACCGTTAGCTGTTCCGGCTCGCCGACATTTCATGGTGTCTATCTGTTCCAGACTTTTTTAATTGGAGGGACGAAACATGAGAATACTTTTACTTCTATATGGTAAGATTTCTTTATCTATTTTCATTTTGCCTCGATGTTTAAATTTTGTCTTTGAACTTTGTCCTGAAACTTTTAACACCACACGTTTACGACAGCGTGCAGGTCTTTCATCATCCGACTGCACGTCTCCCTCCAACTGTACAGCAGAGAGGAGAAATACGCCTGTCATCAAAGCTTATATATATATATATACATATATAAGACTAATACTAACAAGCAGTTGACGATTGTGACGTCTCTGTGTGCTTTGATTGTATGTAACATTGCTGACATTTGCTTATTAGTGAGTACACTGTGATTTGTGTATTGTGTGTTTACTTAAAGATTACGGAGGTCATAGTTTTACCGTGACAATCGCAGTAGCAAAGGTACTTTGAAAAATCCTCATACCCAAAACACTTGGGAACCCACACACACACACACACACACACACACACACACAGCAGGGCACCGATTGGCGACCGGTTGCGATCGATCAGTTAATTAATATCGATAGTTCCATTTTCTGCTTGCTAATAATAAATCCCATCAGTGATGGAGAAGCCCACTTCATGCTGGTTTACCGTATTTACCGTAGGAAGTATTTGCACAGAGACGGAGTCGAAGGTTTACGCGTTGTTGGCTCGCGGCTCGAGGTCGCAGTGAATCAATACAGAAATTGTTTAATCCCGATGAAACGAAACAAGAACACGTTTGTTTCCAGAGATCAACCGTGTTCTTGTCATGAATACACAGTTTGTGTTAATCTCACGTCGTTAAAGTGCCGCGTGCCGGATAAAGAGTCGGCGATCCTTGAAGGGCCGCTGAACTGGACTATTGATGATTTCTTTTTTTTGTGCCTGCCGTTGTTCCCGCATACGTGCTTAAAACGTGTTGTAACCCTGCGTGTCGTTTGCCGGCGTCTTCCTCCTGACAGCCATCGCCGCAGCGTCACAAGCCCAGACTGACTGCTCCCGGGGGGCTTGTTACCCCCCCAGCGATGACCTGCTGTCGGGCAGGACTCAGCTGCTCCACGCCTCCTCCACCTGCGGCCTCATGGGCTCCGAGATCTACTGCACGCCGTACCAGCAGGTAGGAGCCCCGTCTCGCAGGACACAAAAAAAAAGCCACCATCAATCACCTCTCCCTGGCCACGCACGGCCTCCACGTGAGGCCTGCTCGGTGGGGAGGCGAGCGGCGCAGGGGTCACGGTAAGCATACAGCCAGGATGGAGGCTGCTGGCACTGAATCCAGACTCTTTCACCAATGAACCGAGGCGTTTGTGAAAGAGTCTGATTCCGGTGCCAGAGCGCCGTGTTGCAACTGTACTCTTTGACCGAGCGAGTCTGAATGAAACGCGCCTGCTGCCTCAGCACAAACACCCCGTCGCGGGGATTCAAACGCGGGTTTTGCAACGAGTTTGACATCCGGTTGCGCCGTGTTGCAAGAGAGCCCCACTAAGTGAGACGAACCCCGTCGTTTGTGACACACACTTTCTCTGTGGCGTCGTGTGTGCAGAGGTGTTCTGAAACGGCATTTAGGCCCGTGCACTTTACGACGACGCGAGGATTTTTGAAACCCAACAGCAGCAACAAAGAGGAACGTTTGCGTTGAGTGCGCCCCAGGGAACGGATAGCTGCGTTAGGCGTGGACTCTTTAAGGCGTCCCCTTTTCCTTTTTTTTATGCCCGAGCCGCACCTTGTCAGGACCGTCTCATAACACCGGCCACGAGGAAGACGAAAGCGCTCGCTGCCGTCTTACGAAAGCGGTCGGAGCGTGTTGTTCTCTGGTGTGTCACCGGCCTGCAGACTCTGGAGGGAATACTGTGTGATAGTCAGTGAGAATGCTTTTATACTCCTGTCTGTGGAACGGGCCGACGCGTCAGTGAGAGCCGTGAAGCCCCCCCCCCCCACCCCCCATACCCCACATCGCTTGTTGGGAGAATGCTGCATTTTTCCTACGTACATTTGGGTTTATTGCAGAAAGCTACCTTCTACACTCTGCTCACATGTTGCCAGACTTTTAGCCCCATTTTTAGAAATGGATGTGTTATATTCCGCTGTCTAAGGGTTTATTGATATTATCGTTTGTAGATCAAAACATCCAAAAAACCTCATTGCCTTCAAGTGGAGGAAGTGTCATTTCAGGGTTTTAGAACTCATGCCTGCTATTTTTGTTTGAATCAGGTCTGCGCTTTTATATCAACCCTCATTATTTTAATGAGTTGATCTCAAATTTCAAGAGGAAAGTCTTCCCTAAAATCGATGATGTACTCTTGAGTTTCTTTGGTCTTATTTTGAATGAGGGGATTTCTCCATAATTATCCCAGCTGTTTTTCACATACATGCTTCTTAATGCTGCACCTTCACCGGCAACGTCAATGACGACGTCCCTCTTGTCTTTCTGCACACTTGAACGTGAAGTAGTGGCGTTAATAATGTGCAGGCACAGATTCAGTTAAACTCTTCTTATCATCACGCCCCCCGTAGACTTTAAACCACAACTAACAACCAGACAGCTGGCAGCCACTGTGTGTTAGCGTGTGTTTTACAGATTACACACTCCGGAGCCAAAATCCACAAATCTTTAAAAATTAGAAACCACGTCGGCCTACAAAGTAAAGAAGAGCCTCCCGACCGGAGTCTGTGAAAGGGTCCAGTTAGATAAGATTAGATACTCACATTTGTTAAAGTGTGTTTGACTCATGTCTGCTTCTCGCTGATGTACACAAAGACGCCCAACAACGCTGTTTAAGGATATTCAGTGTGTTACCGGTGCGCGTGGTTAGTTTAGCTAATAGTCATAAGAGCTAATCCATCAAAGGCCAAACAATTTATAGGAAGATTTACTGATTAATGGAATTGGTTCAGAAGCACTGCTTGTTAAATGTTTTTTTTTTTTTTACAGATATTTAATTGTGTCCATTTGCATCATGAAATCCTTCCATTGCATCACCTTAAAGCCATTAATGGCACCACAGAAGTCCTCAGTCACGTGTGATGATTCTCATCTTACTGTCACATAGATGCACAGTGCACGATGCTCACTGGCACAAGGAGACGTTTATGGACACGTGGGCTGTGCGGCGTTACGAGACCTCTGTCACGTCCTCGGACACATCTGAGCGACTTTTATCATTTCCCCCCCCCCCCCCCCCCCCCGGAGGGGCAAGGAACATCAGCCTGGGTCACTGGGGGAGGGAAAATAAGTGTGCGTTTCTGTTGGAACACCTAGCAACCCAGAGGGAACTTTTGCCCCACCTGGAGCGCGGCCATGGTCTCCAGGCCAGAGGCCCCCGGACGGAGGAGGGGGGGATGGGGGGGGGGGCTTCTAGGTGTCGACCGGAGAAAGCAGGAATAACAGTGCGTACCTTCCCAAACGTAGCCCCCCGGAGCAGGGAGCAGTTTCATCTCATTCGATACCCTGAGGAGGTTCAGGGTCAGGAGACAATACGCCACCTTCTTTCTTTCTTGGATTAACTTTTCATGGTTATTTATTTAAAGCTGTCTTAGACGTCTACAATAGGTTTCATATAAATTCTGACTTTTATTTCACAGTGAATTTGTATATTTTCCTCCGTTTAAAGTTGAATTGGGGCAAAGTACCCCCCCCCCCTCTCCTCCCCAATGCTCTTTAGCACAATGTAAAGCTGCCAGTCGTCTGAGGCTCATTGATTTTCTGTGTGACCTGCTCGGTGACACGGCTTATCAAGCTGGCACGGCCCGGAGGTAAAAAAAGGCCAGATTTGGAAGTTGGTCTTTGGTCCTCGCACAGGGACACGACTTCACACGTGCACACGCCACACGACCACAGCGAAACTCTGCAGAAAGGTCCTTTGTCACTGATTGGTTTGCTTTCTGCTCCTCAGAGGAAGATGGAGTGTTGCCCGTGTGACTCCAGGAACCCAAACAGTAGGCTGGCCCACACTGTGCGGGACGTCCTGCCCACCTCAGGTCCAAACCGCTGGTGGCAGTCCGTGAAAGGTGGGCAAAGAACCAAAGAAAGACTTTTCTATTGGCAGGAGTAAAGTATACTGTGTATTTATTTAGGAGAGTGTTTTCCTCCTCACCTCAGGACCCTCACAAATAGTTCACTTATATTAATAAAAACTGTATTACCCAATGATACAGAATATTTGAGCAGTGTGTACTAACAAGAGGGATTTCAATCCAATGCATAATACCAACACATCAATAAATATTCAAATAAAAGTGAGCCGGGTTAGAACATACATTTCAAAAGGTTATAAATTGCTAAATGGATGTCATGACATTAATTTGTTGGGCCTGGTTGACATTATCAGACATTATATCTTCTTTCACAGAAAATAGAGATGGTTTTAATATTAACAATGTTTGAGTCATTTACAAACAAGATTTTTTAATATCTAAATGTGTTCAGGAATTCATATATTAAAAGAGCTGTTAGGTTTGCATATGACCGCACAGATAGAGACACATGTGCTAAGCCGGCCTGCCTGATGGCGATGAGTGATGGAGGTCGAGCAGGATACGTACTGCGGTAATCACAGACAGCCAGAAACAAAACTAATTTGAAAGAATCCGCATGTAAACGCTGTTCTGACGCTGTGTTCTGCAGATGTGAACCCGGTCACCCTCCAGTTGGACCTGGATAACCTGTTCCAGCTGGACAACCTGGTGCTCAAGTTCAAGGTCAGAAGAGTCACCGCGGGGGTCCCATCATCATCTCATCAAAGTCCTCGCTTCGCTGTGAGGAGACCTGGGTGCTAACGGAGCCTGTGTGTTGTCGCTGTGCAGGGTCCTCGTCCCAGTTCCTTTGTCATCGAGAGGACGCTGGATAACGGGCGGTCCTGGCAGCCCGCCCTCTACCTGGCGACTGACTGTGAAGGAACTTTCCCTGGCGTCTCCACAACGCCGCCTCTGCGCCTGGATGACACATACTGCTACACGCTGCCCCCTACTGGTGCGAACCCCTACCAGGACTACGAGGTAAGGACCAAAACACGTCTTCATGCAATCATTATGGAGTAAGATGGACATGGCCAACAGCACTGTTAATACTGTCTATTCATCCACATCATTCTGACGCTTAATAACGTGATTTATCCGTTTCAACAAGCAGATCCAATGACTTCTCTCAGCATCTCATGGCGTAAATGTCTCCTCTCCAGGTCCAGTTCAGTCCTCTGCGTCAGTACGCCAATGTCCCCACTACTAAAAGCCAAATGATAGAAGGTAAGTCACCCAGCTTCATAAGGGAGTACAGCCGGGGGAAGGCTGCGGCCCGCTGACTGACCGCTGTCTCACACAGATGTGTCTGGGTTAACGGGACTGAGGGTGAGGTTCACCGAGCTGGGAGACGTGCCGCGTCCTCCGGGCAGAGCTTTCAGCAGGTTCTACGCCCTGAGGGAGATGAGGGCGATGGGCAGCTGCATGTGTCACGGGCACGCCAACCGATGCCTGCCCGACACCGGCAGCAACCAGCTGCCAGACGGCGTGCAGGTCCACCCTCAGTGTGACTGCCAGCACAACACAGCGGGGGTCAACTGCGAGCGCTGTGCGGAGCTCTTCCAGGACCTGCCCTGGAGGCCTGCTGAGGAGGGCAACCCCCACACCTGCAAACGTAAGACCCCCCACCCTCACCTGCTCCAGGTCTCAGTGACCAGCAATATGGTGCTTGATTTGAAGAAGGCCACTTAAGGTCAGATGCATGAAGTGACGCGTGCGTCACGAAGGAGGCAGATGCTGCGTACTGACCCTCGGCCCTCTCTCTCCCCCCAGGCTGCGAGTGCAACAACCACGCCCAGCGCTGCCGCTTCGACCCGGCGCGGTACGAGGCCAGCGGGCGGAGGAGCGGAGGCGTGTGCGAGGGCTGCGCGCACCACACCGCGGGGCCAAAGTGTGACCAGTGTGCCGCGGGCTTCCAGCCCAACCCCCGCAGCCAAATGGACCGCCCCGACGCCTGCATCCGTGAGTGCCGTTCACCCGCCAAACGGCAGGCGCTCTGAACTCGGCGCCGGCCCCGAAATCTGACAGGTGTGTTTTGCGTTTGGTCGGCAGGCTGCATCTGCAACGCCGACGGGACGGTGAACGGGGGCCGGTGTGACGAGAGCACCGGATCCTGTCTGTGCAAAGAGAACGTTGAAGGTCCCCGCTGCGACCGCTGCGTGAGGGGCTACTACGACCTGAGCCCCTCCAACCCTCTGGGCTGCTCCGGTGGGTCATCCTGACAATAAGTCATCTATATGCTACTACTACGCCACTCCCAGGAGGCCACTTTCTCTCCACCACGACCTCTGACGTTACCTCTGCTTTCCAGAGTGCTCCTGTTCTCCAGACGGCTCCCTGTCCGACGCTTGTGACCCGATTACCGGCCAGTGTACCTGTCGCTCCCACTTCCGAGGCCTGAAATGTGAAGTGTGTTCACAAGGCTACTGGAAACCGCCCTTCACAGGGTGCTGCCAGGCCTGCGGCTGTGACCCCACCAGGTCATACGGGGACACCTGTGACCAGGTGTGACCTCTCCCCAGCAAGCACACGGGGGGATATTTAACTTAACTTTGAATAATTGGAGTGATAAATAAGAACCTGGATGGAGGTAAACAGTCGCGTCCATGTCTGCAGGTGACGGGTCAGTGTCAGTGCAGGCCGGGCTTCGGAGGCCTGAAATGTACAGAGTGCGCAGAGAACACGTACGGAAACCCTCTCACCGGCTGCAAGCGTGAGTGATTTCACCCTTTGACTGCGGGGCGGTTGGCATGTACGACCTTTACCCCAGTGAGGTTTAGTTTTGTTTGCTGTGTTGCACATGGAAAAACAAAGTTGACCTTGTTTTGAACACGTGGTTTATAAAATTCCCATTTGAACACAGCCTTGTATGTACCTTAGACTCACACATTTAGCACTGGCTATTTACAGCTCGTAAACCAGTTTGAACCAGATTAACAGGTCAATCCTTAATGCCCATTAGGACATGAACCCTGCATGGTGTATTATTCAACCTTAAAGTGGGTCTCTTCCTGAGGATCTGGGCCATTTCCAGTCTTGGCGGAGGGGTTTATCTGCTGAGCGCACTGGAGGAATTGGGCCTTCTCTCCTGATCTTCTTGTCTCTCCTCCAGCGTGCCGCTGTGATGCTGAAGGAACTCTTCCAGAGGTTTGCGACAAGCAGACGGGAGCCTGCTTGTGTCGGCCCGGGATCAGCGGGACCCGCTGTGACTCGTGCAGTCGAGGACACTGTGACTCCTTCCCCGGCTGCGAGAAATGTCCCTCCTGCTTCTTCACGCTGGACGCCCAAAGAGAGAAGCTCAGCTCCGCTTTGGAGAAACTCTCCCTCAGGGTACCTTCCCGCCCCGGCGACGGGGACCTGGGGAACTTCACACCTCGCATCCGCGTACTGGAGGCCAGCCTGAGCCTGATCCAGAAGTCCATCTCCCTCCCACCCGGCGTCGCCGTACAGGTGGATGATGCTGTGTCTGAACTCAACAAGCTCAGGTGAGAAGATTCAAAACACCAACGAACGCTTTGTAAGCGTCCCATCGCGCTTGTGCTGATCATGCATGTAATTTCTTCTCCCTTTGTTTTTATCTCACTAATGACCAATTGAACACAGAGACAAGGTGGACAAGATTAACGATGACCTTTCACCTCTGGAGAGAGCTCCTGGTCTGGACTCGGAGCTGGACAGACTGCAGGCTCTGCTGGACAGCCTCACTCTGGTGTACAAGGCCAAGGTTGACGGAAAGGACAACTCTGTCAGTCCAAACAATACAGGTGAGACATCAATACTGGAAATGTGTTGAAAGGATAGAACTTTCTATTCTCGGTTTCTCAAAGAGACGTTATAAAATAGAGTCATATAAAATATATACCGACGTTGACCTTTTCTCTCCATTCAGGAGCGTTCTCCGCCATCAAGAACGCCTACAACGAGTCCACAGACGCAGCCAAGAAGGTGATTTCCACCAAGAAGCCGCTGAAGGAGTCCGCTGATATCAGAGAAGCCGCTATGGACCTCCAAAATACAGTCCAGCCAGGCAACACCAGAGACCTGGACAAGCTGAACCAGACCATGGCGTCCAAGCCCAACCTCACCCCCGTAGCCAAACAGGTAACATGATCATTCAGCGTGGAGATGCATTATTAGCGTCTTACGTATTTTCAAAAATACTGCTTTGAAATGTGTTCCAGACCAAAACCTCTCGTGGAGGTAGCGAAGAATCATTATTCATTGATTCTTTTACCCAATGGGACCCAAGCTCACTCGTGTCCTTCCCTCCAGGTCTGTGGCAGTCTCCGCTCGGAACCGTGCACCCCTCTGCAGTGTGCGGGCGGAGATCTGTGTCCCCCGGACGGAACGCCGCCGTGTGAGAAGGGCGAGGTGTGTGTGGGCGCCCTGCCTTTGAGCAAGAGGGCCGACGCTGATGCCAAAGACGTGAAGGGGCGCCTGGACAAGCTCACTGGGAAGATCACAGATGCCGCGGAGAAGGTACACGAACGCGCTTGCGTCTCTTTTGTTGATGTTTTGGATGCTTTCACAGGAAATTCTCATTACTGCGTAAAAACAATGGAGATTCTGAAGCTTTAATTCAACAATTGCCTACAGCTCCAGCAAACACAAGAGACAACCAACCAGGTAAGAAAGTCTGCAGAGAAGCTTTCCAATAAGATGAAGCGGGCCAGAGACGCGCTAGAAGACGACTTGAAAGACACGCAGGACCTTGTGAACAAGCTCAAAGATTTCCTATCAGGTAAAGCAGGTTTTGGTGCAGAGGGATGAGTGACAGCCTGATAGGCGACAGGACGGGTCGTGGTTTCGGTAGAAATGGCGGATTATGCGTGGATTCATGAGAAGGTGACACCGTGTTTCTTCCTCTGCCACCTCGGCTTCCAACTTGTCCTGTTTTGGTCCGCAGACCCGTCCTCCAACCTGACCCATATCCAGGAGGTGAGCGACTGGATCCTGAACGCCAAACTGCCTCTCAACCTGGCAGATCTGATGAAGAAGCTGGAGGAGCTGAAGAACCTGGCGGACAGTCTACCAGACAGCTCGTCCGTGTTGAAAGAGGCCGAGCCGCAGCTGGACGCGGCCCGGAAACTGCTGCAGGAGGCCCAGGACGCCAGGTGGGCCTCCCTGATGCTTCACTCTGTTAACACTTTTTTCTAGAGGCGTATGGGGCGCTGCATCAGCCTTCCTCGCCTCCTAACAAGGAACTCTCTGATAGTGTCCAAATGGTGTTAAGGATGTTCTTCTCTGGCTGCCTATCCACAGGGACACGGCCCTGGGAGTAAAAGCCGACGTGGATGGCTTGCTGGATGCCTTTGGCTCGGGGGAAGGCTCCCTCTCTGACCTGGAGGATAGACTGCAGGCGACCATGGACAACATCGACAACCTGAACAGCAGCCTGACCGAGGTAAGAAGCATGGATACACGTCCCATTGGTTCCCGTCAAAGCTGCTCTCCACGCCTCACTGAGCTGTCGGGCTTCTCCTCGTGCAGGCCAAAGAGCAGCTGAGCCCGGCCGAGAAGGCTCTCGATGATGCATCCGACCTAATAAAGCCAATGAAGCCTCAGCTGGACGAGCTCAAGGACCTGCTGAAGACTGTGGTCCCGCTGGTCCAGAATGTTACGGATAATGCAGAAAGCGCTGAGGATGAAGCCGCTGCAGCAAACGAGGTGGGAAATATGCACATTTGCTTTATCACAGAGCCGGTTTAGATAAGCAGTGGGCTTAACTTACAGCTGTTTGTATCCTTCAGCGTCTAATACTGCAAAGTTAAGCTTCAAGACGTAGTGAATTAGTATCAATGTACAATAACAATTTAAAAAGTTGAGACATTTAAGTGGTGAATTGAATATAAAAGAAAAGCAAGTCAAGAACAGCAAATATCTGTAACGCTGAGTAACTGAAAGTGTCCCTGAGAAGGATTTGGTGAGACGTGAAACTATTAAATGTGTTTGATTGAGGTTTTGAAATGTGTCAACGTGTTTGTAGGACCTGCTGACCCTGGAGGACCAGCTGGACCGTCTTAAGGACCAGGCTCCCACCACGGGCTCAGGAGGACCGGAGTTGGGGGATCGAGTGGCAAAGCTGCAGAAGGACGCTGGAGCTCTGGCCAACTCCACTAACGAGATGATGACGGCCCTGGAAGGTAATAGAGCTAAAAGACCCTGGAGGATGTGTCTTTTGTCTTTGCTAGATGCCGGCTCACTCCTCGTTCTCCGCTGCGTTCCCCAGGTAAAGCAGATTCCCTCCGCGGGCTGCAGGACGAGATCCGTCAGAAGTCAACAAAGCTCGAAGGACTCGACGCTAAGCTTAAAGAACTTTTGGACCAACTTCGTCAGAAGGGCCAAGACCTCAGCATCTGTCAAGGCTGAAGACCTCCGAGCAGAGCAGCATCTGCTCCTGCCACAGGAAGCACAACTATCCACTTCAGGAAGGGGACCATTCCGTCCTCTTCTCTGACAGTCGTCAAAAGAATTGTGGGAAATGTAGAAAGTTCTAACTGGGGGTTGGTTGACATGGAGTTGGAGTGATTGTTACATGGTTGATATGTGGAGCACAACAGGAGGGGAGGGGCGGTGGATAAACAAGACTTTCACCAAGGAGACTAAAGTTAATCCTGGACATTATGTAACGTTGTTGATGTATTTCTCAATAGCTCTAGACAAGTAGCTTTGTCACTAAACCTAACCAATATTGCACAACATTAACTGGGGGGCATCGGGTTTTTCTAAAAGCACTATACTGATCATACTAACATCACATCTATAGCTGGTATATTGAAAAATACCCTTTGAGTGTACCACATGTCATATATAAATATATATATATATTTTTTTTTTTCATCATGAGAAAAAGACCATAACTTGTGCAAACACATTTTATTTAACGGCAAAACACTCAATTATTGAATATTTCGCAACTGAAATGTATGTTGAATGTTGTATTGTTTGTTTGTTTTTTTGTATACATTGTGCAGAATCCGCAGTATTTAAATTAAAGCCTGCTAATACTTAAGCTTCATTGGAGATCTATGGAACACAACGATCATGAAGATAAGTTATTACATACTTTCTGAGAAAATATTATACAAAAATAATCATGTAAGTCACTACATCTGTGAACTCTGAATCCTCCATGGCATCATTAGAGTTGAGGGCTTCCCACTAGCTTGTGGCACTTGATGAGCAGCTTATGCATGCGTCGCTAAACACACTGGCAGTCGGTGACTCCACCCGCGTGGTCATAAAAACGACCATCCTCCCTCCTCGTCAGGGAGGAAACTGGATGTATTATTCGTCAGTGCAGCATGAATGGGGAAATAATAACACATGGTACTTTCCCTCCTTCGCTTACAGTTCAGTATCTAGAATACGTTTATCAGCTTTATACAGCCGTGTAAGCCGTTCCATTCCATTTTCAATGGACAGCCACGTCCGTCATATAGGATGAAAACGTTAAAAAGCTTTGACATCCTCTAAATGTTAGAGGACATACACAACTTTTAAAATGCTAAAATAAGTCTAAAGCATTTTAAAAGTCCTGTATGTCCTCTAAAGGACATGTATTTAGTTATACATGTACTTATACATAAATATAAGTATTTAGTTATATAGAGCACAAATGTCACCTATGTGATGCTTATGCTCGATTGTAATCAACGAATTCCTGTTTAAGGGCCCGTGGATTACAGATATGTAACTATTCCATGTTAAAGTGTTTTTATAGTGCAGATATGCTGTCTGCGTTTCACAAGACGGAAGCCCCGCAGACGTTTGAGCACCTCCATATCCAGAGAGACGTCACTGAGCGCCGTCAGCTCAGCAGACAAACTGAGAAAGAGACATTTTGAAAAGTTAGTTATAATCGCGTACAGGTCTGAGTCACTAATTTGAAGAGCCAGCATGAAATGTGTGTCTGAGACAGACAGACAGACAGACAGACAGACAGACAGCCGCGTACCTGCATGAGATTCATCTGAGGCGAGACAGCCAATCACATGACAGAACACACTCCGGACTGAAGCGGCTGCTCCTTCCTCTGGGACACGTCATCCATGCTGTGACATGTCACACACAACACGGCTTAGAGACACACACACACACACACTATTCCAGCTCTGTGGCAGTGAACAAGTGCTGAGTGCACATGTATTCACCCCCTCACAAAGATCTGGTGCGACCAATCGCCTTCATAAGGCACATTTGCAAGTCACATAGTGAGTAAATAGGGTCCACGTGACTGCAATTTAACCCCAGTATGAATACACGTGTTCTGTGGAGGCCTCAGAGCTCGTTGGAGAGTAACTGCAGTAACGTCATGTCACGGACAACACATGGTTTCATGGATAAGTTGTGCGCACGACATGTCAGCTGGGATCAGATGACCGCTCAGCATATGAGGTCTTTGAGAGGTGTCCGGTGTCCAGAACACGACGGTCCTTGTACCATGAGATCCTTGTGCGTGCGCCCTGTTTATCACAGTATATATGTTGGTGCTGGAAAATCAAACCTTTGAGTAGCCTTGACACATGACTTGTGTGTGTGTGTGTCTCCTGTTGCAAACATTAAATATCCTGTTCTGATGATTTTACACCGGTGTCAAGGGGTAAAGCCGTGAAGGGGGCGCCGGAACTCTCACCTCTTAGATGGCCTGAAAGGAGCGTCCACCTCCAGGGGGAAGTTCTTGACCTGTCTCGGCCCCTCAGAGGGGAGGGCGGGGCCGGGCTCACCGTGGCCGTCCCTCACAAGTGGACACTCAGAGGTGCTGCAGGACGGACGGAGGGGGTTCCCGTTCGGGTGGAAGGCGTCGGTCTTGTCGCGGCGCGGCCCCGGCGCCTCCTGGTCCCCCTGGGCGGCCTGTGCCGTGACGTTGCACGGCTCACTGAGGGACGACTGCAGCTTCTTCATGTGGTGGATGGCTGAGGCCGCGTTGAAGGCTTGCTGTTGGCGGCACACAAAGCGAGAAGGTTCTACTGGTGCTGCCGACACAGTACAGCTTGACCGGCTGCCGTGAACCCCCCGTGTTAAAAAAAAGGGATTCACGGTAGATATCCCAGGTAAAAAAGGCTAAATAAAATATAATGTACATTTACATCTAACATTAAGACCCATTTGTCTTTATTAAAGGTTTTCTAAAGGTTCTTTTGAATATGCCGATCCTTTCACTTCCCATATAGATAGATAGATAGATACTTTATTGATCCCTCAAGAGGGACAGTTTGGTATCACAGCAGCATGTACAGGGAAGAAAATAGAATAAAAAGATACACATTATATACAATATAATAAGATATAAATATTAAATTATTAAATAAAATTAAATAAACTAAAACAAAAGAATAACCTTCCAAAAGAGACAATAATAATAATTTGTAAAAGGAGAAGAGGAAGAGGAAGAGCAGCAACATCACAGCAGTACAGGGTTGTTATTGTCATTATTTAGCCTGGGATGATTTGTTGTATATGATAAGGAACAGACAGTAGTCGTATGAAGCCCCTGTTCTTGTCATCCGCTCGTCGCTATATTTACGCATCGTCTCTTACGTTGCAATAAAAAGAGATATGTCTGCTCACCCTGCATCTGTGTTTTGTGGTTCCGCGCATGTGGTTGAGATACAGAAGCAGTGTCGAGAGTCACTCACCTTCCATTTGGATTTGGAGAAGTTCCTCTCTATCTGCTCACTGACGGACTGATAAATGTCCACGTCTTTAGCCGTGTTCTCCGCAATCCTGCAACCAAGTGACGGACAGGAGGTCATTTGGAAAACAACTAAATGCGTTGTGTGTCTGCGTGTGTGTGTGTGTGTGTGTGTGTGTGTGTGTGTGTGACTCACCATGGGTGTCTGAGAGCCTGCTCGGTGAGGAAGCGTTTCTTGGGGTTTTTCTCCATCATGTTCCTGATGAAGTCTTTGGCTGTTAACAGGTAGCATGCTCATCCGTTAATGTCTGATTACAATGCAGCCAGAACACATTGATAAACATTTGGTCGCCAACATCTATGAATTTGACAGAGACCACGTTTGGCAGCTCTGTTTGCTTTCTGTTCAGTTTAAAAAAAGGACTACCACATTAAAAAAGGCTGTTCCTCCTTAAAGCGCCATTTACTTTGACGTATTAATGAATTCGTTTGCACCGTCCACGACCCTTCTGCTGTGTGTAAAGCCTAGTTTATGCTTCTGCGTGTTCAGAGCGACGCAAGCCCCCCTTGCATCGCCCCTTGCGTGTCTTTTCACACCTCCTTGCGTCCTTGCGTGCGTCGACCCATTTTTATAGGCTTGCGTCGAAAGCGCCGCGAGTCTCCCGCAGCGCACCAGGCTGCGATTGGTCCGCTAACGGAGTCTCACATTTCCGCTTCCATAGCCCGATACCGCCATTATTAGAGTTATGAGAGAACGGAGCAGATTGAAGAACTTTTGTCGGAAGAAACGCGTAAATATGAGCGCTTATACGAGCCGTCATTGGCGGGTTGTAGAAGCGGTTTGGATTCACGGAGGGAGATCGCCGCAGACGCCGGTTTGCCGGTCGAGGGGTGCGCAAAGTTGTGGAGGAAAATACGGGACAAATGTGTCCGCCATGAAAAGCAGCAGTGTGGATGCACGGGGCAATAAAGTCTATGATAAATAAACAAACAAACAAATAAATAGACGTGACTCTCTGGGTCGTCTTCAACAAAACACGTAACTCCGCCTGTTGTTCTGGAGGTGAATCGCTCTGCAACACACGCAAGACTTTTCAAACCATAAATTGAAACGAGTGCATCGACGCAGACGCAGACGCATGCGCCGGCATGAATAGAATAAGGAAGCAGAGTAGATACTGAAACGTGTCTCTCCATCCTTTGCACCCTGCAGGTTCTCTCTCTCTTGATTGCCTTCAGTTATCACATGTGCGCCAACCAGGACCGGCCCGACCCGTCAGTGTGATTAAAGCCGGTGTGCCCGTCGGTACGCTGAACGATGTGATCTCAGGAGTGTCGCTGTTTCTGTCACAGCGAGTCGTCTCTGGTTGTGTCCGCACCTGACTCCGAGATGTCGTCCCAGAACGGGGAATGGAAGGCGTACTCGGCTCTCATGATCTTTGAAAACAGGCGCGTCTCGTTGTCTTCAAAGAATGGCGGGTAGCCGCAGAGCCTGCAGAGACAAACAAGAAGCAACCAGGGACTTTTACAACTGTACCCGACCCTCATACAACTTTTACAACCTTTGAATACGCTACGGCTGAGGCTTCATCCAATGGATGCTAGACTTTTGTCCACCCAAATAGTTTATGCATTGACTGCACGACCAGTGAAAATGAACATAATCTCTTCATGGGGACCGATTGGTGCATAACAAATAGATCCCCTCTGTTCTGCAGACCGTGGTGCATGGTTGTGAACGGCTCGCAATGAGAGGACAGACATGTACTCACAGGATGTAAGTGATGACTCCAATGGACCAGCAGTCCACTGCTTTGCTGTAGGGCTTCTGGGCCAAAACCTCCGGGGCTGCAGAACGACACACAGAAATACTACTTGTTCCATGCAGGTCCTCCGATGTTTATGTTCATAGTGTGGTGACGGGAGATGATCCACTGTGATGTGTTGTTGTTTTGGGGATTTCAAGTGTTTCAAACTATATTGTGAGAAGTCAGTTCAGATTATTACATCTTTACCGGTATAAATCCCACCAATGGAACATGATTGTGTCATAGATGATTTATCAACCAGAGACCCACTAACTGCTAATAGTGTAAACATTTGAGCATGAGATTATTACATGAGTAGTGAAACGTGTGCGCGCGTGTCCAGTAACTCACCAACGTATCCCGGTGTGCCGCAGGCTGTCGACATCACACCGTGCTCCAACGTCTTAGACAGACCAAAGTCACTCACCATGATCTTTGAATTCTTATCTGTACTATAGTACAGCAGGTTCTCCGGCTGCTCAGAGACATGGAGAGACACACCGAGGGAGAGAGAGAAGGAGGCACACTGTGAGAGAATAACGTCATTGTGCGGCTGTCAACTTACTGAACTGTACGTATTTTATAATATGATTATTGAATATTTGAACTCAAAGTATAATGAAATGGTGTAGATGTAAAGTTGTCTATGCATTTCATAAAACACTGGTTTAATATTTCAGCGCATTACATTACATGTCATTTGGCAGACGCTTTTATCCAAAGCGACTTACATTACACTTTAAACCCATGGCTTTTTTTTCACATTTTTGCCCGGGGAGCAATTAGGGGTTAGGTGTCTTGCTCAGGGACACTTCGACATGGAAGATGGGGCAGCCTGGAATCGAACCACCAACCTTGTGCTTCCCAGCACACCTTCTCTAACCCCTGACCCACCATTAGTATGATGAACTTTGGGAGCATCTCTGTTTAAAGACTCTGTTATTGTTCAGGTTATTTGAACATCCCAGCTTTATATTGTTCTTCTGGGTGACGATTAGTGTGTGTGTGCGTGTGCGTGTGTGTGTGTGCGTCTTACCTTCAGGTCCCTGTGTACGATGCTGTTTTGGTGCAGGTAGCTGACAGCCTGCAGCACCTGTTGGATCACTGTGCTGGCGTCCTTCTCAGTGTAAACGCCCCTCTCTATGATGCGGTCAAACAGCTCGCCGCCTGATACTCTGCGCACACACACTCTTGAATGTGATACCTGTGCACGCTTTGTGTTACCAAGGTAACAACGCTTTGTAAACGATGTGATGATGATACTGAATCCACTTACAGTTGCATGACCAGGTAATAGTGTGTTCGGCTCTCGTAGAAATCCTCCAGCCCCACCACGTTCTCGTGCTGTATCCTGACGCGGTAAGAGAGAGGCAGATGTGGAGCAGATGTGGAACATGTTATCAGGAATCAGGAATCAGGAAACATTTATTTGCCAAAATATGCTAAACATACAAGGAATTTGTCTTGGCGGTTAGTGCGCGACAGTAGACAGACAAGACAGCAGTGTAATAAGACGAGTAATAAAATAAAGTAAAATGAAATGCTAATGCAATGGGTTAGTAAAAAAACAACAAAAAAACGAAGCGCACCGAAGCACCGTGGCGGCCATCAACGGCGCCATCTTGACATTGTGAGACCATTGTGTGGTTATATTCGGCGCCGGGCTTCACGCGTGCGCATATACATGTACGAAGAATGTGGCGCGGGTTAACATTTGACCTTTGAACCACAGATTGTCTATTGACAAAGGGCGGCCGTTCAATCACAGTAACGGAGCGAAACGGAAAGAGGAGAGCGGTTCTGCCGCGGCGCTCTTTGCTAGCTACAACGCAACAGGCGCCCCTGTGCACGCGTGTGTGCGTGTGTGCGTTACCTCCTCAGGACATTGATTTCATTCTCCAGCTTGCTGTGAGCGAGGTGTTTTTTCTTCAGGCACTTCAGGGCGTACATGTTTCCCGTTGTCTTCTCTCTGACCATGAACACTTCTGAAAAAGACCCCCTGCACAAAAACAGACGGGACAGAGACATGGAGTTCATGGAGCGGAACCAGACGAATGATGGTGCGGTTTGAATTTCTTCAGCAGCATCAACGCCGAACGTTCCTTCACATCGAGACCGACGCATGAATATTTTGCGTGTAACGGACAACGAACACATGATGAGTCACTTGATCGAGGGTCGCCCAGAAGTAAGACGCATCACATCCGGTGGTGTTCCACGATTTACGCCAACCTGCTTTGTTACTGGTCCCCCCCCCCCCGTGCAGGCTGAACCTGCACGCCGAGTGGGGATGCTGCATTCTGAGTGGCACCAGAAGAACCTTGACCGCAGCACCGGGCTGGTGAGCTTAGGACTAGACGTGGTCTCTTGTTTTTACAGGTTCTGCAGATTTCTGGACAACGTGAAGTGTTGTGGCTGCTTAGTCCTGGTCTGGGTTTCAGCACGGCAGAGACGGTCAGGTGGGAGCCCCGATGTAATCTGCTGACTCACGCGTCGGTTCAGGAGGTACTGCAGCTGTGACCTGAAACGCCTCAAACCCACTAAGTGAGGCTTAAAGAACACGCCTCGTGAATGCAGCGTTGCATCACACTGAGTTCTGAATTAGGGTCACGTGACCTACTGATACAAGTGCCGAACGTTACATCTGAGTCTGTACTTTTATGTTATTTTTAAGAGGAAGACGTTTGCCTTCAACCCAATCAATACATATCGATTACATATCAATACAAATTGAAATAATAAAAGTGACTTGCATGAGCTAGAGTCCATCACACCGTGCACCTATTTTCAGCTTTTAATTGGCCTTCAGTGGAGCAGGTGTACGTGCCCATTCAAGCGTGTTCTCCAACTTAGCACCACTTTTTCACTGAAAACAATGCGATGGGGCAAAGCGGTGTAAGTCCATCGCAGCAGGGTGACACACGTGTTGACACGCTTCTGCTTCCTTTTGGCACAAACACACACCTCCTCGCCTCGTGCACCCTCAGAATGCTCATCCGCCAATGTGATCGGTCCCGCTCTTAATCCTATAACGAAGTGGTGCTAGGATGTTCTGCTGCTCTGAGGTCAGCGCTCAGGATCTTCACACACACACACACACACACACACACACACACACACATACACACATCTTTAAGCAGCTTTAAGGCTGCAGTTCATCTCAGAGGAAGCAACACTGCAGTTAACAGCCGAACAGCCATTTGTTACAGGTTACTGGACTGACCCGTGATGGGATCCCTGCCTGCTTCCACTTCACAGATAAAGCCAATGACAGCAAGACTATGCAGCAGCTTGCTGGAAGTTTTAGGACACTTGCTACTAATCATATTACCGTGTGGAGCCTCAGGATTAGAGTGCACATAATGCTTGTTAAGTCATCCTTTCTTATTCATTCCATTCAGCTCCAAAACAGGTTGCATCCTACATTTGCCACAACGCAGCAGTGTCTTTAGTCGTCGCCGTCCTATCAACTTATACATTATACATCGCATTGTTTTCATTGTATTTACCCATTATACAAATCTAGAGTCCCGCATGTTCCCTCACCTCCTGTCCTGGATGTGCACCAGTTATCCTCACCAAACGGGCTCCATCGAATGGCCTCCTACTGTGACAAAGGGAATCCCCTGTGATTTACACGCGGCTGTCAGATTAGTTTAGTAAATATTGGTCCACTCGCACCGTCACATGTGGAAAATATGGCTACCAGCAGCCGGCTTCAGTGGCATCACCTGACCGAATGAGATTCTTTACGAATCGGTTCTACAACCAAGAAACCGTTTCGTCCCGGACGTCCACATTAGCAAATTCACAGGCCTCTGGAGTTCCTCTTCTTTCTCCAGCGTTGTCTAAAGTTGAGGTGAAACCTTGAATAAACATTGACGCTAGTTTCCTTCCCTGGTCGGTGTTCATTTCCTCATCGGCAGTACTTACGCTCCCATTTTCCCCTTGAAGTCAAACACGTCCCTGATATTATTGGTGCTTTTCTTCCAGCTGCAGATGATGTCCTTCCGCCCCATCCTGGCTCTGACGTTGCCGTAGACTCCTGAGGCACAGACAACATTGATTATTTACATTTCCCATGAGTAGTCAACCAGCCACAGTGCAGTCTAATGCCATGTCGGCCCAAAAGTGAGATTCCCGTTCATGAGAATGAGTTTTCCAAAAACACAACGCTTACATCAGCATCATCCATCAAGTGAAGATGGGAAATCCAATAGGTCGATGGTCACATGATTATGTATACGAGAAGACTACCGTGGAGCCACTGTGGCAGTTTAGGACTCAGTTCAGGAGAGTTGCAGCATTTTGGCTCACACAAACGGTCGGATGTTCATGACTGCGCTAATTCCCCGTTGGATGAAGCCTATTCGGGCCTGTCGGTTACACTGAATTAGAAAGCAGTGGTTAGTTAATCTCCTCCCATGGGTCAGATTAGTGGCTGATCCCTGACAGGACATTTTATAACCCTGGCCTTAGTCGGTGGCGTTAAAATAATGTTCGCTGAAATGCGCCAATATTTGGACATCCAAACATTGACATCCAAAAGTACAAAATTCATGAAAGTAACACTTAATAAATCATTGTCACATTTTTCAGATTATATATATGTTTTAAGTAATTAGTTCAATGTCAGAGACACGTGATATTGCATATATTGTACATTGACTGAACTCTGAATAACGATGAATTAAATGATTACAAATCAATTATAATATTGTCATAAAAAAACCGAAGGTACAGAAATTGCATTAATTTAATTCTAATAATCAGTTTGTTTACAATCTAAAACGAGCTATTAGTATCGGTACACATGTCACCAAAGTAAGTTCCCTTCGTAGCGGAGTTATTTACCTGAGGAGCGGTGAGCTGGTCGTGCTGAAGAACCGAGGGGAACCGACCTACCGAGGAGAACCGGACTCAGCCGGGAGGCTGCGAGCTGCCACGCTCAGGGGGCGGGGCCTCGTCCACGAGCAGGGGGCGGGGCCTCGGTCTCAGCCGTGTTACATTCAAAGACTCCTGGAAACGGCTCGATGCTCTATGCTAGTCCTCTTTATAAATACGACCCTTGCCATTGATTTGGTTCAGTCAAGATAATTTGTACTATTGATTCTCATCTGCTTTTGACTATTCACTTGTGTAGTGGAAGTCTGACATAAAGTATATGACCTGTGAGCATTGCAGGTTTTGATCAAAATATAAAACTGATTAAAAAAAGACAAAATGATGTTAGCTATGCCTTGTGATTTAGACATATACCTCTTCATTCTACAAAAGACAGACACAGACATAAGCTGATGAAAAGTATAAGGAAAAAGTTGGATTCCTATGCGACGATCAAAAAGTGTTTCTTCAATAATTGGTATATTTGGTTAAATGCTCATATTTCAAACAGACGTAACTGGAATCACTGCAGCATCCTGCATGCTATCGGTAGTTTTATTGTTGACCAAAAATCATTATTTGTCATTAGGTTTCAACACTTTATTTTGTTCTAGAAACACCTCCCTTTTTAATTAAGAATTATCCACGTTGCTTAAAAAAGGGATTCCTAATTGTTATATTAAACCACATAACTGTCCCCTGTGTTGACCTCAATTCCTGTAAACATGCATCCAATTTACTTTGCATGAAACACACATGCTGAGTAAAAGAAACACAAATAGCCTAATTGCATAAGTGTACAATGAGCTCATACATCTTACAATAGCAGAAGCGAATCAACCAAAGAACCCTAGAAAACATTACATTTGGGCGTGCAGCAAAGTTGACTTCAGTCACACTTAAGGCTTGATAGGGTATGTTTATTATACACATTTACCAAACACCATGGATAACTGCACCTCATCACGTAAACACTTTTTTCCAAGCTGATTTGATTTACAAAATGTAATCTATTTTTAATTTAGTGTTATTACAAATATTTTTTCAGTTCAAATCAGTCCGATGTGCAGTATTGGCATTACTAAATACGAGCATGACTAAAACTAATTTTCAGTGTGAAAGTAAAAGACAATAAACATACTATTCCACAATATAATATTTGATTCCCGAGTCCACAGAAAGCACCGATCGTATTCGTACAGGAACGTGAGGCTGTTTCACACTCCTTCCTGCAGTCACAACAAAGTGACGTCACCACGTCGCCTGGTGACGTCGTGTTGATTTTGAGCGGAGAAATTATTTATTTATAAACTGACGCAAGGGCGCTAAATCTAAAATAAACGGTGAATAAAATGTGAAAATACATTATATATTTTTGGTGAAGCTGCTGTACGCATGAGAGGTTCGATACTATTTGCACTTAACCCAATAAACCCGTTACGCTAGCGTCAGGTAGCGTTGAATTGAACATGCAGGGGAAATGACTTGCTAACGCTGCCGGTCGGCTAGCTACGTTTTAGCTAGCTAGCTGACATTAGCACGAGGGAAGTCCTTACTGCTGGCGTTGTCCTGGACATAGTTTGTCGTGTCTTTTTGTATTTCAGTGCTCTGTTTATTACTGCGATGTGTGAGGTGATATGCTCACATTTTATGTTCAATAGGGTAATTAGAGAACTAGTAAGCTAATATTAGCTGCTAGGTTAGATAGCACCACGTAGCTAACGGTAGGTTGCTTCGTTAACGTTAAGCTATGACATGTAGGAACTTATTTACCCCCTGTTAGCCGGCTATGTTAGCATTCCTGCAAACAGTTCTGCTAACCTCAGGCCATAGCATTATTGTGTTTCTTTACTTTTCTACCTGACCGTGTGGCTAACGTTGCGTCGTAGGACGATGGCGCCCCGCTTACAGCTGGAGAAAGCGGCTTGGCGTTGGGTGGAAACGGTGAAACCAGAAGAAATAAGACCGGAGCATATCGAGCTAGCATATCGCGTCAATCTTCCGGCCTGCAAGAGAGGAACCTGCAGGTAACGCTACGATATGAGAATATATTGGTGGACACGTAATCCTTGATGTGCTTGCATGTGCCAGTAAAGAATACCGCTTACGGATGTTTGAATTGTTTTTAAAGTTGAAGACGTAATGGCTCCCCAAAAAGATGCTAATGTTACGTTAACATCACAAGTCCGATTTGCTTCCTTGTGGATGAGCCTTCCTGGAATGAAGACCTCAGACTTTGTCTGAAAGGTCAAGAACATCCACTGCAATTGTCTATTTGACTAAACAAAATAATGATAACGTACAAGACGGTAGACAACTTATTCATATAGTGGAATGTCGCTTAGCTGTGCCTGTTCCTGTATGTCAGGGTGAGCAGCTTGGCATGCAGGACACAAACCTACCGTGTAGTTTGTCAGGACTTTCGCATGACCCTTTTCTGTACATAATAAATATATACATATTTCATTCTACCAAGGCAGTTATTGGAACATGAAGTCAATAATCATGGCGTGCGCTTGCAGGAGGAATTGCAAAGGAAATCCCAACTGTCTTGTGGGTATTGGTGAACAGGCTTGGCTTGGGGATATCGATGAAAATGCTTTCCACAATATTGACGACCCAAACTCAGAGCGTCGTGACAAGGTATTTCCTTAACCCAGCCACACACACTGCTCATTGTTCGCCTGGGAGAATGTCTGAAGAGATCATTCATTCTCTCTTTCAACCTCCCTCGGCCTTTTGTCCTCTTTCAGAACACATTTGTTGGCTTGACCAACCTGGGTGCAACATGTTACGTCAACACATTCCTACAAGTGTGGTTCCACAACCTGGAGCTGCGTAGGAGCCTCTATCAGTGCCACAATTCCCGAGCGGAGGAACACGATGCTGAGTCTGGTACAACTGATAACCTTTTCACTTTTTGCTGCATACGCTTTAAGACGCGTACGTATCGTCAGCGTTCACTGTTTTCATTGGGTTTCACTCTCAAAGTGAGTGACATTCAAGCTTTCTGACCCTTGTGCTCTTTACGCAAGTCAAACACGGAAACCCATACCTATACTTTGGATCAAGTGAACTGAACATCAGGCCTCTATGAAGTTTGTTTAGTTCATCTCCTTTTCCACGATGGCATTGGCAATTCAGAGTTTTTCTCAACACTTATTAAAAATTATTTGACAGCCCACTTACAAAATCACATGTTTGTCCTTTTTAAATGACGAAAGCATTTCCTTGTCTCAAACTGACGTTTCCGTCTCTTTCAGAGTACGAGCCTCAGTCCATCTGTGAGCACCTGCAGTATCTTTTTGCCCTCCTACAGAACAGCAACAGAAAATACATCGACCCAACAGGACTGGTCAAAGCGCTGGGCCTGGACACCGGGCAGCAGCAGGTAAATCCCTGCGACCCACGAGGCAGATCATCGGAACCTTCATTTAGAAACACAGAGCTGCTTTCACAGTCTCTCTAAAGATGATTGTGTATGCGTCCTGGAACCTTCTCTCTTACGTATCCGACTGTAGAACTCTGTATTATTATATTGTCTCAATACCTCAATGGTCAAAAATACCATTTGTTATAAGTTGCCTGAGCACAAAGGGATGTCTTGAAATCAGACCAACTGTGATCAAACGCAGTGGATAATGAACCAACTATTAATTCCACTGTTCTGTAGCAGAATCCACACAGACGGGGAGCGACTGCGTGTCTATTAATGCAGTGGTATAATCGTAATATCACAGTATGCTAACACAGACAACTATTTTAATGCCTTGTCTTTTGCTGCATCAATTCAATTCATGCTTAAGGACACAAGGTAACACAACATACACAACAATTCTGTAACTTCAGCCTTTTATAACAGACTCCATGCACAGACAAACAATAAAAACTGAGAAGTAGTTTAAAAAGACTCAAATTATGTAACTGGAATGAATTCCGGGAGAAGGCTTTTTGATGCAGAGTTCTACTTGACGAGGCTGCATGAGGTCAAATAGAGACGATTGTATAGTGAACACATCGTAAAGCTCAGGAGTCAAACATGTGGTTTGTGATATTGGGCTGTATCTATGAAGTTGAACTGACTTGAATCGGTTTTATTTTAAGGATGCCCAAGAGTTTTCAAAGCTCTTCTTGTCTCTGCTGGAGGACACGCTGTCCAAGCAGAAGAACCCTCACCTGCAGAATGTCATCCAGCGACAGTTCTGTGGACAGTTCTCCTACGTCACTGTGTAAGACTCTGCACTCAACCCAAAACTGAAAAAGCGTTGGAACAGAATGTTAAAACTATTTGTTAACTGTCTGCTGTTGCTGTTCTGCTACCTCGGTTTGTTTGTCTTCCAGCTGTAACGAGTGTGGACGATCATCTGCACTGCCGTCCCGATTCTACGAGCTGGAGCTGAACATCCAGGGCAACAAGAACCTCACCGAGTGTGTCACAGAGTTCCTGAAGGTAGCTTTCACCACCTACACCCTGGGACAGTGGTTCTGCTGTGTTTGTATTCATCAGGCATCCAAGCACACACACACACAACTTTATTTATTTTTATTATTTTTTATCTTTATTGCAACAAGAATGCATTTGTAAGGAACACTCACACCGCTCTGACAGATGTGTGTTTTTGCTGTTGCACACCGGTTGACCTCTCTGTGACCCTCCTGCACCGGTCAGGAGGAGAAGTTGGATGGGGAGAACCGCTACTTCTGTGAGAGCTGTCAGACTAAGCAGTGTGCGACGCGCAGGATCAGACTGCACAGCATTCCTCCCACCCTCAACCTGCAGCTCATGCGCTTTGTCTTCGACAGGTCAGCCAAATGCTTTGTTGATTCCTCTTTGGGAACCTTGGATTTTTGAATAAAAGGCAGCGGCATGTCAGACTGTCATACCGTCTACTGAACCATGTGGTCTTCCCCAGGCAAACGGGCCACAAGAAGAAGCTCAACACCTTCATCAGTTTTCCAGAGCAGCTGGACATGGGGCCTTTTTTAGAAGGAAAAGCAGGTATTGGCAGTAATGCCCTCTGTGACACACACACACACACACATTCTCCAAGTTCCCTTCAACGCATACCGACCTGTCGGCTATACAAATAAAACTAAACGTGCATATTATTAAGTTTTAAGACCTCGTCCTTTATATGAGAAAGCAAGAGGGACACTTTAGACAGTCCTCCGGGTTAAAGCAGGGTACATTCATGTGGGTGATGGATTACCATCACTACAACTTCACTCGCTAACGTCTCTCAGTATTTAATTGGCGATGCATTGCTTGCTCAAATATACCACATCGTATCCCAGAGAACAGCGGACACTGTTTTTTTTGATGACTCGTTGAAAAGTAATCGGATTGATATTTGTGCGTCTTTGGACGGACTGTTCTTCCAGACCACAAGTGTGTTTATGAACTGAGTGCGGTTCTGATCCATCGTGGCATCAGTGCCTATTCGGGCCACTACATCGCCCACGTGAAGGACGCTCGGACAGGCGACTGGTACAAGTTCAACGACGAGGAGATTGAGAAGATGGAAGGCAAGAAGCTGCAGCTCGGCACTGAGGAGGACATTGGTGAGTGGTGCTGAATGAGTGAACGTCTCCACAGCCGCCTCATGTAGTACGAGTCTCATTGTCCACTGGCGTTATCTCAATGTAGACATTCTTTATTTTACTTTTAAAAAGGTATTTTTAACCCAGTCAAATGTTAAACTGCAGCCTAATCTTTCACCCACCTGAGTTCCTGTATACACATACATTTTCCTAAAGTTGTTGCTCTTGTTCTTGGCGTGGATGGTCCCCAGCTGAGACAGTGAAGTCCCAGACACGAAAGCCAAAGTGCAGTAAAGGCTACCACTGCTCCCGAAACGCCTACATGCTGGTGTACAAGGTCCAGGAAGAGGAGAACACAGATCCCTCCTGGACCAACGTCGAGGTGCCAGGTGAGAAGTAGAATAAGAAGTGATTTGTTTGTTTGATGTGTCCTTTTAATCCTTGACGTAAACAAAGATGGCGGCCAGAAAAGCCATCTTTGTTTTGCGTCAGGGGATTCGGGCGTGTCTTGAGGAACGTTGTTATTCTAGTAAAGATCCAGCCTTCATGCCGGTTCCTGTCTGACGGTTTCTTCTACCTTGTGTCCCGGTTGGCAGCCTTCCTTCAGAGGTTGGTGGACCAAGACAACCACAAGTTTGAGGAGTGGTGCAACGAGATGGCCGACATGAGGAAACAGAGCGTTGATAAGGGCAAAGCCAAGCATGAGGAGGTGAAAGAGCTCTACGAGCTTTTACCCGCAAAAGACGGTCGGTAAAAACATTCCCCAACCACCCACAGTCCACTTAACAGATACACTAAAGCCGGGGAACATGTGTGTTGTGATGGGGGGGGATACTGCTGTCTGTAGTACTACTACAAGTACAACAGCCCACTGAGCCAGGAGCATCGGGCAAATACTGTGTCTTAAACTTAATTCCTAAAACCTGTAGCACTCTGATTTCGGGCGTTTTTGCAATGACACTATTGTATCACAGCATTTCAGAATATGAAAGGATTCTCTACTCAAAACATGATTCTACCATGTATCATTGTATGAGTAATGTAAGACAGCATGTGTTGAAGGAGTATCTACGTGTACATATATATGTATTTACTGTGTATTTCATTATTCCAAAGTGGCAACATTTCACTTTTATCTTTGAAGCAAGCAAAAGCTGACATAAAATGTTACATCTTAACCCACATGAAGGCCGAGGTGGAAAGTCCTCATGTCTGATATGTTGCGTGTCGGCAGGAGCAGCAGAGCTGTACTCCTGCTTGTGTGTGTTTATCCCAGCAAAGCCGCTGTATCTAAACGCACAGCCGTACGCTGCCTGGATTTAATGAAGATGAATGAATGATCCAAAGTCCCGTGTCTCTTAATGTCGGATGTGTCTCTCTGCTTTCCCCCCCCTCAGGCGAGCCGTATGAGTTCATCCCTCTGGAGTGGTTGAAGAAGTGGCTCGAGGACTCCACTGCCACAAAGGAGATCGACAACTCCCTCTTTCTCTGTTGTCATGGCAAACTGCACCCAGACAGGGTGGCAGACTCCAAGAGGGTTTCCCTCCAAGCCGCTCAGCTCCTGTACGAGCGCTACGGGGGAGGGCCGAGGATGGACGGTCAGTCAAACACAGGGTTTGCTCTCTGCTCAAATCATGAGCTTCAATAGTCACACAGAAGTAGGTATCACAGTCATTTCTACAAATTCTGCAAATCATCAGTCACTTGTAATCAACTGTGTGTGTGTGTGTGTGTGTGTGTGTGAGAGAGAGAGAGAGACACACACTATAACACGCAAATAACCACAGGAAGCAGGCTGTGCCGATCCACTGCTTTTGTCACCTTCAAATCCCTTTAATCTGTTGAAAACCAAGTTAGTTTAGCTTGATAGAGCAATTTCTTAACTCTAATAAATGATCAACATCACACGGAAGCAGTGAGTCAGTTTAGGTAATTCATTCACATTGCAACTTTGTGCTCAAAACATATCGCAATCTTTATAAATGTGTCACATCCTGACTTCTTCTAAAACCACAATGTTCGTCTTCTACATTTGAACATATTGCACCTGTGTGTGTTTGTCCAGGCTCGTCTCTGTGTAGAGAGTGTGTTGGCCAGCGGTGCAGAGTGCTGCGGCTGAAGAACCAGCTCAACGAAGACTACAAGGAAGTGACCAACCTGGTGAAACGCACGCTCAGGTAAACGCGAATGAATAGCAAAGTCATTTTGGCAGCTCAAAGCCACAAGGAACATGCGTTAAAGTCGCTTCAATGCTGCGTAGCCGGTATGTGTTGCTGCAGCTGATATTATGAAGGAACGTGGTCTCAAAGTGACCGTAGTTGATGAGGGAGGACATAGAACCATACGAGGGAGGGGTCCTCATGCAGGATTGCTGTGGAGCTCGCTCATGGGTGTGTCTCACTGTGTGTGTGTGTGTCTCTCTCTCAGTGGTGAGGGTTACTGGGTGGGCAAAGCATCCCTGCGTAGCTGGAGGCAGTTGGCTTTAGAACAACTGGAGGAGGACGAGCACGAAACCAAACACAGCAATGGGCAGACCAACGGACAGGGACCACACAAAGGTAGGTATCCAAGTGGATCCACGTTAATATGAAAATGATTATGTGACTTATAGTGTGTGTGTGGGGCAAAAAAAAGAACCTTTAGAACCTGGACTATTGTCACTGGTTAGACCGTCTTGAGGAAAGTGAACAACTTCCACCTTGAGGAGCTACGTTAGCTTAAGCAACAGTAGCATCCAGCTACAAAGTTATAATTCCCCGACAGTGTGTGTGTGTGTGTGTGTGTGTGAACAAAACATCCCCCACAAACCTCCTTGACAGAACTGTTGAGTGTTGTTAACCTTCGTGCTGAATGGGTTTTTATCGTAGAGTTTGGCTCTGAGCTGTCGGGAGGGGCAACGGGGGACGAGATGAAGACGTTCAATGAAGATATTGTCTGCTGTCACGGTACGGTTCCATCCTGGGCTTCTAGAATGATGTTACAGAACATTTCTGACATAGAATCAATAACTGTTTTCATGACAAAGCACAAGGTAGTAAGTGTGTGTGTGTGTGTGTGTTCCTGCTGTAGGAGCTCTGAGTATTTTGGAGACTGAAAGAAAGCTGGTATCTTCCGAAGTTTGGACCAAGCTGAGGGAATATTTCCCCAAAGCCCCAGAATTCACCCAAATCCAGGAGTCGTGTCAGCAGTGCCTGGTGAGTGGACGCTGTGCTGGACCACGCCGCCTCCTCGCTCACCAAAGCCACTGGTTTTCCCAAAAGCCCCCCCCCCCGCCGGCATTAAGTTCAAACGTGGTAAAGCTCACAGTGCCGTGGCGACAGTAGATGCATATCTAAAGGCCGCATCAGTCGGTAATTACACACTCCTTAATCATTGTGTTCACAAAGTCACAGCTTAGCCTTGTTTGCTGTGCAGCCGGGAAGCGCTGCAGTAATCCTGCTCATGTGCTTTGATTCACTGTGATGGAGAGCAGCCACGGCAGAAGCTTTGCCAGCTGCGTGTTAGTGAGAAGGAGAAGATCACGCGCTGATGGATCACAGCTCTGTGCTCTCACTGTACCACCTGATGTGTAGCTGTGTGCTAATGCTCTGAAACTGTAATCATGAAAGCTACAGACGCACAGCAGACATTCAGAGTAATGTGTAAAGGGAGTCCACTGTAGGTTGATGCGTCTCACTCTGTGTGTGCAGACATTAGAGCAGGAAGAGAAGGACAATGAGGCGGTGAGTAAGATGATGGCCTTGGACCAGAAGAACCAGCTGCTCAACCTCTTCAATGAGAAGAACCGGCCGACACTCAACAAGTGGCCTGAGGTAAACAGTCCACCAGCGTCCGGGTCCAATGTAGCCACTACGTATACGTACATACAAACATACGTACGCCCCAAAAGGCCTCTGACTCCTCTCGTTCTCTCCAGGATACAGACGTACTTTACATCGTCCCCCTGTTTTTTGTGGATGAGTGGAGAAAATTCATCAGGTATGTTTGTTTTTAAGAAACAATTGTAACGAACAAAATACTATTTTGTTGTGGCCTTGCTGTGTGTAGTCACGATGTCAGAGGAGTGAAGTCAGCCTGTATCTTTTCTTTTTTTTATCATCTTATCTGTTTATATTGTTTTAATTTTGCTTGTATGTTTTTTATCTTATGTTATTGTTATATTGCACCAATCTTCAAGACAAAATGCTCTATGTGCCAATGAATGGCTTGTGATTTGCTCTCAGGCAACAGTCAGCCATGACCACCAGATGTGACATTAGTAGTGACTTGAATGGATTTGTTTGAGTTTTAAAGTGAGAAATGAGGCTTTTAGGTTTAAGTCTTGTGGCTGTTGACAGGAAGGTCTGTCTGTCAACGGAACTATTTGAATATAGAATACACTTTAACAGTATTTATACTTTTTTTTAAACGTATCTCGCTGCTTACATGGCTTTGTCTGGGTGTCTGCCAGAGATCTTCCTGCGTTCCAGTAGTTTGGGTTTCAAGTAACATCTTTCAGCAGAAATGATCATTTCTGTTCCCGGTCTTATTTTGAAGGAGGCCCACTAAATCCTCTCCGGTGTCTAACGTGGGAAACACTCTGCTGCTGTGTCCCCACGGAGGGTTCATGTTCACCTACGACTCGCTCATCAACGGAGATGGACAACAGTGAGTTGTGCTTATTTATATACAGTATTTAATAGTTGCTCGCACCTACATTGTAATTGTAGGATGATTATTCATTATTGAGCCGCGCCGAGCTGAACTGGTCTCACGTTGTGCTGTTTGTCCTGCACAGTGTAGCTCTGCTGTGGCCCAGCGAATGGGAAGTGATCAGCAGGCTCTTCATCGTGGACCAGGCGATCTCCATCCACTGCTTCAGAGAGACCTCACTGAGTGACGCCACCACGCAGTACACCACTCAGCCCGGTAAGACGCGCTTCACCTCACACACGCGTGGCCTCCCAATCGCCTCACGCGTCAACATCTCTGCCGGATTGTGGACCTCTTGGACCTCTTTGATGTGCCGCGTGTTCGTGTGTTCAGACATCTGTTGGGAGTGCAGAGAGAGCTTCCTCTTCCAGCAGCAGAGGGACCTCCGAGAGTACACCCAAGCCACCATCTACATTCGCAAAGTCATCGAAGACCAGAGGGTAAGAAGACAGCCGGACGTTGCCACACAACGCCTGAGATGAGAGCCACAGAATGAACCCTGTTGTCCTCCCGCACAGATGATGAAGGAGGCGGCTCCAGAGCTCAACGCCAGCAGCTCGGAGGCGGAGGAGGACAAGGAAGAAGTTCCAAAGGTGGATGGAGAGACAGACTTGGACTTCAGTCAGGTAAGTCCATGACCGAATAGACCCTGTGCAGGTACAGGCTCGTGTGACTTCCCTGCACCTACTGAGCATTGTCAATATCAAGCTCCATCACACGGCTTCATTTCAGTCCCAAGATGGTGCGAAGCGACTCAAGCTGAGCGACGACGGCACAGCAGCCTCGGCTCCTGCAACCAACATGACCAAGCTGGGGGGCATCAGGAGGAGCACCCGGCACAGGAAACTCCGAGGGGAGAAAGCCCTCATCGTGTCAGCTAATCAGACCCTGAAAGAGCTGAAAATACAGGTGAGCGCTGGAGTTGACTGGATTCCAGCCTGAGTTAATCCGGTGGATTCACAAAGCTGACTTGGCTTCTGCCCTGCAGATTATGCACGCCTTCTCCGTGGCCCCGTTTGACCAGAACCTCTCCATCGATGGAAAGAGTCTGACGGACGACTCGGCCACACTGGGTAGTCTGGGCGTCATCCCCGAAAGCATAATCTGTCTAAAGGTACTTTTGACGTAGAAATCGTAACCACTGCAGCTTCAATCTGGACTCCCATCACATCTTTTCATGGCGATTACATTGATGGGATTGATTTTTCCTTCAAGTAACATTAATAAAAACATTATTTCCTCACAGGCCGATGAGCCGATAGCAGACTACGCTGCAATGGACGATGTCTATCAGGGTAAATACTCCCATCGTCACCTCTTTGATCACGTTATTTCATATTAATAAAAGTTGAAAGATGATTAAACTGTCTTTGTCTTCCTTCACAGTGAGAATGCCGGAAGAGGGATTTAAAGGTGAGCACACTTCCGTTTTTTTTTTTTTCTTCTGACAGCGGGAAGTTCTCATCTCTATTCTGCGCTATAATGTGTTACGGCTGAGATGAAACAGCCAATAACAGAACGACTAGATTCCTAATCAGACGATTTGATAAATGAAATCCATGTTTTGGTTCTGATCTCCTCGCTTCTGTTCCTCTCTGCAGGCACTGGGCTTCTCGGGCACTGAGGAAAGCTTGGATTGGACAGATGAAATTTTAAAAAAATGATGGCTTGAATTTGTCAAGTGTGCATATATCAATAGGTTCTTTAATTTGTTTGTTTTTTTACGTTTTGAGTAGGCTTTCTTTAATAAAACTGTGACTATGTTGCAAAGCCGCATTCTTTCTCTACATACGGTTAGCTGGTCTTTGATATTTAAAACTCGTAATCATTCTGAAGGACTGTGGTCGTGGATCTGATGCATTTTGAATCTTGGCTTCAGTCTACTGTTACTCCGGGAAACAGGCTTTGTTTTTTGATTTTTTTTTTTTAAATTATGGCAGATGACAAATTGGCGATGTTTTTTCTTTCCATTATGTGGAAGCTGTGTTCTCATTGCAAAGGTTTGGGTTTTGTCACAAGAATGCACGAGTAACTGTTAACTATTAAAAATTGTAACTGCTCTTAAAAGTTAGAACATTTATTACCTCTACAGCAAATCTATATCCATATACTCCGTATGTTAGAGATACATAGCCACACAGTATGTATCGAGGCTGATACCTGGAAGTGAGAAACAGAAGGCAAGCAGTGATACGTCTTGTTCTTTTCACTGTTATTTCTTATGGACAATAAAGTTATTTTCAAAGCACCCTGTTGTCGCATACACACAATCGTTCCTTTTATAAATTGTGAGTTTTTATTCCAATAACTAGTGATTTGGGGATAAGTTCAGTCCTGTGAAGTCAAATGACCGTATGCAACGTGATGAAATAGTCCAGCTGTTACACGTGTCATCTTCAAATAACATGCACAGCTGTATACACCCTGGAAGGTTGTGTTTTTATATCATTTAAGTTGCACAAGTATCATCTTAAACAGCAAATTTTTATTACAAGACGAGCAAAACACATTAGAATACATTAAGAAACTATCAGAATAAATGTATAATACCAAATCGATTTAAATTGATACAACAATCTGGAATTGTGTTTATCGAATGTTGCTGTAGAATTCAAAAAGCTTCAAAGGTGTCCAATAGAGATCCATTTGACAATATCAGAAAGTTGTGTACAGAGAGAGATGTCTGGCTTTGAGAGCACAGTGCGGGTCTTCTGATGAAGGGCGACCTGCTGCACACAGGTTACCAGATGTAAATAGTACATATGCAGATAGAATGGAATCTTAATCATGTCGGCATAATTCAGGAGTTTACGTGCAATTCAACAACACCGAGATACTTCCAATGACGGTGAGCTATTTAGTAAAAACACTATTACTATTTAACCATTTTAACCAAGCGAACGATCAGATATAGATATAGATGTACATAGCGTTATATCTGTGGGGAAAACCAGGAGCATTTTCCTTAACCGGAAACGGACCCATTTGGCTGCCGGACCGCCTGTCGCCATTTTCAAAACGGCGAAAGCTTTATTGCGCAGAGCAGCGTTGTTCAGCGACGGAGTTTAAATAAAGAGACGGATCGTTTGAATAATTCAAGGTAATACCAAAACGTCCATTGACTGCGAGCGGCGTGTCGGACGGTCCCTGGCGGCCGTTTGTTCCACTTTCCCAATGAGCTCCACTGGTTTCACGATGGTAACCTTTCGAGACGACATTACCGCCCGCAGCTAAAGCTAAAGCTAAAGCTAGCGCCTGCCAGAGGGCAGAGTAACGTTAGCTCTCAGCATCTTAAACCTGCGCGTTAGCGGGACACACGTGACCTGACACCACACTTTCTCAGACGAACCAGTCCCCGCGCCGTGTCCTGTGTTCAATGTACCGCTGTAAACATAAGCACCATCATCTACTTTAGCAGCTGAGCACACGCGCGGCGGTCTCTCCTCGCAGCGATGCTGGAGCTGCCGAACTACAGCAGCCAGCTGATGCAGCAGCTGTGGGCCCTGAGGAAGGAGGGACACTTCTGCGACTGCACCATCCTGGTGGGCGACAGCACCCACCGCGCACATAAACTGGTACTGGCCGCCTCCAGCATGCTCTTCAGGTAGTGTGCAGGTGATCATTCAGCTGCTTGGTGGGTGTGAGGGGGGGGGGGCTCGGGGGTCTCGTGCTGTCAGAGGCGATTCATCATCTGCTTATTTGTTTCTCTGCTGTAGCTTTCAACCGTCTTTGTGCATTTGAGGAAGCTTGTGAGAGTAAGATCTTTTTTTTCAGGGTCTAGTCACTCTTAAATACTGGAGGGCAGTTGTCAGGTTTCACCCTGTCTCAATATTAATATACACACATTAAGATCAGAGTACATTAATGAATCAGACACGTCTCCTAAACCATAAGAACGTTGATATCTGAATAAATACACACATCCTAAAACAATCTAATTCGAGTGTTGTAGGCAGAATTGCAAGCTGACCATTATTACATTGACACTGGAATCAGGTTTCAACTATAGATTTATTTTCGTTTCATTGCTGATTTTGCCTGCCACGTCATAATGTGACTCTTTATCGTTCAGGTCACTCGGGTACTAGAAAAGAAACAAAATGGCCTTGCTCTTCGACAGGTCTCTCCTGGACGGCTCCGACACCATCTCCATCGACACGGCCATGGTGTCCTCGCAGGAGTTCAGCTGTCTGCTGGACATGGTCTACACCGGCAAGCTGCCGCTCGGCAAACACAACGTGGGCCGCATCGTCGCCGCTGCAGACAGCCTGCAGATGTTCGACGTGGCCGTCGGATTCAAAAATGTCCTTACCAGTCTCGTGAGCAAACAAGTCCCAGTGCCAGTGCCACTCGTCTCCGCACAGGCCCCGGGCCTCGCCATGATCAACAAAGACCAAAGCGCGGACCCCGAAGGTCCCGCCGTACCCGCGGAGGACTGCGCGCCGGACCAAACGGAGCCTGGACCTGAGCTGAAGAAGAAAGCGGCTCAGAGGGACAGTGAGGACCGAGAGGAGCCAGCACGTAAGAAGGCCTGCGTGGAGCTCTCCGCGTGCTCAGGTCAGTGTCGGCCATGAACACACCGTTACTAAAAACACATTCCAGTAGAACAACAACCGTTCGCTGCTTGGGACTGACTGCCTGGTCTTCATGTCGCGGCGTGCGCAGGTGCAGAAGGAGAGCGACCCTCTGAAAGGGCAGAGGAAGAACCCAACAGAACGGCAGCCGAGGCGTCGGACGGGCCTGCCGCCGTTTTTCTGGAACATTCCTCTCAACTTGTGGAGCTCCTCGGCAGCATGCCGTCCGTCCTGGAGCTGCTGAGCCAGGCAGCGCAGACCAGTGTGGACGAGCAGGAGAGACCGGTAGGACAACATCATTCAAACTGATTGGGAATAGTAAGAGAACTCGCACGGGCTTGTTTCATCAGGACGCCATTAGCGCTTTGCCTGCAGGACTCACTCGCGTTACTTTGAGCTCTGTCTCTGCAGAGGTTTGACTATAATAGAATGATGGAGTGAATTTAAAACAGTGGAATCGATTTTCTTCAACCTTTACAGTGTGAAAGTGGATACAAGTACTATATTTACCTCTGAGACGTATGAAGTAAAAAGTATTGTAAGTACCGCGGAGATGCAGTAGAGTAAAAAGCTCTTAGTTGAAGCAGGTACCACTAAGAATCAGACCAGTTGCTCTCAGGTAATTAAGGAAAATAAAGCGGCATTTGTGCCGGTGCAGGTCGTGAGTCAGTGCTGCGCGGAGGCGGGAGCAGACCCCAGGTCAGCGCTGGAGATGCTGGTGAGCAGAGTGAAGGAGGGCCAGCTCAGTGAGGGAGCGCTGCTCGGGCTGCTCCGCGCCATTCAACACAAAAACCCCTCCGACTTCCCCTCCCCGCTGCTCCTTCTGCTGGGGGAGGTGCAGAGGGACTCCCAGCAGCCAGAAGGAACTGGAGGTAAAGAGCCCTTTGTGACCAAAAGCCCGTGTTCAGCTGTGGATATTTATATTTTTTTTCCTACAACCTTTCCAGATGACTCAGAGAAGCCGAACGGCACCAACAGTAAAGCCCAGCAGGACGAAGAGGAGGAGGAGGAGGAGGAGGAGGAAGAGGAGGAGGGAAGCATCAAGGAGGAGACCGAGGACAGCGAGAAGGTCGCCGATGCCTCGCCAAACTCCTCCTCGTCCCCCTCCAAGCCCTACTCCTGTCGCTGGTGCAAGAAGGCGTTTGCCTACAAGTGTCGCATGCTGGCCCACGTGAAGCGCTGCTCCATGTCCCAGGAGTGTGAGCAGCAGTGCCCTCAGTGCCCGCTGAAACTGGCCAACCAGCGGGCCCTGCAGCGGCACCGGGCCGAGGCGCACCGCAACACCGCGCGGGCCCAGAAGAAGAAGAAGGTGGCCTGCGACCTCTGCGGGAAGGCCTTCGCCCACCCATCGGGTGAGTCAGGGAGGCGTGGGAGTCGCCCCCGCGCGGCGGCGGCTCGCAGCGCCTTGTCCTTTCTATCTCTGCCGCTGTCTAATGAATATCTGATATTAGATGCAGCGCCATGTTGTTGTTGTTGTTGTTTTTTTTTAACGTCCTGACATGGTAAGAATGTGTGTCTTCCCTCTCCTCACACCCCAGGCATGACCTACCACAAGCGCACCGAGCACTTTGAGGAGAAACCGTTCACCTGTGACGACTGCGGCGCAAAGTTTGGCGCCAACTCGTCCCTGAAGAATCACATGAGGCTGCACACGGGAGAGAAACCGTACCGCTGCAAACACTGTGACATGAGCTTCGGCGTGGCTGCTGCACTGGCATACCACACCAAGAAGAAGCACTCTGAGGGTAAACACGCACGGGTCACCCCACTGCGCGCCCGTAATGACCCAGGTCCACTTAAAGCTCAGACTCCCATGTTCTGTGACCGTGATGGAGAGGGAGAAGTCTCTGATGATGAGTTGGCCTGTTAAGAGCTTTTCTGACCTTTTTGGATTTTCTAAATCTCTTCTCAGCGCAGTCAGCACTTGTCTCTTTTTGGCTTCAGGAAAGATGTACGTGTGTCAGTATTGCAAGGCGGTGTTCGCCCAGTCCATTGAGCTGACCCGCCACGTGAGAACGCACACTGGGGATCGGCCGTACGTGTGCAGAGAGTGCGGCAAAGGGTACAGCCAGGCCAGCGGACTCACCGTCCACCTGCACACCTTCCACAGTAAGGCCTCGCGCCCATGCATCAGCTACCGGGGCCTTGATTAGACCAAACGGATATTGTAATGCTGTAAACACACGCTGGTCATAAAACCCAGCGTTCCTTTCTGCACCCCGTCAGATTTGTCGGAGCCTCGCGACTGTCAAAAGTGTTGCCTGAGCTTCTCCTCGCTGGAGGAGCATCGCCAGCACATCCAGGAGGTCCACCCGAAGGAGTTCCACAAGTGTCCCACCTGTAGCAAGATGTTCACCAGCGCCGCCCTGCTGGACAAACACAAAGGCACACACAGCGGGACCAAGCCCTTCAGCTGCGACCTGTGCAACAAGTCTTACCAGGTAGGACCGCGACCGGTTCACAGCCGCTGGCCAGTTTGAGGGGGCGATCGTCGGATGTTTAGTTTTGTGCATTTGTCGATCTCTGTTGCCGTAGCAACTGTCAGGCCTGTGGTACCACAACAGGACCAACCACCCGGAGGTGTTTGCCAACCACACCCGGCAGCTCAAGACCCTGGTCCAGTGTGACGTCTGCTTCAAGTTCTTTCCCAGCGCCGCCACTGTGGCCAAACACCAGGCCGCTGAGCACCAAGGTGAGACGCCGCAGCTCTTCAGTCTCTTTCTTCATCTCCACGAGAAGCTTTGAAGTAGAAAAATGGTATTTGCAAATTGATCATTTGCGTTGTTTGCAACCAATCGCCTCTTCGCGTTCACTTTGCGTGGAATCTACTCGCGTGAGGAGTTTGCATTCCAGAAAACACACCTGATTGCTCCGTCATAGACGTTTGTCCCTTGTATAAACTGAAGGGAGACGCCGCATCTCGTTGGTAGCTGCACAGTAACGACGGGTCTTAACATCCTCTGCTTCGTTGCGTTAGTGACAGGAGTTTGTCTGCCTCCAGGCTCGGCGGCTGCGGCGGGGGCGGCGCTGCAGTGTCCCTACTGCCCGTCCCTGTTGGGAGGGGAGGAGGAGATGCAGGAGCACATCGGCAGCCAGCACGTGGCCCCCGGCGAGGCGTTCAGCTGCCCCCCCTGCTCCCTGGTCTGCTCCTCCCAGCTGGAGCTGCAGGACCACCTGCTCTCCTGCCACATGGAGACCCCGGGGGCCTCCACCTCCCACGCAGTAAGTACATTTTTTTATAGTTTGACAAATAACACACTGGAGTCTCGCGTTATTCATAAAAAGGAGAGTGTTGCATCATAAAATGACTTCAATCTGCATTGCACTGTTTGACTGAGCCACGCTATTGGACAGCTCTGCTGACCATCCAGCTGGCCACACCCCTTTAATGATGTCACTAACAAAAAAACACTGACTGACATGCTGCTGAAGAGCAAACACTCACTTTTACCTTTTCAAAATGAACTAATGTTGAGAAAATATGACTGTCCAATCAGGAGATAGCAACGGACCCAACAGACATCGGAGGGGCGGAGTCAATCCTCTGTGAGGAGCAGGCCCAGCAGGTGTTTGTGGCGCTGGCCGGTGGACGGGAGGGGGCGGAGTCGGCGGAGGTGGTGGAGGTCAACGTGTATGACCTGCTGAACAGCTCCGTCGCATTCATCTGTGAGGACAAACCGCCAGGACCCGACCCTTCGCCGTGAACTCTGACCCCTGGAGGTTGAGTGCAGCGTCCTGGTGTGAGCACTCTTCCTACAGCAGGCTGAACCGACACAACGCTCATCCATGTTGGGCCCGTCAGCGCTTGTGTAGCAGTTTGAATGACTTTATAATCACATACAGGTTGGCTGCGTCAAACACAGACGCACAAAAAACAACCTGAGCTTCGTGGTGCTGCCTCGTGCGTCTCCACCTCAGAGACGGAATGTGGACTCGAGCAGGTGGGTGTCACAGCACTGAGGCCGATCACAGTGAACGTGCTCGAGTGTGCGTACCACGTGGACAGGAACAGTTGGACGTGTATTCATGATACTGTAAAGCAGCAGAAACGAGAGCAGGTGCTTCTGCGTCCAGGTCGGACCCGGAGCCGTGAGTTGGAAAACATTTTTAAGGATCACTTTCCTCAGCTTTTTAAAACAACTCTGCAAACCCACTTTACTCATTTGTTCCCAAAAACGATATTTACAAAGAGAAAAATGGCACTTTAGTTCGGATGTGTCCTTATTATGTGCAAGTATCTAACAGTATAACTTAAATAATTTGTATTAATGGTTGCGGTCAGAATCTCTTTGGCAATTGGAAAAATACAGATTGTTTAATAAATGTCTTACATATTTTTTTATACTGCAAAAAAAGATTTGTCTCATTGGAAATAAAAGCAAACAATTCAAACGTAGCTTTTTTGTTTATTGCAGAAGGTTCAAAGACAAAAACAAACCTACAACAATTGGGACCAAACAGACCTGAGAAGCACGCTGAATACATTTAAGAATTTAAGTTCACACAGAATCTCTTCACCTTTCGCAGTGAAGTGCAACCTGATTGTTGGAAACATCCAACCAAAGCATCCAGATGAGGAAACGAACCCTCATTTTAGGGAAGAGAAACCAAAATGTCAAAGCGAGTTCGGGGGAGAACTGGAGCGGCTGTAACATCGACCAGCATCTCTGACTGGAGATACGAAGGATTTCTAATGGACTCCAAAGCCATTGATGTACAATTGTGAAAAATGCTCTGCTGCAGTTTGTTTAAATGGTTTACTGTCCAAAAACCAACAATACAAAAAAGAAAATGCTTGTTGTGGGGAAACCAGTGAGGATTACGTCCGCTGTGTCTCAGGACGACCTCAGAAACCCAAAGCCCTTAAATGTCCGTCCAGTGCGAAGCTGCTTTTCATTCATCTCTCCTTGGCTCATAACTAGTGGAAACCTGCACTTATTGGTACAATCTTTAGGTCCGATCTCGCAGAGACATCGAGCGCACTGGACAGAAATCTTTCATCCTTTGCGATGCAGAAACAATCGTTTTTCCCCTTTTGATTAAAACACAAAGCGCGTGACTCCCAAATGACCTCTTCGCTTCGTTTGTCAGCCTTTCACAAACACCAGTAGTGCTTCATACAGAACCGGTTATTGGTGTCAATGCGAGCATTTCATAATCAAATGAGGACTCATTGAGGAAACCAATACCACACAAAGGATAATCAATAAAAGCTCTAAACAGCCAAGACAGACACAACACAAAATATCATAAATGAATAAATAACGTATTTACCGGCTGGTATTGAATCATCTACAGCGTCTTCATGGTGCGGTGTCCTCACGTCTTTGAGACCCTAAGTAGTGCAAATAGTCCTCCAGAGATGAAAGACGTTCAGCTGTCCTCCAACTGCTCCCTGCGGTGGTTTGTAGCAATGTCCTACTGTCCTGCTCCGTGTCTCTATACAACTTGGTATTTGACATATTGTTCACAAAAGCCTGTTTCTTCTTCTTCTTCAGCGTCAAAGACGCCAACGTTTAAATGTTTTAAGCTGCAGTTGTTTAACTGGCCACTGAGAGCCGGCTATGAAAATTGTGCACAAACTAGAAAATCACGCTGCTCAATTAATCCTACAGCCCAGCATGTTTCTATTTTGTACCCTAAAATGACTTCATCCAATTAATGATGTTATTCAATTAATTTATCAAATATATTACAGTAACTCTTCATACAAACACGTCCTGCTGCTAACAACAGACTGTACCTTTGGTTGCTACAATGACCTTAAAAGTTCACACGAGTGGAAGCTGCTGAACCCTGAAGGTTGCTCTTGCTCAGTAGAGTGAGGATCAGGTGGCACCTTGCATGGAGTACGCAGAAGAATGCTAATAGTCGGTGGGGCTGCCAGCATGTGGAGCTACTTGCTTTAGTTATCGTATCTGCAGATCCGAAACGGCCAACGACAGACCAGAGCGGATGTGTGCTCTCTAGCTCGTGAGCTTCTTGCGGGGCAGGTAAGCATTCGTGATCTGGTTCATCACCACCAGAGCGGGGAAGAGGGCCAGCAGGAGGAAGCCCCACCAGGCCGCCCCTTTCACCGTGGCCTGGAACCAGTCGGAGAACATGGCGGACACCACGGTCACCGTGGCCAGCAGGTAGACCACCAGCCCACAGGTGGCGTGGTACAGCTTCAACTTGAGCCTCAGGGGAGAGGAGGACAGACGCAGCAGTTTAGGGAAGATCAGGCAGATTCCGCAAGCGGCCTGGAGAACGGTGGCAGCCACGGTGCCGATGCCCAACCAACTGTGCCAGCTGACCAGGTGGGGAAGCTCGGACACGCTCTTGCTGGCCAACATGAAGCCCAGGCCAGCGGCTGCAGCGATCAGGACCAGCGCCTGACAGCACCAGTGGAGACGGACTTTACACTTCCGGGATTTTATACAAAAGGGGAATCCTTCCGCCGAGAAGAGGAGGACGCCTTCAGTCAAACACAGGCAGTACTGCAACAGAGACGACAGAAAGCAGCTGAATTTACCTGCAAAAGGTTTTTAGGATTGAATCATTTTGTTGGGATAATTTATTTAATAGTAATAATTTAAATAGAGGGCGGTGAACGTTGCGGATCAGACTTCATGATGAAGATCATAACTCATAATCACGCCGTGACATCATGACAACCTTTTAGCTGCGGTTCCTAACAGAAGTTCAGTATGTAATGCGATAACTGACGTAGTGATGCAACACAGTCGCTGGCGTCCCGACATCTATTATTCACAGCGGAAAGAAATGAGACACAATAGAGGGCGTTGGTCTACAGGTGCACGGACGGTTTACGGGGGAATTCATATCCAACTGTTTAAGCTGTGACATCACGTCCTGCATTAATTTAGTAGGTTACATTTAGTTTTTTTACACAGGATTACTTCCTCAGCTACATTTCATCAGGAGACCATCTCCACAAATGGACCTGATTTGCACTCTCAGATTTTTGACATTCATAACCTTTTAAGATCATGCAAGTTAATAGGTTTATATTTATGCAAATAACCGTAAAAAAAGATATGTCATGTCTTTATGCTCTAGATGAATGTTTGAACAGTATGTGATTTATCAAAGTAAAACGCTACGAGCGGTCAGGTCGCGTCACAGGTCAGAAGGAAGAAGACAAGCTGAGAGCCACGGTGCACGTTTCACTGTGTGTGGAAGAGAGAAGAACTGGACTGTAAACTTACTGCCACAGACATGCACACTGGATGCCAAGAAAACAGACCTGCAACACAGAGAAACACCCGTGAGCGGCTTACAATTCAACAACACATGACTGAACGACTAGAACCTCCAAAATGACATTAAGAAAATGATCATCACAGCACAGTTTGTATTGTTAGAATAAAGAGAGCATGATAAATAAAGCTACATGAGGCCAGTGGTCGTTTCTGTTCATTATAACGTGGGTTTGGTTTATTCAAACTCCCGTTTAACTTCATTAAAAGTAACTAGGAGTGTGTGTTGATGGAGGGATCCACTCACTGGTCCCCGGTCTGGACAGCAGGGAGATGATGAGGGTCAGGCCGAGCCCGGTGACGTGAGCCGCGGTCACCGCCGCCCTGCGGAGCCACACGTAGAGCCAGTAGTCCCGCATGCCCAGCCCCTCTCCCACCGGGCTGTACTCCACGTCTGACGGCATGCCGCCGATCCCCCGGCCGGCTACCGGCGCCGTCCCGCGGGCGTAGAGGCGGAGGTGAAGCCGTCGCGACACGGCACGGGCTCCATAACCGGGCCGGCTTCTCCCCGGTGGACGCTCGATTCGACCGACTGCGGACAGGCGGCACTTCCGGGATGTGGTTTTCAAAGCCGGCGTCCAATTAAAGTATCGTATTTGATTATTAAAGGACGTCCTTATTTAAGTAGATAACCGTGTGTCATTGGAATGTGCGAATAGAGGTTCACTGCGCGTCTTTATCCCGCACAGAAGGAGGTGTCGGCTGCTCTGGTCCCAGCGGAGGGAACTGGTGAACTCCCACCGGACGTGGCTCGTGTTGTCATGTAACACATCCGGGTCATATCTCGTCTCACTTCCGGGTTTGACTCGACGGTGAAGGCCGAAGAGTATGAGAGAAGTGAGATGGTTCACTCCCTTCCTGCTTTTCAGTCCAGTCGTTTGCTATTCAGACTTGTTTGCTTGCAGGTTTGCATGTAAAACAGTTAATGTTATAAAATATGATCAATAGGTTCAACACATTTATATTGTTCTTTTGAGGCTCTTCGTTTTAACAGATTCAATAATCCACAGTAACATATTCCCAAGTGTATCATTTCTAAATACACAACGGGTTTTGTGTATTATTTTTTTGGCATTGCAGCTGGTGTCAAGTGCACAATACAAATGCCACATTAAAAAAAGTTAAAGTACGAAATCCCAGTAAGTGAACTTGACCAGCACCACAGCAGTGATGATAATCATACAGCAGCTTCATTACTCCAAACACTGATGACCAACTTTGACCACTAGAATACGCTTTAAAAGTTTAGTGAATGTGACCAGAAAACATGTATAGCCTTAAAATAAGTCAAAGAAACAAAGTGGAAAGGACATTTTAATACATTCTTATAAACCATATTTAATTTAGCAGCATAATTGGATGGTCTTGAGGTATTTCTAAATCCATACTCTGAATTTCATCCCACCCTCCCGCTCCATGTTCTCCCCCAGACATTCACACAGACTGACCCACCCAGCGTAGATACGCACGCACACGCGCGCACACACACACACACACACACACACACACACACACACGCGCGCACGCACACGCACGCACGCACACACGCACACACGCACACACGCACGCGCCCTGTTGCCTCAGCCCCCGACTGAGTGGCGCTGGCTCCCTCTTAGTGGCTTGTAAGGCAGGCACTCTTAATGGTGCAGTTTTGGCTGTGGGACAAAAGAAACAAAATTATTAATTATTTCATAAACGGATGTGTAACATATTCAACGGAGGACTCTCCCACCGGTGACGTGAAAAGAGGAGGAGGATTTGAAGGTTGGACACTTCCTTAACGTTTAAGTTGATGGTACAACTTTCTTATTTTTACCTTTTACCAGCAGAAAAGCTGCATATTGGACCTTTTGACTGCCACAATTTCTTTCTCCGGTCACGCTGAGCTGCGTAGTGCTAGCGACTATCACGAGAACCAACCCTTTGGTAAAGGTGTTAAAGGTGAGGGAATCTCCCCGGTGTGTTGGCATGGACGACTTTATCTCCAGTCCCGACTCACCTTCTGTGTGCCCAGTTTCTTCTCCACTCCCCCAGCCAGCCCCCCGCCTTTGCCGTCCTTCCAGAGGTAAAAGTTGGAGCGCGGCGAGGAGGACGACGAGGTGGCAGAGCCGGAGGAGGAGGGCGGCAGGCGGTACGCGGAGTGCTTCGAGGACGGCGAATGCTCCTCGACGCCGCCGCCGCCGCCGCCCCCCTTGCGTTTCTTCACATGGTGCTCGAAGCCCCTCCCGCTGCCCTGCCCGTGCAGTCCTGAGTCCCCCACGCCCCCCCTGCTGTGGGAGTTGTTGGTGGCGGAGGAGGAGGAGGGGTCTGGGGAGGAGGAATGGCCCAGAGGAGCGTGCGTAGTGCGTCTGTAGGTCCAGACCGCCTTGGCGGCTGGTGAATGGGACTCTGAAGGGGAGGGCTGGGGGCGGGGTTTCCCGCTGGGGGAAAGCGTACCATTGGTCTGTCCGTGCGGGAGAGGGGAGGATGTGGGGGGTTTAGAAGACGACGACGAAGATGACGACGAGGACGAAGAAGAGGAGGAGGAGGAAGAGGAGGAGGAGGAGGAGGAGGACGAGGAAGGTGGGCGGCCCCGGTCCTGGAGGATGATGGAGTTCCTTTCGGGGCCTGAATGCTCCCCTTCCTGTGACGGCGCCTTCCGCTTCCGGAGGGCGGCGGCGGCGGCGGCCTCCTCCCGCAGCTTCAGCATCTGCTTGCTGGGACGCCCCACGGGGTTCTTGGGTCGCCTGGCGCCCGTCTGACGCGCCGCCGCAGGCTTACCCGGAGACGCCGAGTGGCCGCCTCCGCCGCCTCCGGAGTTCTCGGACTGAAAGGCTGCCGGGACTCTTCCCGGGCCGCGGCTGGAGGAGGAGCAGGAGGATGCTGCTGCTTTGAGGGAGGAGCTGATGTGACTTCCCGTGCGGACTTTGGAATGTAATGGCGAGGAGGAAGTGACGGTCTTTGCTGCAGAAGCTGGAGATTGAAGGTCTGTTGCCTGAGGTATTTTCCTGTAAAAGAAGTAAATCCATAAAATCAACGAAAAACAGCCATTAGATGAGAATATGGTCCTGTGGGATAATCTGAAGCATTAGAAATCATTGTTGGGGCGTGGCTGAGTATTGATAAGTCAGAACTGGAGGATTTAAATGCCAACTACAACTTTACAGAATAAAGAGGTGGATGCAACGGGGTTCTCTCTCGGTCTCCATCTTAGTCGGACTCCACTGACTCACTCACTGCTGCTATTCTGGGCAGCAGAACACTCCATCTGCTCCATCTCTTAGTGACTAACAACACGTGGGTTACGCTCCACTTTATCCCAAAGATCTGATGTCACGATCAGAAAACGAACACGGGGGGGGAGGAAAGATCGGCCAATATCTGAGTGATCTGTCATTCAAAGCAACAGCCTTGAATATTTGTCAGCAGATCGTTTTTTCAAATCGGAGAATGGAACCACTTCAATATGCTGGAGAAGGAACCCATTGAAGCCCTCTGGTGACCTCGGAGTAGTAGAATCAATATACGCTTAGTTCGTTTGGGGGATAAACACTGAAACAGGTTTGAGTATCAGACACACAGACGGCCTTATTTTCAGTGACAAAGTAAGCGATTTGTTTATAAAAAGGAAATAAAAATCTGAAGGATTTCTTACTTCCACAGATGTGCGCTGATGTGCTGCTCCAGCATGCTGCTGAGAGCCGACCTCAGGTGGTGAAGCCGCCGGTCGAACGTGTAGATGCCGTGAGCCAGCGCGCGGCTGCCAAACGAACACACCTGGAGAGAGAAGACGGCGCGTGAATCACGGAGCTGGCGTCTCCTCCGGCTGCGATGGGGGACGCGAGTACGCGCTGCTCACCGCGGCTGGTCTGGGATGCGCAGCGGAACACGGGAACCCAGCGGGCTCCTCGGGTCCTTCTGCCTCGCTGTCGTCGCTGGAGATCCGCCCGTGGACCAGGGGCGAGGGGGCTCGGCGACTCCCCTCCTCCTGATGCTCGTCGTCCTCCGTGTTGCTCTCCGACACCGTAGTAGACCGGCTGCAAGGACGATGAGAGTTCGTTCAATTACAGTCTCTCGAGAAACAAAGAACTGTGCGAATTCGATCCCCCAGAATGTGGCTGCAGGTCGGAGTTGGGACTAGACCACAGGAGATCAATAACACCTGCCAGTACACATCAAAACAAACCTCCACATGGTCGTCTCCAACATCTGACCCTAAACTAGGGACCGGCGAGCCCACGGTGGTTAATTCGTGAGCTGCGGCCTTTCATGTGGAAGCAAACTCAAGGCTGGAACCGTTTGTGTTCAGCGGACACGGCGCGCGCCCCTCACCTGAAGGCAGGGAGGCTGGCCAGAGGCCGCCTGCAGTGCGGCGCCCCCGCCTGCTCCTTGGGGGCCTCCGGGCTGGGAGATCGCCCGGCAGAGGAGCCTCCCTCCAGGGATTGGGCCCCTTTCTCGCGGACCTTGGTCTTCAGTTCCGCCACCAGCTGGTTGAAGTTCTTGCTGCGGCCCACCACCTTCCGTCGTTGGTGGATGGAGTGGATCTGAGGACACAGGGTCGCCCGCCATGAGTCCCGCTTCCGTCTCATTGAAACGGCTCGCATTGGTAGGTGGCCACGGTTGGACTTCAACAATAGGAGCAGCCTTGGATGATCAACATGAGGCGTAGAGGTACTTTGCAGCAGGGTGCAACATTGTGACACCGTTGCACCAGCATGGAGCCCAACGCAGCAGGTCGGCGGTGGAAAGAGGGGACGTACGTATTGACACGGTTAATCCAGCTAGTTTAAGTCCAACCATCAATTTCACTCACTGAGGTTCTCACTTAACAATTCTTTTACACATGTATTTATACATTTATGGAAACCACATCAAGATTAGATGCACCACATTTCAGAGAAGTGATCAGTGTTCTGGCTGCTTCTCTGGTTACTTCAGTCATTTCATCCCCCAAAACAGTGGAGGATAACGGCAGGAGTTTGTTACGAGCACAGCGTTACGTTAATGGCAAATTAAAGTGCACACGAGGACAAATCGCCTCCTCAGGCTTCCTTATGGCAGGTTGTGTAAAAGCCACGTAGCATTTAAAAACCACGTTTAATCCAAATAAAGCGCCGTGTTTCGCCATGACGTCACTTCACGTGGATCACAGAGTGTTTCTTTGCAGACGCTGCGCTCAGCAGGGAAGCATTTCTCATCTTCTTAGGCATCATTCTCACTCAGCGCGATGCGATGAAAGCGTCTGGACGTTTATTCAACGTTTCACCATTTTTAGAACACGGTTGTGAAAAAAAAAAAAAAATCCTTTTACGTTTACTATGAATACAAATGATGTTTGCACATAAGCATTAATTACACGTAATGCCCATAGGATCGTATTTTGATGAATCAGAATGATTTGATTCATTCGCACTGGTACTTCCTGTTTGTTTAGTTCACTTCTCACAACTGAACTGTTTGATAGGAAGTGTCAAAGTGACAACAGTATGGGGATTTAAAAAAAATGGTTTTAGAACTATCTAATCCACTTATTACTTGGCAAAAAAGAACCTTTTTAATTTTTCAACAACATCATAAACATCAAGTGTTGCTTATAAATGCTGAAATGACAGCAGCGTCTTCATTTCCTGTTAGTCGGGTCATCCTGTCTCGGCCCCACTTCCTCCTGCACCGGGCGGCGGGCTCTTCCTGCGCCGGGGGCCCTTCTCGCTGCCCGTCGCCTCAAAACTCTCACACACACACGTTGAACTGATGCTACACAGCCGCCCTGCAACACACTCATCGTCCCAACAGCAAACAAAGCACCGTGTTCTGCCTCAAGCGCAGCACGACACACACACACACACACACACACACACACACACACGTCCTGGAGGTGCAACAGCTAAGTAACACCTCCATCTCCCCAGCTACACCCTTCTCTGAGGAAACACAGACACTGCACGGGGCCAGCGAGGAGACGACATTTCACAGACGCGAGGGCGGGCGGCGTGTCGGGCGCTTACGTTGCACGTCAGCAGGCGGGTGCAGACCTTCTTCCTGTCGGGGTCCAGGACGCCGCAGTGTTTGTCCAAGTCACACTCCCGCTCTGAGGAGACACCGCCACAGCGTCAACAGCAGACCCCCCACACACGTGCTGCATGACTTCAGCAACGTAGACGCGTCCTCGCTAGGAAACTCGAGTATTAGTTACGAATACTTGAGTTGAGTATTTCCTCGTTACGTAATTAATGTATACTAATAAATTGCATAGCAGAGGGAAATATGTGCTTTATTACTTATTACTTTTATTTGACAATATTAGTGTACAACTTCCACATCTGTTCTTATGTAAATGAAAGTAGTTCCTATAAACTCCACATTTACCAGCAGCAACTTTAAAAGTGATAATCACATTAAAGCAACAAAAAAAGAGAATGACTTTCGGAATATAGATATTTTAAAACGGGGCTTTATGCATAACGAGTAGCTTACTTTTAGAAGTCCACTTTAAGTATATTTTAATGCCAATATTTTAAACAAAGTAGCGTTTTTAATTCTGGACTTTTTGTACCAGTACATCTAGAAAAAAACATCACATTTTGAAAAATCCACCAGATTTTACTGAGGGCTATAACCAACAGTCCAAAGATATATCGATAATTAGAATTATAAAAATCTACATTTGAACTGCGTGCAGCGCTTTCATAACTGAAAAAATGTCCCCATCGTTAATGTCCTCCGGCTTCTGCACATCGAAGGCAGAATAACCTGCGGCAGCTGCAAACAGCCAGCGTGCTCAATAGTTTTAGGTATTTTGTGGAATCAGGTGATGGTTTTTCCATTCGTGCAACCAAAAGACAAACAAACATACATTTTGACCTAAATTAACAGCATTGCTAAATCCAAAGTAATAACTGATTAAAAAGAGATTCAAAAATGCATGTTTTTATGTTGAGCAACATCTTGCTTCAATCCATATTAGTCGGTGTCAAACCTTCCATTAAACATTCTGCAGGAATGCACTGACACGGTATGTTCATTAGAGAAAGGGTAGCACCAGACTCACCCTCTTTGTCGCTCTTGGGCGTGTGCTATCCAGAGGAAATACGCAATTACAACTCGACAGTAGACCTTTTGGGATGGCTAGTGTCAGCCGTAGTCTCAGTGTTGTTACTTTCTCAGCATGCAATGGACGCCGTTGGCACCGTTCCATATGTAGGCGTCAAATGTCATGACAGTAGAAAAAAGGACTGTCGTAATAACTTCTGCAGAGTTGTAAAAACCTGCTTTATTAGTATTAGATTTTTTTTTTTTGTGTCTAAGAAATTTAGATTTTTCTGGTAGGTCGAAATGCCGAACAGATAAAACTAGATGACACGTATATATTCATCTGCGTACGTTACACAAACGGCTCATACTGCTCATACTGTACTCACTGGAGGCCACTTTGTTGTAGGGTCTGGGGACCCGGTGGCTCGGCACAGCGGAGCCCTGGGGGGAGTCCTTCCTCTGGTTCTGGGAGGGCGGCCGGTCACTGGGTGAGGGCCGACCAGGCGGCGTGCCTCCGTGCAGCCAGGGCGGATCGCGGACAGACGGCGGCGGGGAACTCATTGGAGACTCCAGAGGCGGCGGCTGCTTGAATACGGACGAGTCGGTGTGGCCGCTGTGGGAGGACTTGTCCAGCGGGGAATGTCTGGGGGGGGGTAGAAGAGCATCACATTCACTGCTGAGCCTGAACCAACACTGGCAATAATATATATATATAGATATATATATATTATATGCCTGTTTAGTTGTTGTTTGGCTGTAATCTGATCACACACATCAGAGACAGCATCATGTGATCAGTGGTTCATATTTGTTACATCTGGGCAATATTTGATGTTCTTCTCTTTTAAAATGTTTATGAAACAAATTCTTAGAGTACAATGCGCCTCTCTAAAGCCTACCAATGGATACAGTAGTAAAAACAACGTTTAAAAGTTCTCCTCAAGTTGTGTGCCAGTTTATTTCCGCTTTAGAAAACAGGTCGGCACGTATCGCTCCAGAAACCCCACTAGCTGTTTACTTTGGTTTCAGGGCGGATTCAGAAAACAAACTCTACGGTGTTAATTAGAGAGCTAAAGCGGGTCTGATGCGTTTGGACGGAGGCAGCCAGTGTTTGCGTTGGATAGCTGACCGGCTAATAAGGCCGCGGTAGTTTGCTATATTGCGACTGCGGGAACCCGAGTCGAAGCCATTCTCTCAGGCTGCTTTGACTAGAAGGTAGAAAAGCACATTTCTGAAAATGTGAAACCATTACTTTGATGCCATTTCACAAAATCAAAACAGATTTTCAACATAAAAATGAAGTAAAGACATTTGTACATCATTCTATTTCATTCATGGTATTTTAATATTGCAGTGAGTCTAAACGACCACAATGAGCCCGGTGACCACCTTCTCCCCCGCTCGCCTCTTACCGTACTCCATCCTTGGATGTCTTGGAGTGTCTGTGCTGGGGGGGAGTGGAAGGCGAAGGCGGGGCCGCCCGTGGCTGCACGGCCGCCTGGCCGCGGCCCTCCCACGACGCCGCCGAGCCAGCGTTGGTCCCGTGGGAAGGGGAATGGCCGTGGTGGGGCCTCGGCTGGGCAGCGGGGGTGGGGGAGCGCAGTCGGGCGTACAGCTTGGCCAGGGGGGCGTGTCGCCGCTCGCAGTGCTTTTCAAACGCCTGCGGCTTCACCACCTGGCCGCAGTGGCTGCACACCACCAGGTAGAAGTCGTCATGGCCGGGGTAGAGGCCAAAGATGGACATGTCTTCCAAGAGAGCAGACACACAAATCACAGTCACACACACAACACAGCTGTATAATGAAGAGCCAGTGGAAGCGGACTTCAGTCCCCAAACGTCCTGCATTGAGGCGTGAGGGGCTTTTGATCTCATTAGTCATGGTCAGACACAAAGGGGGGGGGACGCGTCTGTTGGACTTCCAGAGGACGCTTTATCACACAACCCGACCGAGCCGTAAAAATCGCCCCGTTCTCTGCAAACCGATACGTCAGCGGTCCCATCGGCCGGGACTCACCAGTTCCAGCCCCCCTCGCTTTCCCACGTCCCAAACAACGGGACTTGCGTGTGTCCTGTGGGTGATGCGCGCGACTTACCGTCCTTACTGAGCGACATGGCCTCTGCAGCCTTTTTGCCATTCTTGCTGCACTCATCCCCATCCGGCCCTGAAACATCACACACAGGTTCATCAAGCCCCTTGAGAGGTCAAGCCATCCAAAAGTTGCATCTCAGGTTCGGTTGAGGGACAAAGCTTAAACCTCGTGTCACACATTGTGCACACGAGCGGGCCTGAAGGTTAGGATTCACGAAGGAACTGATCGGCAGGGCATCTGTCATTGTTGTCACTTCTCTAACAGCAGCTGTGGGTGTTGTGTGCTGGAAGAGGACTTGATGGGACAGGTATGGGAAAGGTAGCAGTCGTAGGGCTGCCAGACAATGAGTGAGCGCACATACTTAAAGATGGGGAGGGCAAGAGCACTTGTGCAGCAGAGGTCCCACACATGAGATTGCCTGTCGCCATGCAGACTCGTTAATACCAGCTGGATGGAGGCTTTGACGGCCACAGCAACGAGAAGATCACATTGAAAGGACCTCAGAGTACCAGAGACCGGGCCAGCATTTACATGGTGGCAACAGCATCCGGACTCCTCCTCCTCCTCCGTCCTCGCTGTCTACTCTCGGGGCTCCTAGCTAGCATTCGCATGCTAACGCTAGCCGCCTCATCGCCAGTGGGCAGGCTAGCTCCCTTGCTAGCTCGCTAGCCTCGCTTCCCACAGCGAAGAAGTTGCTCGCCCGGCCATCCACACTGGCCCGCTTCCGCTCCGGTGCCACCGGCGCTTTCGCTCAAATTAAAACACTGGCAGCTTGTTTCATGGCCGCCGCCGTTGACCGCACACTAGAAGGGCTACGCTTCAATAAGTAGCACTTGTTTTTTTTTCGGGAAGGCGGCTTTGGCAGCGGGACCCGGGCGCGAGCAACACGTTACCCACCCAGCGCTAGGACCCGGCAGGGTCTTTGTTTGGGTAACACGGTTAGCTCGCTCCTCCGTTTACCCGAAAATAAGCAACAGCGCGTCGGTTAAACGGCTTCGCAGCGGCCGGTGTTTGCGTCGGTGCGCCTCCTTACCCTCCGCCGCTGTCACACCGGCCCACTCGGCCCACGCGCTCCAGCTTTGACCCACAAAATCATCGAGGCTAGGCACCCGCCGATCCAGAGCAGCCATTACTTTTACTGCGCGTTCACGCACCGCCATCATCACTGCGCGGCAAGCCGCTTACGTCATATGTCGCGCTCTCGACAGGAAAAGAAGTTCCTGCGTGCGCGTTCAGGGGACACCCACACAGACCGGACGGGAGCGCAACATCTGTACATTGCGTCTCTGTGTGTGTGTGTGTGTGTGTGTGTGTGTGTGTGTGTGTGTGTGTGTGTGTGTCTGTGTGTGTGAATGCAGTGGGCTTTCTGAGTTTTAACGCACAGTGATTTTCCCCGCGTCGTTATTCAACAATAACTCGTTTCTGATACGCAAATATCCGTCTGAATGCAAACACGTGTCCGTATCAAGAGGAAGGTTCATTCGTACAGGACCTTCTGAACACACAAGCAGATGGGGGGAAACATATAATATCAAAATACTTTATTGCTCCAGGACAAACACATGTAACAAAGAACTACTTAAATTGAATGTACATTATGTGTATATTAAAAGCAGTATTAATTGAAGTGTTCCACTGTTGATTTAAAGATATTTCAGTTTATGCCACTTCAATAACGGAGCTTTTTCATCCCTTGTATCCAATAAAATATGTAAAGACGTCAGCATCAGTTTGGGGCCCCACTGTTTGAATCAAGCGCGGTTCGGCCCGCTGAGTAACTCCTGTCGTGCATTACGGCCGGTACCAACGTCTGCAGCCTCCTGGTCTCCTCAGGACCAGGTCTGCTCACAGGGGGGGTGAAGCACGGAGAGCGGTTTCTGCTGTAGGGATCAGAACGCGCAGGTCTCCACACGTGCACCCACCGTTCCTAATCCCTGCGAGGGAATAAGCCTCACACATGTGAGTCAGAGCCGTGCTGAAACACCCGCTGTGAGGCTGTGATGTAACTGTACTGTAATCAATATTCGAGACACTTCTTATAGCAAAGAACCTCTTCTAAATGGTTTGAAAGTTGTCATCTTTAAATGAGAAAACAATTGCCACATTTTCTCAATCAATTCAATGAGAACGTGTGTCCACACCTTTGACTGGTAATCTATCTACTGACGACTGGGCGACGTGGTTCAGTGACATAATGGTTATATACTGTAACAGCAGACCCCAGTCAGACGTGTTGGACATGTCTCCTACTTAAAGACTATTAAGTGAACAATACCCAACAGATTAGTTTTGGAAGATCTAAAGACACCTTTTTAATGATTAATTTTCCACTTTTCAATAGTTGGTGATACAGTAGAAGTATAATTCCTACTAAGAGAAGGGGCATAAAATAAAAAGGAAGCCCAGGTGAGAATCTATTATGATGGAAAAAATCTTAAATGAAATAATAAAATGTGCTACTCCTGCCCCTAGAGTCTGTCTGCACAGCAGAGCTTCCTGTATTGTCGTCGTCGTCTTCTTCATCATCTTCTTCTTCACCTTCTGCACAAACTCCCAACAATCAACTGAAAGCTCCAAATCTGATTCCCCTCAACTATCTGGTACGGAATCCTCTCTGCTGGAGTTCCTATAACAATAAATACATACATTTTGTCTTGGTGTCCACTGTAATTTACATTCATTACTTATTTAAAAAAAGCAAATAACTGGAATGCTTTCAGAAGTAAATATAACATTTCTGACAAGTTAATAAACAGGAAGATGTATCACAGTAAAAAAGACAATAAGCAACATTTGACTTACCCTTTGACTTTCCATGAAACGTGCTGGCTAATCTTGTGTCGGAAGGAACAGGAGGTCGTCATCATCCCACCGCAACATACTTGACATCACTGGAAAGCCCAGCGAGTCCTCTTTAAAGATCAGCAGGAACTGATAGGACAACTCAAATGAGTAAAAGGCGAGGTGCAAAACCGTGATGTCCACTAGGACACAAACGAATGGCTGCGTCTCAGGAGGTTATAGTCAACATGTATAATGTTATTCACATGCGATGACGTTCATGGCCTGAACGCTGTGGTTACATTTTCTGGCACCAATATTTTGTATTTCATTTTAACACTATTTTCATTTTGATATACGTGTGTCTGTACATATAGACACTCACGGGTCACTTTATTAGGTACATCTGTTCGACTGCTTAACACAAATGGCTGATCAGCCAATCACATGGCCGCAACTTAATGCCTTTAGACACGCAGACGCGGTCGAGACAACTTGCTGAAGTTCAGAGCGACTTTAACGTGTAAAAAAAAAGAGAAAATATCTGGTGAGCAGCAGTTGCGTGCGGTGTTAAAGTGCCTTGTGGATGTGAGGTCAGAGGAGAACGGGGGGACTGGTTGGAGGATTGAAAGGCAACAGTAACTCAAAGAGCTCGTTACAACCGAGGAACGCACAACACGTGGAACCCTGAAGGAGACCACAGGGGGGGCACTCCGGTCAGCCAACAACAGGAAACTGAGTCACACAGGTCACCAAAAACGGACAATAGAACAATGAAAAAACGCTGCCTGGTCTGAGGAGTCTCGATTTTAGTTCCGACATTCAGGTGGTCGGGTCAGAATGTGGCGGAAACAACACGTCAGTCCGCTGGTGGTTTGCTGTGAGCGCAACACGGACATTTTCTTTTATTTGCTCCGGTTTTAACTGCATGTGAAACACCGTATGGGTATACATATGTATGCAGATGTTTTCATTCATGAAGCTATTTTGCAAAGGAAAGAAGACAGGTGTCTAATTTTACATAAACATTCCACATTACATATCTAAAATATTAAGCATCTTAAAAAGGTTTCTGATTTTGATATGTGGAGAGTAAACTTTCATTTATTCCATCCAGAGGTTACGGCGGGGAAATCAAACCCTAAAGTGTTCGCTCTAAGTGCAACGCAGTAGTGAATGTGCTGATAAGAGTTGCATTCTAATGGGTGAATATACGAAGGTCACAGAAAGGAGTCAGAAATACAGCAAGATTAAGTCAATCTTTGGTTAATTCAACTATTTATCATCACACAATTCAGCATGAGGCTACTTAGTGATACAACACATTTAACAGAAAACCTGACATTACAAAAAAAAGAATAATCAGGTAGAAGCTGCACACTGAAACGTTTCCATTGAGAAATAAACCGAAACCCAACATTAGTTTATAAAAGATGCAGCGGACCAATTAGTGTAGATAAAAAAAAATACATGTTACCTTGTATATAAATAAGGTCACTGTCAGTCACCTTTCAGTCAAACCAGAATAAGACGTGGTGTCGACATTTGCATCGAACCGGATCTAAACGTGATCTGGTGTCTGAAGCAGAAACGTGGGAACCGGCCTGCTTCTGGAACAGGCTGAACATAAACGCTGGCACAGACAAGCTTCACCCCAAATGACCGTTTGGGAAGAAAAGTCTGCTTTCTCTGATATGGAGTCCAGTATATTGTAGTGTTTGTCCTTTTTAATTAGTGTTTTAAAACCAAAGATTGTAGAAATAAACGCCCATAGGGTCACTTAGTATGTGTGAGTGTCAGTAGATTAGAACCCAAATGGGGAAATCCTGTGGTGGTTAATTGACCAGTTAGATGACCCGGTGCTTTGGCGGAAGAGCTCAAGAAAGGAAAGAAAAAAGGCCTTAGATTAAAAAGCACAGATCTTAGAGAAAAAAAAGAGCATTCAATACATCTATTGAGACTGAATTGACAGAAATGTTTAGTTACAGTACTTGGGATCTGAACCGCACCACCTGAGCTTACAGAACGTCAGGAGGACCCCTGCTGAGAACCCCTGGTGTGCATCTGGTGCCAACTAAAGATTTGGACTGCATTCGATTTTATTCACGGTGCGGGTTGTTTGCACTTAAATTGTGGAAATCATTTGGCTTGGAAATCGCCCCCTAGCTGAAGACCAGCAGAGACTTTCTGTTCTTACATCACAGCTTCCTCATTAAGGGGCTAATGAGGGAGCACATGCACTGCACGCCTGCTGTCAGCAATGATAGATTCAGGAGAAGAATAACAGAGAATTTAGGATTGCCGGTCATCAGCGGGGACCGAGTTAATGTGAGCTAAATACCTGGAGCGGTGTTGGGAGGTACAGATTAAAGACAATAGGCTTCCATTTGTTTCAGGTTTTGCAGGTTAACGTCATAGACCAGTGTTGGGCACAGAGCGGTTCTTGCTGTGGGCAGAGGGCAAAGCTTGAGGACCCTAAGTGATGTGTTTAGGGCCCCGGGGCCCCTCCTTCCTCCATGGTGGCCGGTGGGTTGGGGTCCTTGTGAAAAGGAGTCTCCTTGAAAATGAACCAGCAGTTGCTGGCCCACAGTATCAAGTTCAAAAAACCAAAGATCTGTAGGAAAAGAGGTGAGATGATAAGTATCCTCATAAGTTGTATCCTCATTGTGATACGAGCCTGGATATGGTCTCTGATTTGAAACATGAAATGAAATCCCTTTCTCCTTATTCATGATGGTTATGATTTCAAAGAGGTCCTCTGCCTACATTAGCATAGCCGCTGCTGGTTGCACTAGAAAACAAACTGACGTTTTAATACTGGCCTTCAAATTGAACTCTTACAGTGTCAGAACATGTAGCCGCTAAGAGAAATACACACGATTACTCCATTTACTCCAACTGAACACTGCTGTGGGCCGATGGCATCGATGGAAGGGAACGCAGGTTTGGACGTGGCAGTGCCTCTACTCAGACGATACGAACGTCCCGGCAGCCACGCGTATACACCACAGCGGTTCTATAATAACATAATACTCCCTCAAGGAAGTCTGGGTTTTTATTGGTTTTCCTTTTCGACCGGTCCGTTTGCAACGGCTACTAATTCAACTTTTCAAAAAGGCCGACACACTGACACGGTTCAATGAAGGTAAATGAAATAAAGTGGCGTCCGTTAAAATGACCGCGTCAAAGTCCTTGTGCTTCACCTACTTCTTGTAAGGTTGAATGTTTGTGATAAACTGAAGGACGAAGCGTTGCTTTATGTGCTGCCGTTGAATGTTCTAGACATGTTGCGTGTCCAGACTAAATCCAGGAGCATGTTTTCTAAAACACAGTTTGCTGTATGGTAGGAACATGGCCATTGGGATCATTTTGTAGCAGCTTCCCTACTTTACCGGGACTTACCACAGAGGCGTTGAGGCGGCCCATGGATGGGAACTCGCCCGGCTCACAGTTGTCACACAATGGCATTTTAGCCAGTTCTTCTGGGTTCGTGGCCCATTTGACATCAGTCAGGCCTTTGCCCCAGGCTGAGGAGGACACGAGCCACAGGAAGGAAAAGGCAGCGGTCACCACCAGGTCCTGGTAGCGGAACACAGCAAACACACGCATTCATATCACATTTAGTACTCAAAAAGTACCTGCAACTTCCCTTTTTATCTCCTAGATGAGATGAGTACGCCCTCTATTCTAGAGCTAAAAGTAACGGATACTTATATTATGCTGATATTACTCCCAAAGGAACACTTTAAATGATTTGGAAATTTGGTCTCTCACTCGTAGCTCTGTTGATGGAGATAGAGCAGGAGGGCCGATAATGCTGCAGGATGCGCCAACTACTCCAATAACAGAACATTTCAAAATGATAAATGAATACATGAAACACTGGTAGTTGATCGCTAATCAGGGCTTTTGCGGTTAGTTTTCTCACAGAAAAGGCTCACGTTAACAATGAGGAAGGATGTTGTAAATGCTCAGACCCAGAAAGACTCATTTAGGATCATTTACAAACGTGTACATTTACACCCGTCCACACAATTCTGTTTCCAAGACTCTCGGACCTCACGCGGAAGGATTGAATGGCCGCGGTGTGAAAGTACTGTGTGCGTGAACTGGGTCGGTGGGTGTGACAGCTGCTCAGTCAGAGAACTCACTACGATGGGGCCGCGGGCGCTCTGGCGGTAGACGTGCTGGTAGCCCAGGTAGAGGATCAGCGTGGCGGTGCAATAGAGGAACCCGAACACGCCGACGCACACAAAGAACTCTGCCGAGGAGGAGAAGTCCCCCTGCAGGAAGGTGTTGTTGCCCTGGCTGCCGTTACAGTACTCTATGTGATACGGGTTAGCTGGCAACCTGCAGGGAGGTGGAGAGAGGGCAGAAGGAGCTTTCAGCGGACGATCTGACGACGCTTTGTTGCGCTCTTGTTGAGGGACTTCAGAGAAAACAAGCCCTCACCTGGGTTACTCTTCTATCCGAGGAAGGCATGAAGAGAGAACATGAAAGGGTTAAGCCAGAGTGCGTACCCCCCCCCTCCCGCCTGGCCTTTCACCATGACATTAAAAGAATTTGTTAAGTAAAAGGGATCCTTGTCTAGTTACATTAATCTCACAGCAATACATAACTAAAACTGAAAATATGAGCAATAGTAAGAGTTATATGCTAATGCCTTAGTTAGAAAACCCAAGTCATTTGTTGCTTTAATATTGTAAAGTCAGACCAGACTCACTTCTATCATGAGTGTTCAAATTCATCATATTCAAAGAAGGTCTTTGTTGTCATGGACCAGTTTGTTGTTATGTTATGATGTTTTTGTTGGATCTTGATTTATTTGCCATAAATTGATGCGTTTCTATTTGAGAGATATTGTTATTGTGATATTGATGCTGCTGAAAGGCCCCTTTCTTTTTGAAAGGTGATCTCACCAGCTGCATTTAAACTGTTGTCAGAGGACTTCCGCAATCATGTGATGACAAGAATACACAGAAATAACATTGCAAAATATCGAGTGTGTATCAGCTATGGAGAGAAGTCGGCCTCCAGAGGGAGACTCAGAGGAGAGAACAAGTGGAATAACACTTCTTTCCACCAGGTGATTGCACAGTAGTTTGATAACTGAAAGAGGACGTATTTGTGCTGCAACTTTAGGAAACAATCTGCTTGGAGCGCTCTCTTCCCTGACAGTACCTGAACGGGTAGCCAAATGTAGGCTCGATATTATGTTCGCCATCTGGACATTTGACCTTGATATGGGTAGTCCCGTGGTAACCTCCAGTGGTGGCAAAGGCAAAGATGGTGAAGACCTGTAGAGGCAGACAAAGGGTAAGAGGTTTGAAACATTCGTCTCAAGCTGTCAAGCTTTCGAAATGATCTGTGTTGTGTTCAAAATGAAGAAATGCCGGACGGACAAAGGACATCGCGGATTGAAAAGATATAATCAAAATAATTGAACAAGAGAGAGGGTGTTGGGGTAACAATGGTTGCCTACGGGTATTTATACAGTTCAGTAGAGGTGAAAGTTAGTGTCCACACCTCTAGGAGAGGTCTGCTCGTGAGTTCAATGTAACTCACATTTTGAATGTCTCTCAGTCACTATCAGTTGTGGTGCTATAAAGTATTATATGCATGCATTCCAGTTGATTACATTAAATACAATCACAGCTGTACATTGGTATTATTCTATTGATTAGTTTCAAAATTACAGTGGTTTTACAATAATTTATAAACCGGGTCATCAGTTGCTGCATAACATTTATATAGAATGGGACAAAGCCAACAGGCCCGACGTGAGCAGCCTGCAGTGGAGGACCACACACACACACACACACACAACTTCACGCCCACTGAGGACTTTCAGAAAAGGGTTTCATCTTTCATCTAAGCCCTGATTGGACCAGCCAGGCCAATCTGACAGCACCCCAAATAAACCCAGCAGGGGGGGTGGGGGAGTTCCCGGTCCGGAGTCCAGTATTCCAGCCAACCTCCCACCCAAGCATTCCGTAACTAGCTCTCCTGGTCAGGGAGCGGCAGGACGATACGAGAGAGCAGCAGCCAGTCACGAGGCTCTGACATTGTAGAACGGCTGCTTGGGATTCATTTTGACACACGTCTTACTTGATGCCTTTGTTTATGCTGTGTAACCTATTTCCAAGAAAATAATGAGTGATAAACACACAATTTAAAGTGGTGCATTTGCCCATTCATGTGGGTTGAAGTTGGTGGTAACAACATAAGGCTAAAGGGACACTGAAACACTGTTACTGGCCAATGTTAGCGGGCTGCTGTACATGGAGCAGTTTGACATTCAGTAGTATTAATCACAAACATCGTCCAGGAGCATTACAGCAGAGCAGGGCACCAAAAATGGATTGGAATGCGTATAGCGAAATCCTGCAGGTGTGAAGCGCCGTCGTATGATCATCTCCCTACAGAGCATGCGCCCGTTTAGAGAAACACAGCAGCACAAGAGTGAGAGCAAAGTCGTGTACGGCTGAAATCAAGACCAGTTCGATCAGACGCTATATTTAGTTTACCGCCATAAAACAGACATGACTTACGTACTGTGCTCTTTAAAGCCACAAGACTCAATTGACAGAAATTTCATTTTCGTTCAGTTCCATGTGGGAAAATGGTTGAGGTACAGTAGACTCCACTGCACAACCAATAATGACGTTTTTGTCTATACTGTCTGTATGTCTAAAAGGGGTTTTCCTGCTGCTCTTCTCCACAGGTTGATTTATTGTACGCTACAGAATACAGTTTGTAGTCCCATTTTGCTACAGAAGAAAATGCACATAAAAACTAACGAAACATTGGAAGATGGAGGATACCGTTTAACAGCCAGAAGAAAGAAGCTTTTGTTTGCTGGTGCAGCAACTAATACTCCTGTATCTCTTGCCAGATGGCTGCAGAGGGAACAGGTCGTCTCTGGGTGGGTGTTGTCTTTTAATATCTTTTGCATTCTTTGCAGGCAGGCACCTCTTCTCACCAATATTCCTGATGTTAGACATAGATGGTTAGCAGTGCTGTCTGTGAGGCTTTAATCATACATACTGTAGAGCTCATGAAGGTTTGTAATGTGTCCAGTCGTGGTTTCTATGGCTCCTCTGTAAAAGTTCACAAGGGGAATTTAGCCTTTTAGTTTTCTCAGGAAATACTTGCTCCACCTGAGCTACATTGATGTGGACACGGTTGTGCCTCTTTGCCTCCTTTTTTCTAGAATCAACTATCAGCTCCTTGGTTTTTGTTCTTTGGGAATCACTCGGAAGGTTTGATTTCCTCTCCCTCTCGATGTTGCTCGTCATCAGGCCGACCAGGGGAGTGTCGCGTCTAAAGGGATAACCCTACTGATCGGTAACACCAATCACAACCCCACTTGGAATAATCCAACTATCACCTTATATGAGACAAGGATCCTCAAATTTAAAAAGCAGAGCCACCAAACTTCCCACTATGTTTCAACAACAACAACAACAGTATCAGCCCTATTCATTAAAAACTATAAACCGCAATCAGAACAGAGAAGTCCTTTTTTTCTTATGGCGTTTGGTTTTACTAAGGCTACGTGTATCAAACAAGACTAAACAAAATAGGCAGCACTAATAGTTGTATTGATAAGTATTAATCAGGCTGATTAAACAATTATAAAACATTGTCTTTATCCGCCAAAACGTGGATGCTATTTTGGACCAGTAGAGAACAAGTACAAGTAGGCTAAGCATGACATTGGTGCTTAGCCAGCAATTGGAAAGTCCAGCATTCTGTGTCACACATTCAGACCTCGTGCAAACCAACAGCAGTCCTCTCCAAATGCAAGTAAAAACAAAAATCAAATGCAGTTCCTGCATCAAGTTTCCCGTGTTCAACTTTATTTGTATTTGCACGGCAAATACCTAAGCAAGGAAAAAATAAGGAAAGTTACTTAGTAAATTATTCGGCTAAATTTATCCTTTTATGGATGGTGAGATTGTACTTGTTTTTCAATGCACCGGTGTAGTTAATTACATTAATGAGGTCCTTTACTGTTATTAATTAAACATGTGCTTCTCCTGCTGTATCAAGTCAAAAATGTCCATTGAAAAAGCAATTTTGGTTGTCGACTTGCATTAACCACACAGAGCGACTTTCTGCTCATTGCGTTCGTTGGGATGGGTTTTACTTTAACATTATGATCACCCGCTTTGTAAAACAACAGTGTGCACTCACTTGAAGTTACACATACAGATAAAGTGCTTTTTATAATGATTCTAAACGTATTTATATATTATCTTTCCTATAACCTGACTTATCATGAAAAAATAAAACCTGTAAAAAGTAAAGATATAATACACTTTGACTAGTTAGACACGTAATGTATTAAATATATATCTTTTGACTCGCCCCCGTGGAGGGAAACCCTCCCGCGCAGCAGCAGATAAGACGCTGCTCCACGAACACGCCTTAAACACACACACGGCCTGCTGTAACACAGCGGTCTGCATCAGGCACAAATACACGGCACTACGAGTGCTAGCGGTCACATCCGAGAGGGCTGTTTTTTTTAATAAATGAAGTATGAAGTGCATTCAAATGATTCATTACAGGGCCCGTCTCACAGAGTAGTGATATGAAGACACGTGTATCCAAACTATGAGATTCTCAACAGCTGCTGTTGCACTAGAGCTGGTTCACACCTCGCCTTCCACTTTTGAACTACTTCAAAATTCATGCTTGCTTGGGAATATACAAAGACGTCACAATAACTGGGCATTTCCTGGTCATGGTCTCCAGTTTGTTCCAGTCAGTAGCTGTTCCTCATAAAGTGCACTGGGGAGAGAGGTTGGGTCAACATTGGAAACACTTTGCATTGTAAATCCACAAGCTGTTGAATGTTTGAACCAGGTCAAAGTCCAAGACTGCAAAGACACCAGAGGAACAAAGCAGAAACAGAGGAGCCTGGTCCCCTCGTTGAGCACGTTTTACACTTGAATCCTTGCACCAGAACATCTGGTGAACCCACCGAGCTGACCGTCTCGTGCCTGGTAACGTTACCTGGGACCAGCGCAGTGGCCTCCCGGGAGTGACGTTTGGATACGCTCACTGAACACACGAGGCACGTTCAAACACTTTAACAATGCTTTACTCCGCTTACCCATTCCAAGACACGGATAAAGCCGAGAGGTTCCTTCAACGGGCCCAGGTCCAGAGAAAATCCAGACGTCAACTTCTGAGGAGGACAGTCGAGGTGTGTGAAATTAAGTAACTTAACGTCACAATGACAAGTGTAGTGTTATAATTGCACGTTAGTTTGCCAGTTACTAGTAAGCGTTCACATTACGACTCAACCAGCTAGCTAGCTAGCTATTGCTGGCGGTTGGTCAACTGACTGGACTAACGGCTAACTGGCCCTGCCCTTGTTAGCCGACTGCTGCTAGCGACATGCTAACGCTAACTCACGTCAACCTGCTATTCAGCCGACGTGGACCCACCTACCTGAACAGTGTCCATTGAGGCGTGCAACGACCGACGCTAGCGTTACAAGGAAGTGTGTGTTTCGCTCCAGAAGTTGTCCGTTTTGTTGTAGAGCGAAATTAGAGATACGTAGTTCGCATTTGAACGGTAGTAAGCGATACAAAGGCTGCTGGGTATCAGCAGAGTAACGAGCAGCCAGGCGACCGATAGGACGAGTGTCAAACTCTGAGCAACGGAGCAGCTGTCAAACTGAACCTCTTCCGGTCACCACCTTTCAAAATAAGGCCATTCAACTAAAGTCGTCGATCTTGCATTTCAGCTACAGAATACGTAAATAAATAAGACGGGTATGTGGATAGTGCGGTGGAATGAAGCACATCTCGAATCAAAGAAATAAAGACAAGTATATATGAAATCAATTTTCAAGACGGTATGTGGGACTGGCGTTTTATGTAACGTTAAAACTTTTATTGAATGTATTATAAATATATGTATTTATATAAATATATGTATATATTCTTATATATTCTATATATATTTACTCCATCGTGGGTGGAATAAACAATGAGGTCATCACCATCACTCAACGCAGTGAAGGTAGCACAATGATTTTTAAAATCTTACATTGAACACAGAACACTGGCGATCATGGCATATATTATATTGTTCCAGTAATATGTACTATATTTTGTACACTTCGTAGTTGGTTCACTTATACTAAAAACTAAGCCATTGCCATCATAATTGTGTGAAAAGTTGTGCACAGCATAGGAGTACAGGAAAGGTCACAGCTGAGTCGTATTGGGTCAGTTTACAAGGACATAACAACCATACAGCAAAAGGTGCAATCGAGCCATGCTGCGAGCTTTGTTTGGATGGCTACGGAGAAAGGAATTAGGTATATTGGATAGGAAGTATTCTCAGCTTGGGTTTTGCCAGCGATTCATCCATGGTCACTGCTACAGCCTGAAATCGATGATAAAAGAAAGGATAAGAAACAGCCACACTGGTCTTAATAGTTCCCCCTGTGTTATTAGAAAACACAATAATGCAAAGTGTGACTTCTGTCAGTCAGCGAGAGAAAATAAAAAAAAGAAAAGTGAACAAAGATAATTTGTTCAGACATAAGAGGAAGAAGAAGAAGAAGAATAAGAAGAAGAAGAAGAAGAAGAAGAAGAAGAAGAAGAAGAAGAAGAAGAAGAAGAAGAAGAAATTGCCCAAAATAACCACATTTCCGTTGGACCCGAACGCAGCATTGTGGGCGGGGCACCCAGAGGTGCCCTCCTACTCTTTCCCCGCTGCCGCCATTTTACCGTGTCTCTGCGGCAGTCAGCGGATCGGGACGGGATCTTTCCTACATTACACAACTTTTGAATATTTTGTTTCAACCGAACCTGGTAATTAACAGCGTATATGTTGTGACCACAGTATCTGCAGTCGTTACACTGTCGTGATTAAACGGGACGCGGAGTCCTCCGGCTAGCAGCATTCAGTTAGCTCGTCTTAGCTAACGTTAACTCAACAACAAGGCGGTGTACTTAACGTTAGGCCTCTGCTATGTGGCGTTAGCGTGCCCTAAAATTAACCTAAACTCGTATGAGCACAGTACATCAAGTGTTAGCCAGGTTGGCAATACATTTTGACTCACGCTATTGATTGTGTAGATAACGTCCATCTATTCAATCCAGCCAACGATATCTTCATATATTTTCTCATCTCCATTCGGTAACGTTAGTGTCTTTCCGACGCTGCGGGGAATCGTTCGTAACGTTAGTTGGTTCCAGCTAACGTTAGCTTTGGGCTACTTTTTTGATTACTGAACAGTAAGTATATTTTTTTCTTGGGTTCTAAGCTGTCAACATACATAACGTACCTTGAAACCAACCCTGAAGGCCTGTCACGTGTGTTATTTGGTGGCTCTAGTAGACGTTCGCGTTCTTCGCCTGTGACGTCACTTTAACACTTAGTGGCTGCTGAAGTGTTTTTTGTAACGTTGCTTATGAAGTAGCTTTATTATCTTTTTGTGTTTCCTTATTTATTTAATATATTTATTTCAGTGGAAGTGCTATTTTGTGTGTAGAGTGTACTTTTCCCTATTCCTTAAGATGGAAGTGATGCTTGAGGCTGATCATTGGTGTCAAACTGAGGCCTCCGTGTTCAGCAAAGATGAACAACCCAGGTCGAGACTGCCCAAATTCATGAAGGCAATTGCTCCCAATTCTGGATTAGATACTTAAAATACATACCCATGGCTAAATAGACTAGAACCAGTAAGTCTGTCCACTGGCCCTGTTAGACCTGATTTCTGGATCTCCCATCAATGTGATTGATGGCCTATTTCTTTCGCACTGTACCGTCGTGTGTAAAGGTCCAACTGTCTTTCTATGTGTGTGTTCTGCTGTCTGTCTCTCAATAACGCCTTTTCAGTTCCCTGGGGAGTGTTTCTGATTGATTTTGTAGGTTTAAAACCCTCCACATGGCCCTTTGTGGGATCCCTGGATGCGGATAGCTCGCCCCTCACAGTACAGTGGCAGAAGATTTTTATTTTTTCTTCTTCTCGGCTTTGGGTGAAAATCGCTTGAATATCCTGCCCATATTTTTCTACTGCCATCACCCAAATGTTACCAGGTGTACAAAATATCACCAACAAGTCCAAGAAGAAGCGGGGGATGATTTTTCCACCCACCCTCCACCCCCTTTTTGCCACATCGGTTTGAGAATTTTTTGGATCCGTTTTTGGTGCCTTTCTTGCCCCCTATGCCCCACGATTTCTTTCATTAGTCTCAACAATTAATAAAAAATAATAAAAAAAAAAAAAAAATCTCCAGCGGACTCTTGCATTCACCATCAGTAATGCTTAGCAGTCTGGTGGAGATACAGATGTCTGAGAGAAGGGATGTCGTAGGAAGACAAGTGTCTCTGGGCGATCCATCCCCCCCTTTCCTCTTATCTCACGGATCGAGTGTTCCTTCAGGACTCATTACCACCACGAAGTCACCTACCAGCAGTGTGCTCAAGAGGGAGACCGCTTCTAAGCCACCTCAGGTAAATGTGGCCCAGTAGTAAGAACGCAATCAGCACTGGCTCGGTTCCTATCTTGTTGTGTGGAGGACCCTCTATGTAAGACCCCAAAAGATCGGAATTACTTGGAATCTAATTCAAAGATTAAAATCCTAGCTGCTAAAAACGTTCCCCAGTCTTCATAGTTGGCAGATGGTCCATTTTATTAGAATACACATCCTTTGACCTCCTCGTTGTCGCAGTTTGTTCAACCAGAACAACATATGTGACAAAGGTTGTGTGTATTTTGTATGAAAGCAGCAGTAATTGCATGTAGTCTTCTAGGGGTCAGTTTAGCGTGTGCACACGTGTCCGTAGTGCAGAAAAGCTTCGGTTTGTGACGCGTTTCTGTGTTTCCCCTTCAGAGAACCAGCTGCTTGGTTAAAGGTTCTAACCTGATCTCCTCTCCGCTCAACACGCAGACCAGCATTACTATGACCAACCATGGAGACGACTGCTACTTCTTTTACTATTCCAATTGCACCAAAGTAGGCCATGATTTGAGCCCGACGCTCGTGTATTCACACGCGTTGTAGCCAGTCGTACCTTCGGGCGGCGTCTTACTGTGTCCTTCACTTTGCAGGGAGACACCTGCCCGTTCAGACACTGCGAGGCGGCTATGGGAAGCGAGATCGTCTGCAACCTCTGGCAGGAGGGGCGCTGCTTCCGTACCGTCTGCAAGTTTCGCCACATGGAGATCACGGTATGCACGGATTCAAATATAAGGTCCAAACTGAAGTTCAGAAACACGGTCTTGACTGGTAATTAGTGAAGGGTACATAATATCTCCATGCGATTAGCAATTTGTGTTAACAAGCAATTGAACATGAGGTTGTCGTGGCGCAGGGGTAGAGAGGGCAATGCATTGACATGTTTGTTTATCTCTTTCGTCAACAGAAAAACAGGAAGGAGATCTGCTGTTACTGGGAGAACCAGCCTGCCGGCTGCCAGAAGCCTCACTGCGCTTTCTTCCACGAACGGCCGCGCTGCATCGATGGCACCTTTGTCCCCCCGGATAAAAGTGAGGAGACTTTTCTGCAGCAACACACGCAGTTCAAATGTACTCTTTTTATATTAAAGCCCACGTGTAAACAATCAATGTCATTCCGTCAGGTCTAAACAAGACTGAGGAGCAGCCGCACGAGGAACCGCCCCCCGCGCCCGCTGCCTCTCTGACCGCCGCGGCCAATCCACAGCTCCGAGGCGTCAAGACAGAAACCCAGGAGCCGGTGCCGAGCCCCACCCACCCGCCCGTGGTGATTAATCCAGCGGACGATGACGAGGACGAAGATGGTGAGCTGGATTTGAAAATCCCCCCCAAATGCAGAGACCGACGTACTCCTTGCAGTCTTTCCCGCTAACTCGTCTTTATGTTTCCAGACCAGTTCTCAGAGGAGGGAGAGGACGGAAAAGTTGGCCTTTCTCCTTGGAAACCACCCAAATCAGGTGGGACAGTGCTCACAGACTAACTCCGGGGGGGGATTTGTGATCCAGCTGGCGCGATTGTGTTTGTGATGGGCGCGTTGTGTCTCTGCAGGTGACTCGCTGAGCTTCGGCGTGAGCACCCTGGAGGAGATCCGGCTGAGGAAGGCCCTGAAAGCCAGCATGAAGAGGGCGGGATACCCCATGCAGAGTCCTGACCCCCAAGCCAACGGAGAGAAGGAAAACATCCAGTCATTGTTTGGAGCCACCCTCTACCAGGCGGAAGACGGTAATGCAAGCAAAGCCCCCAGCTCTGCTCTACTCGTAATGGGGGTCTTACTGAAGATGAATCCAGATAACCTTCATGCACTTCAATGGTGCTCATGGTTTCTTTACGCAGCACCTGACGTGGCTCCGTGGCTCAGACGTTTGCTCTGTATATCCCCCTCATGATAACTGTAGAATATTGTTTTTGTTTGTTTACTAAGTCAGATTAACTTGCAGGACACTAACCGCTACTTTTCATCCTAAATAATGCTCTAATCGGGTTTTCCTGTTTTACCGTAGGACCGTTCGTGTGTGAGGAAACTGCTCGACCGAGAGGCAGTTTGGCTGAAAGACTTGGAAGGAAGATGCCCAACAATGGTACATTTTCACCTGTTTGGCGTGTTCGTGCCACTGCTCGTAACGACTGCACAGCTCACAGATTGTGCTCCCTGTAGATGTGAAATTCGGAGGAGTCGTGCCACTAAGAAGGGGTCTGTCTGGGCGTCTGGGCCGGCTTATGGACGAGGAAGAGCCCTTCCTGCCCCCCCAGAAAGGTGAGCGTCGGGACACGACAGCACTTTCTACCGAGAGGTTCTTGGTGATTTAGTTTTTTAAATGATGTTTCCCTTTTCTCTCTGACCTTTTTATAAGAACCAGTTGGTTGTTTCGGTTGTAGCCTTTTCAGGTTACAGCCTATAGTTAAAAAGTCTTGACTGCAAAATGCGCCATTCTTTCAGCTTTGAAGCCCATTAAGGACCGACTCGGCTTGGCTGGCTCTGCTCCCACTTCTACTCAACCAGGTATGAACGAGTTTCATTTCCAGTGTTTCCTTTTGGTTAACCGCTTTATTTTTGGCTGCAGGGTGAAAAGTTCCCTACACATGTTGACTAAAACATATCCTACCGTTGTTCACAGCCGACACCGACAGGAAGCCAAAAAAGGCTCCTGAGCAGATTCGCATCAAAACCTTGGAGGAGATCAGACAGGAGAAAGCAGCGAGGTCTCCGTCCCAGAGCCCTTCAGCCGCGGCCGCAGAAAGCAGCCGATCCAAAGCCGCCGCGGGCGTCAAGCGAGCCGCCGCCGCCGGAGACGACTCCGTCAACCACACCAAGAGCTTCTCGGAGGGCCTTTGTGCCAAGAAGAAGAGGCAGGAGGGACAGGATCCCAAGTCTAAGAAGCGCCAGGGAGAGCCTGACAGGACGCAGGGTGCAAACGTGGGCCAGCTCAGAGTGAAGACTCTGGAGGAGATCCGCAGGGAGAAGGCAGCCAAGGTCCAGGCTCAGCAGAACCTGGAGGGTGAAAACCAGAAGAGCTCCGATAGCGAGGAGAGCCCCGCAAAGAAGCCCCACCTGCTGCACGTCAAACTCAATTCCCCAAGTAAGATCATCCTTCATCACACTCGCGTTGACACGCGTGTGTCAGATTGAATAACGTTCCGAATTGAGATGCCGTGTTTTTGAGCCTCTGCCACCTTGTGTTGCATTCAGCAGGCAGCGTCGCAACACAGAAGAGTTCTGAAGTGACGGAGAAGCGGGTGAAAACTCCTCCCGCTGCCCCGGAGGTGACGCGCGCCGCCGTTCCTAGTGCCGCCCCCAGGAACAACGTCAAGGTCAAGACCTTTGAGGAGATCATGTTGGAGAAACGCCTCCGCAAGCAGGAAATGCAGGACCGGGCCACAGACCGTGGAGAGGCAGAACCTGCTGAGAAGCCCAGCGACGAAGGAACCGCCAGGCGGAAGGCTCCCGCTAAAGTCCGTCTGACGAGCCCGGGCTCCTCATCGCCTTCCTCCACCGCCGACGGCTCCTTTTCCACCCAGAAGGTCCCCGTTGGCAAACCCGTCTCCCTCCGACCCAAAGCTGCTTCCTCTCTGAGCAGCACCACCCGCGGTGCCCGAGCCGCTGCCGTCAAAGCTGCTCCCTCGGTGCCCGCGAAGCAGGTCTCCCCTCCACCGGCCGAGTCGGACTCGCGGAGCCCCGGCCGCTCCAGGGAGGTCCCCGACAAGAACACGAGGAGCTCTACGGCGCCGTCACCAGCCACGCCTCCCCGGGGCCCCGCTGCAGAGGGACGCACTCCTGATAAGACGCTGAACCGTAACCAGAAGACATCCCCAGAGCACGGCGCCGAGGCCAAAGGTGGTGCACCTTTTACTGTCATGCTCGGCCACGTTTGTGGCAGAGCACCATGTTCATCACTCAAACTGTGCCTCCCTTTTCAGTGAGGCCCAAGCTCAACGTGAAGCCTTCCGTGGTGAAGCCCGCGGTGCAGGTGAAGCCCGGGCAGAAGAGGAGGGGAGCAGCGCGCTCCGCTGTCGCCGCGGTCAAACCTCTGAGCAGCACCTCCACGCAGCAGGAGCCCACGTGCCGAGGCAGAGCGGTACGACCTGCTTACTCCGACAGAATCGTTGTCATGTAATCGCAAATGCGCAGAAAGATCTAAACCTCAACCATCCGGTGCTTTTCCTGACCTCTGGCGACCTCTCTTCCTTTGTCAGGAGTTCCCGTCCGCCTCAGCAGAGGCTCAGCTGAGCGCTGCTGTTCCTCGGAGTCCCAGCACCCCCGTGGACTCGGGCTCCGGCTGCAGCCCCCCGAGGGAGGACCTACAGACCGTCCCCGTCTTCAAACGGAGTCGGAGCCAGGACGCCGTAGTTGCTGCTAGCGCCAGCGAGGCCTCCACCGTCCCCCAAAGGTAGCGAGCCGTGTGAAGTCCTGATCGAGATCTATTAAGCAAAGAGATCCGTTGTTTACCGCCGTCACGAGGCGACCTTCTTACTCACAAAGGTGTATTTTTACAGTTCTAAGGTGCAGTTGACTGTGGTTGTAATGATTCCCCCCCCCCCCCCAAATGAATAACACTGCTCTCTGCATCTCAGCCCGGTCCCGAAGACGCCCACTCAGGCCAAGTCCCGCAGACTGAGCCTAGCGGCGCCGCGCACCGCCTCCACCTCGGCCATGGATGACTTCGAGGAGCTCATCAACGAGTTCACCGAGGACCACCTGGAGGGAGACGTGGACCCCGGCATCGAAGAGGACGACCTGCTGCAGGAACTGTCCGAGATGATTGACAGTTGAGGGTTCCACCTGGTGGTGGGCGGCAAGTGAACCCCCGCATGGAAGCGTTTGAAGAAGAGGAAACAAAAAGGTCTTTTAAGCTTTCGTTGAAGCTAGTTTTTACTTTGCCTTTCAGGTTATATTCTCTCCTTTTTCATTTCCTGCCCAGCCTGACGGTTCTTCGTCGGTTCATCATGATGTTCATTTACACTGTCAGACCTTTCGGGTCAGGAGGGAAAGTGGGAAAGAAGCTTTGTTGCTGGGAGATGATGAGAGCGTCGTCACTTTAGCAGGAGTCCTCGTGCGTCGTTGTAGAGAGAAGTCCTATCCGTGTACTGTGTATGCAAAGAGAGCCGAAACAATGATTTATACTGATGATCATGATGAATGTTTTTGTTTTTCTATATCGGTGACGGTTGCCCAGCTAGTTCCCACATTATGAGTTTTAATGTAATAATGAGCCAGTTTCTCTGACGTTCACACCTCATCTTCCTGTCTGGATGGTTCCATCCTCCAGGTGAATGCGGCTGACTGATGTCAGAGCAGCTTCTGTGCTTTACTGTTTTTAGAACGTGTATTTTAGTTTTTAACCAGTTCTCTGGGTCAGTGGGTCCTTTTGAAACAACTAGCGGAGGATAAGTGTGTGTGTGTGTGTGTGTGCGTGCGCGTCCTCTCTGGGCTTTGTTAACAAACACCTCAGGTACCTTTCCTAGTGTGATTTACAAACACTGAATTCAACAACGCCATCTTTAGTTCTCTCTTGTGTCTCCATTGGTTTCTAAATGTGATCCGAGAAAAGATCTACTCATTGTTTGGACTTCACACGTGTTGGCGGTGTCCTGACCTCTATTCCTACGCTTACTGTTCAAAGTCACTTGTACATATTACTGTGTAATAAAAAGTGCTTTTAATGACTAGCTGGATCAAGAATTGACTGCTGATTTGAGTTATTTTTCAGCCAGTGCTTAGTTTCAGGCAGGAGTTCACGTCACATGGTGAGAAATGTAGAACTGGTGACTCAAACAAACTGAGTCTGTTGAGAAGCAGTAACTGCAAAAGAAGTCTGTTAAAAGAATTGAAGGCTTAACTAAACAAACGTTCCAGAGAAATAGATGGAACCTCTTCAATAAATATTAGGGTGACTAGAAAATAACCAGAGATTGGGACGGGCCGGTGTCAGACTCCACAGTGCCGTGTGGCCTCCCGTCCCGCAGGAGGCGTCGCAGGGGCCGTGCACGCTTCTGCTTCCGGGTCGGTGGATGTAAACACAAGGACGTTCCGCCTCCTGCAGACAGCGGACAGAAAACATGACCAAACTGGAGATGCTCAACGCGTTTCTGAACGAGAGGCTGACCGCGGCCGCGGAGGAGATCTTCCGCGCCGTGAAGAGCACCGTGGCGGAGTACCAGGGCGAGATCCTGCGCTCCAAGGAGGAGAACGAGCGGCTCAAGCGGCTGCTGAACGTGGCCGTCCAGCGGCTCCTGCTGCAGCCAGGTGAGCGCCGACCTGCCGGTTTAACGAACGAGGGGTGGGCGTGGCCTCACGGGACCCGCATCGATCGCGTTGATTTTACGGGAATTCTTCGATGGACGACAACGAAAACAAGCGCAACCGTTTAGTGTCACGTCCAGCTGACCGCCGGGGATCACCGGATCCCAGTGATACTTACTGCCGGACGTGTCATACATTATATTAAAAAACGACCCCTCCCCCGAGGATCTGATGACCTCATGTTTTAGAGGGAGAACGTTCTGGGCTGAGCACTGATTTGAATTTAAATTCCTCCAACATAAATGTTTTGATGTTGTAGTTTGATCATATCCGCTGCAGAAGGTCTCTGTCAGACTATGATTCACTGAGTAATGTGGGAAGGTGAACATCTTTGACGTACCGATGAGTCCACGCAGGTCTCGCGCTTTACCTCACATTGTAAACGCATCCCGTGAAAAGCTGCTGGTGACCAGGGTCTGGATTGCCCCACTGGGGCAGGTCACTGGTCATTGCCACCTGCCACTAAATGTGTCAGCCAGCAGTCAGCTGATGAATGTTTTCCTCAATGGCAACTGTTTGGCTGCTGTTTACATTCCTCCTGTTTGTTTGGTCGTCGTGTCTTTGTTTGCTTACGAATGGGTTGCAACGATATCCGTGTGTTGCATAATGACAATACATTATTCTTGAATCCTTGACCAAGCAAGACTACCGAGCGACTGCGTCTGAAGGTGCTTCATGTCTTGCAGAGCCTCCCTCTGTCGAGCCCCAGGAGGACGCTCGGCCCCGTGAAACGGAGGGGAGCCTCAGCGTGGAGCCGCTGCCGCATATCAAAGAGGAGCCAAAGCGCCGGGACGGTCCCGCGGATTCGTCACGGGAGGCCAGCGCCCCGGAGGAAGGAAGCTGCGGTCGCCTGGGGCCTCCGCTCGGGTCACATCCTTCTCCGTCCCCAGCGCCACCCGCCTCTCGGGAGGTGAAGTCCGAGCGCGCCGGGGAGGCCGGCAGCTCGCCGCCGCCCGCGACCGTTCACTCCAACGGCAGAGCGGCTCCGGGCGACTCGCGGGCCGCCGCCAACAGCCACAGGACAGCCCGGGGCTTCCTGCGCGCAAACGGCAAGCAGAGCGCGCACATACTGCAGATAAAAAGCGTCCGATCCCTGAAGCCGCTGCCCGCCCGCTCCTCTCACCCGGGCCAGAGCATACAGAGGTGGCACAGCTGCAAGGAGTGCGGCAAGGGCTTCAGCTTCGCCTGCCAGCTGGAGGTCCACATGCGCTGGCACACAAAGGAGAAGCCGTACAGCTGCGCCGTGTGCCGCAAGAGCTTCACCACGGTCAGCATGCTCAAGCGGCACCACCGCATCCACACGGGGGAGAAGCCCTTCCGCTGCCACGTCTGTGGCAAATGTTTCAACCAGTCGGCGCACCTCAACACCCATTTCAGGCTGCACAGCAGAGAGCGGGCCGGCTGGGGCCGGGCGCCACTCGCCAAATGAACAGACTGACCAACGTGTGTAAACTCTTTAAGAGGCCGAATGTCACCTGCAAACAATGTACAATAAATGTGTGTGACGGTGTGTCTTCTCCCTTGTGCAATAAAGTGTGGTACATCATGTTTGCTCCCCGATGATTGTGCTGTGGGACACTCTGAGGACGTTTGTGTCACTTTTAAGCTGCAGTTCAGATCTGCAAACATGCTGACGTGACCGTTACAGTGTAGGTTATTTAGAGAAACTACAGGGCAATTATAATGCGACTTATAACTGCACAGAACTTTCTCATATCCATTAGAGAAATGTCTTTAGTGGTATATCCCGATGCTACGATTCACTGTGTTTAGCTCCATCTACCGATGTCCGACGCTGCTCCTGTTCCAAAGACATGAACTGTTTGCTAAATGCAGGGTAAGTACTGAAGTCCATTGTCAGACAGACATAGTGGTACAGCTTCCTGATCCACATACCAGTGATATGAATGGAATACGGTGTCTACGAGGTGGCGTCTTGTGCTGTTTGGTGCCTGTAACCAAAAAATGTCATTTAATGGAAGGACATTTACATTTCTGATGGTATGTATTCTTTACTCTTCCTTTAGGCCCTAAAGGAAGAATACACAAGGTGAATACAATTAAACCAAGCAGGGAACCTCGTGGAACTCGTTTCTCATTGCGGTTCTGTCGTGTACAAACACAAACCGGGATCGATCTGATGAATCTGACACAAATCCTTGTTAATTCCTCATTTTAACCAGCGATGTCTCTCTGCAATGATGTACTTTAAATCCTGACCCAACATGGCGCAGACGCGAAAAGACGTGCTAACTAAAGGTAACTTCTTTAATATGAATTAACTGAGAGGAATTGAGGACAGTGTGAGGTTGCTGCTTCGCACGTGGACTGTGATCCCAGCAGGGAAGCTCCTCTGTGCTGGACTCTGCTTCCCTCTTCTGGCTCCAAGAAAATAGAAAATAGTAGTTCAACGAGCAGAGATGAGAAGTCCTGTTACTCCAAATTAAGGTGAAGACGTGTTATCATGAAACAGGCCACTTGAATTCTGTTGATGTTCATCATTCAGGTCATTGTTTTCATCAGCTGTTGCCTGTAAAAAGTGAAATAATTGTGATTAATAAACACATGTTCCTTCTTCCATGAAATAAATATAAGACGTATACAACAATGGTTGCAAACAAACCATAAAAACCACATACAATAAACTGCATTAAATACATCTGTAATAACCTAGATAAATAAAATAAAGTTTCATATAATTAAATCGATGGTTTAAATACGCGGATTCTGCCACCAACTGGTGGAGATGTGAAAACGTTTACTCGGCCTCTCATTGAACGGTCTGCTGTGTACATGGATGAATGAAGATACATCTGCATCACTGTAAAAAATATCAAGGGGGTCAACTCACAAACATACATCGAGTAGAATCAAATTGGATTTACAATTTGATTCTATTAATGTTGTTTTACTCAGCTCTGGATTGATCTGTAAGTTCACATGACTGTATAGTACATGTTTATTCAACTTAGCAACGTAAGTTTGAAACTTAACTTATTATCATGCTTTGTGTTAAATAGGTCTGACTAATTATTTCAATTCACTTATTTTAGTTAGTTTTACTCACTTTGTAGACCTCTGGCGCTCTTGGGACCAGGTCATCAACGACTGCGTCCAGCCGGCCTCGTAACTGCTTCAGATCACGGACCAGAGAGCAGAAACGGTCCGCCGTGCTCACATCGACGCACATGAACGTTGCTGTCCGCTTGCCTGGAGAAGAGAACGTGTTTTTAGCAGGGACCACGCATTTGATGTTGGAGAAACACGGATAAGCCCGCTAATCTTACATCTCCCTCGACAGCGGTGCGGAGGTCAGTGAAGGCCGGGCGGACCCGTTTCCAGCCAGGCGCCCCCGTGCGTCCCCCCTGCGTGCACTGTAGCAGGTGTGCGACTGGCCTCCATCGCAACCATCAAGTGATCGGTTTGAGGGTTACACTTGTACACAGGTACATCCGGGTCTTGTGCTCGGCCACCTGCACACAGAGAGCAGAAAAGGACAGACGGGTTTTCAAAAAGGCGCCAGTTGCGTGGGGAGTGTTTGGAGCGTACTCCCACCGATACAACGGCCGGTGGCGGGGATGGTGCAGCACAAGTAGCCGTAAAAAGCGTCCCTCCGATAGACCGCATGGAGCGGGAGGAGATCCCCTAAGAGAGAGATGGTACAGATGAGGCAGTGTGCGCGCGCACCAGCGGACAGAGCGCGCGCGTCCGCCCGAAACAACTGCAGACGTTTTAGCCACAACGTCCATCACTAATTAAAAGTTACATGAACGTTGGCTTGATTAAATTGTATTTTTCTAAATGTCCTCTGAAACATTAATAATGATAGGACTTTATGTACTATTGTTCAACAACCGCTCTATCGGTCCGGTTATCGGGATTTACGGCTCAATGGTTGAAAGCTAACGCTAAGTTAGCTAGCGCTACTTTAGCGCGGTACTATTTTCCATATTGGAACAACTGCATTAAACTAACCTCTAGTGTCATGCATGTACGGACAATATATTAACACGACAGCAACTTTCGTTACATTTACTAACTGGGTTGAATGATATTGTTGATGGATCCACTCACCTCAGGCTCTCTTTCTTTTCCGAGCTGTCGCGCCGGTTTTCAAAGGTCGACTCGCGTTCGTCGTCTCGCTGCTGAACGATATTCATCCGCCACTTGGTTCGCTGAGCCGACGTACTGCGTGATGCGGTCCAGGTCACGTTTGTGATCCGGCTGTTCAGAACGTGTTAATCCGCCGCGTGCTTTAGGTTAGTTCGCCGTCTGGTATTTACATTGGTTTGTGATGCAGCTGAACAGACAGTTTGCGATTATACACAACTTCAAGCCTCAATATAGTTTAAATTAATTATTTAAAAGTCACGCAATACACAGTTAAAAAATAAACCTGTTTTATAGCAGAATGTATGCATTTGTATTTCTGTGTAGATTGTGACAATTTAACATGGGGATCCAATGGAAATTGAATCGCTTATAAAAGACAGCTATTGAACTGACACTATTGAGTTCATTAAACTTGTTGAAATTTACAGTTTGTTGAACGGTTTAAAAACCCGGGTAGGCGGACCGGAATCAATTAAGTTGTAATTATATATAACTCATCATGATAAGTTGAAGTAAATAACAAAAATAAGTTACTATGAGGTATTGTTCAAATCATGTTTGCAGTCTCGTTTTTGGCCGCCATACAGGACCCGCTGGGGGGATCACGTCTTTCAGCTGGCCTGGGATCGCCTCGGGATCCCCCAGAGGGAGCTGGCAGATGTTGCGGGGGCGAGGGACATCTGGGTCACTCTGCTGGGCAAGTAGAGGGAAATGGATGGATTCATAGATGCCTGTGTTCAGTGTCAATCTGTCTACGTTCAAACAAGCATCAATCAGCATCGACCTCGTAATGCACAATCGGAAGGATACCGTCATGAAATCCACAATTCATTCATTATTCTTCTGTAATTATGAGTGATTTACAAAGCAAATCTTTTTGCCAAACATTCCATTTAATACCAGCTGAACGTTAGAGGTGTACTGTGTAAGACGTAGCCACACGCCGAACAAACGTTTTATCTTGGTTAATACTTGCTGGATACAATGTAAGTTATAAAAAGAAGCCAAAAACAAACCAACAGCCCGGCAAGAAAACACAAACGCCGATCAGCTGATCCTCTGAGAGGATTTCAGAACAACACTGCAGCTTCTAATCTTCGAACACAGTTCACATGAAGCATCTGTGTGTTCACTGTTACAGTATCGTTCAGTCATTCAAATACAAAAAGGTCTATTGAAACATAGTGTTTTTCTTTTTCTCAGAAAGGTCGATAGGGACAAACCTGGCTAACCGGTTAGCACCCTCGTTTCAGTAGAAAACCACCTGCAACACAACAACCTTGCACACCGTGACCTCTTCACGCCGTTGATTCATCTGCGTGTAGCCTGGTCCCTCTCCTCCAGGACGGGCCCCGCGTGGGTCTCCTGAGGGTGGACGCACGTGCCGCTCACGGTGTGGATCGGCGGCAGTTGGAGATGCTGCAGGAGCAGGACTCGATCATCATCACCTGCTGCAGGGTGAGCCGGTTTTCGTGGGCAACGGAAAACCATCCGCGCCGTCCTGGTGTGGGAGGGGCTGCAGCAGCGTCCCTCCGGACAGGTCAGGGCGCAGAAGCGGCGGCGGTGGGCTCTGGAGCTCCAGCGTCCTCGCCAGCTCCAGCCGAAGGGACAGAGGTGAATTGTAGCCACTGCAGCTGTGGTTTCATCATTCATCATCATGGTGTGATTTCATTTGAATAACTTCCTCCAACAATCATAATCCAGTTCCTTATGGAACCAGCGTCCCCACCCAAAGGTTGTCCTCATAGCGTGAGAGCAAGTATTCACACTTCACCAGCAGCTTTCCACTCCTTCATTATTTACTCATTATACTTTATTCTGCTTTTGCTTTCCTTTAGATTTTTACAGCGCTGTGTGTCAGGGTTGGTGGTGAAGCCAGTTATTATTATTCATTAACAGCAGGGACGCCTGCAAGCAAGCGTTCACACTTCAGGTTGAAAATTTCCCCGACTGTTTATACTTCAGGTAATTCCACTACAACAGAGAGGACTCGTCACTTAATGAAGAGCATATTAAGATGCGCCTCACCTGGGTGATGATGCACAGCAGCAAAGAGCAGATGAGCTGTGTGTCTCTTCCGTCCATCTTCCTCACCTCTGCCTCTGGAGCTCCTGCTGTTGTCCATCCTCCCTCCCTTTGTCCTCCTCCTCCTCCTGTGGACGAGTGATGTCTTTGTTACAGGTGCTGGTCCTTGTTCATTTATACAGTCCGAGTCGTGATGTCATAGGCGGTGGACCGCAAAGCAAACAGTGAGCGGAGAAGAATCTTAACGCTTTCTGAACACCAGATGGTTAATATCAATATAATGAGGATCATACACACGTATTTACCCACCAGAGTTTATCCACATGTTGTAATTGTATGATAACTGCAGAGTGGCCAAAATGGGCAAGTGGCAGAAAGCCGTCTCGCACGTGAAAGCTCCTGTTGTGGATTCTTCTGAGGCCAGATAACCGACACGCGTTGACCTCTGGAATAACAGCTCGCCGATTCATTTTCCAGCTTCCTGCTGTCCCCAAGTGGCTGAAATCAGGAATCAGGAATCAGGAAACATTTATTAGCCAAAATATGTCAAACATACAAGGAATTTGTCTTGGCGGTTAGTGCGCGACAGTAGACAGACAAGACAACAGTGCACAGGTAATAAAATAAAGTGGAATGAAATGCTAATGCAATGGGTTAGTAAGAATAAGGCTAAGGCTATGGCTTAGTATAAAACAGGGGAATAAAGTTAAACAAATTTTAAATATTAAAATTTGTTTAACTTTATTCCCCTGTTTTATACTTGTTTTATACTTGTGAGTAAAACCCTCCGTTAAGAAGAAGACTGATGTCTTCTCACATGATTATATTCACATGTTGTTAATCAACACGATGTGTATTTGTTTCTGAATGTGCGTGTGGCGCAACAACGTCAGGATGTGATTGACAGCTGGCGCAGGTTCCTGGAGGATGAAGTGAACACTGAGATGTTTGTCTCCATCTAGTGGTTGAATTGGATCAATACAGTAGAGTAACAACATTGAACACAGTTGACAGTGAGAATGTATTATTCTTGTGTGCTTTTAGAATTTTGTTTTCAGCCCAGACAAGTCAACTGACCGGATTGTAGTACAACTATTTCATCCCGTGGCGGCGCTGTTGAGTCCATTATTAAAATAATGATCAGGGTTATCGTGACATGCATTTCTATCAACAGCATTCTCTGGTGCGGATCTTTTATTGACGTCGTGGTTAAAATCTTTTTAGGAGTTATGTATTTAAACTACACGCGAAAGGCGAAGGACGTCTCCATGTTACATTTACACACACACACTCACTCACCACACACACACACACACACACACTGATGTGCAGAAATTTTTAGAAGTCACACAGATTGAAGGTATTTCCATACTTTATTGAAACAAAGCGCCGACACACAGTCAGCAAAAACAAACGTCATGTACAATCGCGGACCCGGTGCTCGAGCACGACGCGGCCCAGTTGAGATCAGCTTCGGTCAGGATGAGAAGCAGAGGACCAAAGACGCGATCAGCCTGGACGCCGCTGTCCGCTTGCATAGAAGAGTGTTGCATGTGACACGGGGAGCCTCGGTACTCAAAGGAAGGCATGACTCCCAATAGTGTAGACATGTTGAATACATTCGTCCAAAGTGAAGTAAAAAGGTGAGTGAACGATTAGCTCACCTACACTCCAAGATGATCGGTTCTACGCCGAACAATCAAACACGCACACTACTGGAACAAAAGTGGGGCAACTGAGGTACGTTTTTAAAAACACATGGAAGAACTTCAGGGTGTGTAAACATCCGTATGAGCGTTAACCCGTTTCCCATAGACAAACACCCCCCCACGCAGCCCTGGAACCTGCCAGCTGGTCTCTAACCGAGGAAGGTCTACGGCTCAGTGAGAGAAAACGAGCCGACACACGAGGTAGAGCGACAGGAACGGGACTCAGGGTCCCAGTTAAGCTGGACTTCAGAGCTTTGGTTTCAGGGTACAACGATGAACCAAGGTACGATACTCAGCGGTGCTTCCGAACCCGGTACTATTCAGATCTACGTCAGAACCTGCGGTCTTTAGTTCCCTTTGAAAACACTGCTTATAAACCCGTGCCATTGTTTGGAAGTAAATATTGTAAAATGTATATTTTTCATCCATCATACCAAAAAAAAAAAGAAGAAGAGAGAAAGCCGTGAAGGACCTACATCGTGGAGGCCGTGGATACTAGGCGAGTCACACCAAAAGTAAAGACGGCAGCAGACCTTCAGCCACCTCAAGGCACCAGAGGTCTAAACAAGCAGACTAGAGGGAACCTGAAGGGGCAAAGAGCCATCAAGTCCGATCCAGCGGAGCGGCCGCTCGATGAGCCGCTCTCCCCGCCGGGCTTCTGGTCAAAGGCACATCGCCAGATATATACGGATTTAATAAATAAATACATTCTTCAAGTACAATTCCGCTTTAATTTGACCTGGGATTTATATTCATAACTGCGTTCACACAGACTAATAAATGATCTAAAAAGCCCACGAGAAAGTCAAACAGCGACGTGTAAATAAGATGCGTCTTAGCACTAAATGGAGTGACTGCAGTGTGAGATCACAGTACGAGCAAAGCGATTCAGAAGGATCCTCAAATGTTTGGGCGATGGAACAATTTGCTCCACAATAACGTAGAAATGTGTCAACAAATTCTCCCGCGTGAAGCGCAGCGAGGAGTCACGCCGAAGCTCCGTCAGCGGGACTCGTTCGTCGCAGCAGCTCACGCGAGGTTTCTAATGTGCGTGTATGAACTCATCCTAGAGTCAACTATGCGCAGGCTTTACTCTCCTGGTCGGTGTCTATTTATCAAGGACATTTCCATTGAAACCGAACGTCACCGACGCTCCCGTGTGGAGACTCACGGCCGCGTCACATCTGCAGCTGCGGCGTTTCATGTTCACGGACTATTGCGTGAAAACATGGTGGAACCAGCGGGACTCGCGCGACTGAAACTGAACACGTTCATGCTTCATCTACATACTGCAGTTTCAGTCTGGTATGGTGCATTGCTAAGGCCAGAAAATAATGTTCCAACTTGCGTATTTAGAGCTCCGGATCTCCACGCTTCTGCTAAACGTCTGGGGCCTTAGTTCCTCTCGATTGGCCAAACAGCCTGAATGAAATGTATTCATTCATTATTTAATTTTTATCTCAATATGGGAATATAAAAATCACATCTCATGACAGAAGATCCACACATATTACCACCTAAACGGACCCCGTGGCTCCCACGTAGTGTACTTCAAGGTAAACCAACAACAGCAGTGCAGACACAGCAGGCCGACGCGACGGGAAACGGGCCACCAGAAGACAGGTCAGCCCGGGGAAGCGGGAGTGAGGCATCCCACACCGAGGCCCAAACTTCACCGAGACAAAGGAGGGGAAACTGCCACATGAGGCCTGAGGAGGATTCCGGTGGCGCCGTGATGTCACAGCGCTGGTACCAGGCCGAGCGTTTCTCTCTCATTGGGATGTTCGGGGCGAAGCGGCCGCTCTCCGTCAGGCTGAAGACCTCGTTGAATAAATCACACTTGGGACATCCAAACACCAGGATTGGTTTCCTCTGCTTCGGCAGGATCAACGGCGCGCCAGCTTCATTCGTGTAGCAGCTCCCGGCAGAAACGGCGGCCTGAAACGGAAGCAAAAGAACAGTGTGCGATTAAATATCGAATTATTCATTTATCTCCCGTGGTAGAAAGTAAGAGCGCGATGGTGGAGACAGTCGCTCTTCTTCAGTGATACACATGATGAAGAGCGCGTGCAACACGTCTGCTCACTCATGTATTCGATATCCTCAACTCAAGTGTGTGTGTGTGTGTGTGTGTGTGCTGCACAGAGACAGATGGACACACCTCACCAACTAATCCTGCAGCAGCCTATAAAAGAACAACAGCCCACAGCTGCATCCGCCACCGTGAGCTCACATCAAGTCACACTTCATCAGGCTGCATAACAGCACACGGGCAGAACAACATGTCACCGTGTAGAAGATATGATAATTATTAGTATTACAATCTCACCAACGAACAACTTCACAATAAGACAAAACAGGACATTCATCAGTCAGCTTCTGTGGGACATTTCCTGGGAGAATTAAGACAATCAAATGTGTAAGAAAACGTCCCTCCGCTCCTCCTTCAACATCCAGACAGAAGTCACGTGACCTTCTGCGCTTACTTTCCTCCCTTGCTCCCTCAGGTCGGATTGCGAGCAAATCGCAATCATCACATCAGACTATGCAGACAGTATTTCTGCAGCAGATAGAGCAGCGATTCATAAACGGGGCAGGCAGAAACACATTAACATGGAGATATAAGCACACGTACCCGCGGAGCATCCCGGCGGAGGCCCGTGCAGCTCACACGGCCTGGTCCACCCGCACCTGCAGCTCAAAGGCGTCGGGCCGGTCTTGGGGGTTGACGGCGAGCATGTCCTGCAGCAGCTTCCGCACGCCTTCCGACATGCGGGACCGGTGCCGGAGCGGGATGTTCAGCACCATCTTTGGGTTGTCTAGCAGCGCCTCGCCCACCGGCACAATGTCCACTCCTTGCCTCACGTAAGACCCCAGCAGCTCCCGCTTGGACTCGGCGTCAATGAAGGTGATCCTCTCCAACATGGCCCAAATGATGATGCCCAGGGCGAATATGTCGGCCTTGGCCGTGTAGTGGCCCTCCCACACCTCTGGCGCCATGTAGAAGTCCGAGCCGCACGCCGACGACAACCAGAACTTGTTCACGTTCACGTTCTTGCTCTTGTCGTCGCCCTCTTTGGGCTTTCCTAACCCGGCGCAGACTTTGCTCAGGCCGAAGTCGGCCACCTTGAGTACCGGCGTGCCGGACTTCTCCGAGATGAGGATGTTGTCGGGTTTCAGGTCTCTGTGGACAATGTTGTTTCCGTGCAGAAAGGCCACGGCGCTGGTCAGTTGGAGCATGAAGCTGTTGTTGGTCTGCTGGTCGGGCCGCCGCGACAGGATGAAGCGGTTGAGGTCGCCGCCCTCGCAGTACTCCATGATGAACCAGAGGTAACAGGGCTCCTCCGGGGGACCCAGGACCCGCTCACCTGAAACGAAAGTCATTCACAGGATGAACGGACTCGGCAGCAGGTATTGGTCATACAGGTCTTTCTTGGCCCGCCCGGGTACCAAGTGACCTGCAGACCCGTTGGTCGGGGCCACGGTAGAGAACGGGCCCAGACGGAGACATTTTATTTTGTATTTGATTATTCTGGTCTTGAGCACTTATGCACATGTTTGTGCATTTATGCGTGTTGTAAAGTAAAGTCACTTGCATGAACAACGTACTGGGTTATGATTCCGATTCTAGTGCATTGGATCAAGTGCAATTGATCACTCGGGGGTTCGGAGTGAGAGTGGAGATAAATCCTGCAGTCTTTGACGTGGTTCCCACAATGTGATTTACATAGAAAGATGCGTTTACTGACAGCGCGATACGGTCACCGGAACCAACACAGCACAAAGCCGGGGTTTAAAAAAAAGAAAACGTGCAAAGGTCGACCGTCCAGGATGTGATTAAAACACCTCTGTGAACACAGCAAAGTCAGCAGACTCCATTTTAGTGCGGAGCTCCTTCACTAAACGGACCCATCCCCCCCCCCAACCAGCGAGCCGCGTCACGGCCACCGAAACAACACCGGCTTCAGTCCAAACTACACCCAAACATCCCGGAATCTAACACCGCGTTTGGCGCGACCACGTTAGTTCCCGTCGCTTCCCTCCGGCCCCCGCGGGCCGCTCACCTTTCAGCGAGGTCTCCACCAGGCGCAGGTACTGCTCGGACCGCTTGTTCCCGTGGCTCATCCTCTGCGCCACGCCGTCCCGCTGCAGCACGCACTCCTCCAGCTGCACCACGTTGCGGTGCCGCTTCTCCAGGCTGGCCAGCGCCCAGAACTCCCGCAGCGCGAGCTCCACGTTCTCCGGCGCGTCGCACCGCAGCTTCTTCACGGCGACCTTCGCCCCGGACCTCCGCGCCGCGGCCTCGTACACCACGCCGTACGTGCCCCCTCCCCAGCTCCCGCAGCAGGCTGTAGCGGGGCGCCGCGGCCCTGCGCTCCGCCCGGGCCCGCTTGAAAAGGCCACCGTCCTCCTCCTCCTCCTCCTCCATGTCATGGCCGTCTTCCGCGTTGTCGGCGGCGCTGAGACTGCGCAGCACGTCGGGCTCGTCGGGCCTCTCGCCGGCCGGTTGTTGGCGGTTGGCTCCGGCGCTCCTCGTGCGTCTGCGCCAGTTGTCAGGCCCGACTTTCTCCATACGTCCCCCACCAGCGGGTCAAGCGTTCGGGGACATGTCCAGCTCCTCCGTACGTCCCCCCCCCACCCCACCAGCGCCTCGCGGGTCAAGCGTTCAGGGACATGTCCACATGTTGTCCCCGTCGGCGGGGTCCCATGGAGCGGTTCGGCAGAGGGAAATGTGAACCAATGGAACGAGGAGTCACGATGGCCACCGCGTAGAGAGCGGTTTCCGGTCAAGACTTTCAGAATAAAACTCGATTTATGTCCAGGTGCGTTAAGATGGGTAAAGCGTGATTTTATTAATATCGTGCGTTACATATAATGTCCCCTTAGGTCATTACTCTTTTTATACATACATACCTGGATTGGGTGTTGCTTTCAAACAGTTTAATTCAGGGAACTAAAGAGTAGTAGTAGATTGTGGGAACCTAAAACAATCAAAACGTTTAGTTCAAGGAAATAAGGAAAGGCAGAATATGACCTTAAACCTGAGCATTTAGTTCTGGGAACTAAAAAGAGGTTCAGGCACCAACCGTTGGCGGTTTCCGCGTGCACACTAATCTCATCTATAGCAAATTGTAAATTGGCTTATTTGAGGAGATTGCACTTTCTCTTTTCTTGTTCTTCTGAGTTTGTACCCTATGGTTGAATGCACTTATTGTGAGTCGCTTTGGATAAAAGCGTCAGTAATGTAACGTAATGTAACCTGGATTCTGGAAACCCGGAACAGTTCTAAAAAATTAATTTTCCTGCATTTTATGCAATTTACTACTGTTGGTTTTTAATTTCCATCTTTTTTTAAACGTCCTTCTCTTTTTGCCTTATGCTTTTGATAGTATTGTTGCTTTTAAAAAAATTGCCCTGTTATTGAAATGTGCTCTACAGATAAACATGCCTTGCCTCTACTTAACCACTTCCGGGGCCCGTTGGCGGTTTCCGCGTGCACACTAATCTCATATTTACCAGGAAAAGGGAACTTTCTACCGTTGTGTAACGTTTGCCTGCCAGTTAAACGGTGAATGAATGATTAAACAACTGTTGAATTATTTTCAATTTATTTTCAAATCAGTGAAAGCAGGGTGTTTTCGTCTTTGTGGATTAATTTATGCTACTTTATTTACAATGATCCCCGCTAGTTTTCCATAGATCTGAGACGTTATGCACGTGACGTCGCACGCGTAACAAGTTGATATAATAAAATAATCAAAGAAAATATATTGTATATGTATAATATAATATATATATCTTGTCTTATTTCCCTTATTTTTAGCGAACATTCACTGATTCATGCACCTCATCAACCACAAAGCTAACAAGTCCTAAAACCAGGAAGTGCAAACCTTACAACAGACTGTCTTTTATTACAGTGCTTCAATGGCAAGAATAAAATAACAGTTTTACTTATTAGTAGGAAGATTGTCCAGATTACATCTACATTATTCGTATCAAACAAACATAACCTCATAAAAAACAAATGGTATTTCAAAGAATTCCTGACTTTGCTACTCATTGTGGCACAGCCCCCCCAACAGTGACTAGAGAAACCATTATATTAAACACCACAAAATAATGCTATACTCAAATTCATATAAAAGGAGTAATCAAGAAATTTGTTATGCATTTTTAAGTCAATGGTTAAAGAGCCAGATGAATAAAATAGTTTAAAATTGGTGCTCTGAAGGCGAAGCGGTCTTCACCTTAAATTAAGCCACGTTACACTGGATCCTACACATCCCATAATGCAACTCAACAGCGTCCCTTAAGCATTGATGTAGTCCGAAATACATGTGGACTGCAGGATGAGGAAGCAGATGCATACACATTTCTGAACTTGTGTCTGTGGTAACGTTTCCCATGTGGCCCGTTTCTATAAAGCATAATCAACATACAAGCAGATGAAAATTCAGAAATGATGACATAACTGTCTCTGAACTTCACCTGTGTAATTAAGGCTCCACCTATGAGAACTTCACCTGTGTAATTAAGGCTCCACCTACGAGAACTTCACCAGTGTAATTAAGGCTCCACCTACGAGAACTTCACCAGTATAATTAAGGCTCCACCTATGAGAACTTCACCTGTGTAATTAAGGCTCCACCTACGAGAACTTCACCTGTGTAATTAAGGCTCCACCTATCAGAACTTCACCTGTGTAATTAAGGCTCCACCTACGAGAACTTCACCTGTGTAATTAAGGCTCCACCTACGAGAACTTCACCTGTATAATTAAGGCTCCACCTATGAGAACTTCACCTGTGTAATTAAGGCTCCACCCATCCTCATTGCCTGCACACACCAACGTTCTGACCAAAAAACAGCGATCATCCAGTCAATCAAACATTATACATGTTAGGTTCAATGGCGATATTTTATTAAGATTTCTGTAGCAGAAGCGAATCCCTGAACATACAAGAGAATGTATCACAATAGGTAAAATGTTTCTTAAACACAACCAATAAAACCCAGAATATGCAGTCTTTAAACCCGGGGATATACAATTTAAATGAGCACATCTAACAATGCAATTCTAGATACAGTTGATCTAGGAGCTTTAAAATTTCCTATTCATATCAAATAGCAAGGAAAATCAGAGCACTTCAATGACAATATCAAAAACATCAAATACATTTAAAACTGTAAAAAGGGCACATGAAAAGTGATACAGATGTTTCGTCTTGCTGTTCTTTTCCTCTGGTCTGCTACTTTTATAAATCATGTGTCTTATAAAGGATGGATGAAGTCACCTATTTGCACACACTGAAATGTCTTGTGCATCTGTCACTGCATTTTGGCCCCTGTAATGACTAATGAGCTTCTTCCAAGTCCTATTCTTGCTCAGCACCAGCTGGTTCCCTTTGAGAGGACAGAAACATTTGAGTTATGAAGCTACATAGGAGCTAGGAGCTGTGAGCGTAGCAATGGGGATCTTACCGATGATGCACAGTCCCTCCTTGGCCCTGGTGATGCCCACGTTGATCTGGTTGGGATCGCCCACGAAGCCCAGATGTCTGGAGAACCAAGCTCCATCTGGCTCTTCCTCAATTTCTTTTTCCGGCAGAGAGCACACTGTGGATAAGATGACGTAACGCCATTCGCTTCCTAGAAGACAGAATGTTGCGTGTCACACAATGAGCCGCTGTTAAACGATGACACATCGGGGCAGGAAGTGGTGGTTCCACGCGGGAACGAGCTCAAACATACTGGATTTCTTTGGGACGAGCAGTTTCACTCTGTTTTCATTTTAGCGTGACGACTTTACTCTCAGTGAAGGATATGTTACCTTGGCTTTTGGTGATTGTGGTAACAAGAACTTGATCCATTTTCTTTTCCTTCAGCCCATCTTTGATTTCAGACACTTGGGCATTATAGGGAGTCAGAATCACAATGTCTTGCTGTTTGATTTTAGCATTCTCCACCAGCTTCTTAGCAATTTCAATCTGCAAAAGAACCAAAGCAAATTACCTTGATTAAAAGCATAAATCCATGACGTCACCACCTGGGTTTGCATTAGACTGTCAGGTAAAGTGTGTGTTTTGAAATGTTGGAAAAAAGTCATGCGAATTGGCAACATTTCCATCAACTAGTTTCAATCCAATGGACTTGCGTTGAGCATAGTTTGGGCGGAGGTTAGCGCTCTAGGCTTCACATTGCTGTAATGTACCAGTAGTGTAGAAGAGGAAAACAAAGAGCCTTGTCCATCAAACCATAATTACCCTTTATTATTTAGCAAAGACCCTTTTTTCAATTTGGTGCATGAATTTTGAAGACAAAAAACGTCTCAAGAGAACATACAAACCTGTTCACTCAGGTATTGTTTCCATAGAGCTTTGACCAATGCAAGGCTTGAAAATGTGCATTAATATACTTAAATGGAAACACGGCATGATAAAAGGGTGAACAGGTCAACGATAGGATGGATAATCTTCATTTTTGTTATGTTTGTTGAAACTTCCTTGACGTCCCCACAGCAATCAGTAAATCAAATACTCTGTATAAATAAAAGTAATCAGAGTATCTTTGGTTGCTGACGATCCGACCAGCGAACGTACGGTCAGAGTTTGAGACCCCTGCTTTAATAACTATGGTCGCTTGTCCACTTACACTTGATTGTCACTGTTTAAAATCAACGAGTAAACCAGGGAGCCTGATATCGTACCGCTTTGTCTCTCTCTTCCATGTTGGCTTTAGAGTTCTCGTTGCCCTTTGCTGTGTTGACGACCAGACTGATGGTCTTTCCGATGATGTGCCCAAAAACGATCGGCGTCGTCTTTTTTCGAACACGCAGGACGCTGCTCGGCTGCTCCACCCCAGTTTTTAGTTTTCCCTCATAAAATTCTTGTGATGGGAACTCACATATTTCCTCATGCTAGAAAGGCAAATAATTGATTGTTATTATTAACAATTTTGAATATTTATCCTAGACATATAGTAGTAGAATATTTCTGCAGTCATGTATGCAATGTGCTCTTATGATGCACACTGTATACTGTGTGCATATATGGAGTCTGTTTAATGTGCTCACCATTCTGTACTGGGTGTCCAGCATCACCGCCCGGCTCTTGTGCATCATATAGTAGCGCTCAAACAGAGATTTGGTCATCCCAAGCTTCCTCACACCCTCGTGCTTCACAATGGGTCGTAACTGTTTGTGGTCACCAATCAAAACAATCTGAAAGGGATATTTAAAAAACATTCAAATCAATAACTAGTGTGATGATTCAACGAGAGCCCGCCCCTCCCTTCTAAGTCAAAGACAGTCCCATGTAAAAATAGCCTAGACACAGACATTATTATAAGAATAAATTACATCGAAAGTTATTCAAGTAGCATCATATCAATGACTAGTTATGTTTGAATATCACGCCACATTGTCAGTTAGACACATACGTGTTATGCTTCTGTTAGCTGGCTTGGATGTGGTCAAATATGACCCTGAATACATTCAATTCAGATCCATCATGGAATTCATGGTGATCGTTAGAGTGAAGAGAATATTACACCCGGACAACTTGAGTCTGCAACCTAATTTAGTAATAGTTAGCAAGCTGAAAGGTTTTCTGACAGAATGTTTTTAAAAATAAGAGGTATGCCTTAGGTTACATATAGGTGAGAACCCCTATTTTGCTCAGCATCAGTTGGTGAACGGGATAAATCTTCCATTTTAACTATTGTTATGCTTGTTTGACATGGATCAGAATAATACTGAAAAAAAGGTATATTTACATTAAAACTTGTTCTTTAAAAATGTTGTTTCCATGTAGTATTTCATACATTGATGCACAAAGAAAGCAACATTCGTTGTTAGCGCACAGATGCATACAGTGCACGAGCGGGATACTAGTTATGAGATGGAAAGCTCACCTTTTCCGGTTGGTTGCAGACTAAGGGAATCAGGGCCTGGGGTTCTGTCGCCATTGCACATTCATCAATGATTATTTGGCGTGCAGCGAGCGTGGAAGTCAATATCTGGTTGGAAGACTGTGTACATGTACACAGTATGATGTCATGCTGTTGGAGCTCAGAAATTCGAGCTTTTTTGAGAAGACTTTTGTATCTATGGAAAAGAGATATCCATGGTTAGTTTTATAATTGCTCAATTCCTTGTTAATTGTCTTTGTGCAAGTGGTGCAGATCTGTTGTTTTTTGCACATATGAGAAGCAGATGGAATCTGATCTTCTCCTTTCAGATTTTGGCCACTTCCATATGTGGTTGTGTGTTGTATAATGCAACCTCCAATTGAACAGTTCACTTAGTGAATACAGAAAATGGCCCAAAAAGTAACAGTCATAAAATAATGTTTGATCTGGTTACCCGACGTTTAACTGCCAAACCAACTAGTTAGTAGTTATCTTTGAAGTCGTTTGTTAGAGTGAAACCTGAAAATGGGTTATTCAATGCTCAAAAAAGACAAAGTGGAGATTTAGTAAAAAAAAGTCAAAGAGAGTATTTAGCAATCCCCCAATTCACTGAGTAATATGTGACATTAAATGCAGCATCTGAACTTACGTGTCCACTTCTTCATCCGTGAGCTGAATGTTATTCGACAGGGCATCTCGAATGCGTTCATCAAATTCTTTTATTTGACGCGAAAAAGGGTTTTTGTCCTGTCTCATGCGGTGATGCAGTGTGATTCCCCTAAAACCACGTTGAGTTATCAAGTGTTGGTTAACAATCCAAGCCGTTATTAAAAAATAAAAAATCCTAACTGTTGTGATCATAATACCTGAGCTCATTTTTGCTCTTTTCTTGGCGGTGTGGCCTCTGAGAAAACCGAAGAGCGCTGTCTGGAAAAGGGTAATCCAGCATCTCCACTTGTTCACCGTAGACCCTGAGGGGCCGTAGTCGGTCCCCAAACTTCAACAAATTCTCTGTGATATAACAGCAAATCCTTGGTTGTAGCAACAGAGAGAAATAATGCTAAAAATGTCAGCAGAGAAAAGAAAGTAACCTGCCTGCAACGACATCAACAGACTTGTTGGACGGGCCGCAGTAAAGAATGACTTGCTTCTTGCCCTCATCCTTTGGGTCAATTACTTTTCTCGGGTGCAGAGAATTCAGCTCAACGAAACAGGAGACTATGTAAGCGCCCACCACGGTCTTTCCAGTTCCTAAGAGACAAATGGGAAAAATGGCATTAGCCTTCAGCAGAAAGGAAGCAAAAGGATGAATATACGTCCCTGCTCTCACCAGGTGGTCCCTGAATGAGCGTGAAGGTGTGATTGAGAGCTTTCTCCACAGCAAGACGCTGACTGACGTTAAAGTGTGGGATCCCAGGTGGTAAGTCTCTGCCTGCTCTGTGCCAACTTGGTTCCACTGAAAAGACAAAATTACTACTTTCAATGGGTCGTTTTGTTGCACACAAAATAAAATCATTTTAGTCAAACTCAAAACCTGTTAAACAGTAAGAATATACAATGCAATCATTGCGGACTAATGGACATACCCTCTCTTGGAATTTGTTTTCCGAGTGCTATAGTCGTGACCAGATCACATGCAGATGGAATGTTCAGCACAGCTTCTTCCTTCCGGCTACAAAAGTTTGAACAACGTCTAACTTCAATGTCAATCCAAGAAAAATTGAAAAGTCCAATGTAGCAATGTTACAAGTGAACTCCACGTATACTTACACGTCAGGAATGAGCTTTGGGATTATTTCCACTGTGAAACGAGTGTTTTTCCTGTAGACACAATCAGGAATGGTCTCCATTGCCAGATGATTGACGGAGAAGTCGACCGTACTTCCTTCATTTGGAGGCTTCTTCTGTTTTGCTACTTTTCTTATGAGGCAGTGGGCCACCCATGTATACGGTCGGCTTTCCACCGGTGCAGAATCCAGGGTCAAACCTCTTTTCCGTATACACAGTAAGCACTTCCATAGGTTGCATTCAATGGCCCAATTCTTGATCCATGTCACCGGTAAGAAGAAGCTTCCTGCTAGTGTGCCTTCCTGCGCTCTAGTGAAGTTTACCACCAAGTTCTCAATGGTTATGCTGTAATTTTCCTCCACTGCATTGAAAACGGATTCCATGTCACACATCGGTTTCCAGATACGGACGTACTCTTCAGGGTCGTGATAGAAAATCCTCGATGGCCTGTCTGCAGATGTGGAGAAGCATGTGACGCAGTTGCGGACATGGTGCACACAAATCTCAAACTGTGGTTTAACGCACACCAACTGAACAGCAGGCATGTGATAGCCTCTCCTTATCTCTGTGGTCATTTGGACCTTCAGCGTGGCACCTCTCTGCAGCTGAAGCTCGATGGCGACCTCATGCTCCTGTTCGCCTTGCTTGTCGATGCAACTTGACTGAGGCACAACAGCTGCTTGTGGCAAAATCCTAGCCTCTATTGTGAGAGACTTTGCGTGATCCCAGTTTCTTGTGTCAACGGCTTCAATAATGTCTTTCCATACTGCCAGTGGAAGCTCAACGCAGGAATCACAGCCTGGCATTTGCAGCTCCTGGTGGATTTGGGTGTTGTCAACTGCGTAAATCCGCCTGTTCCATTTGAGAGTGACACAGTTGTTTGCTTCATCAAAAACTGGTTGGTCGCACAATTGTAAATCTCTGTATGCAATTGATAATCTCTCCGAAAGAGCATTCTTGTTAAAAGGAAATGCCACTGCTAAGTGGTCCTTGTTGGGACTAACAACAAAGGCTAGATTTGGGGCACTTTGGTGTCTCGTGGTCACTGCATAACGGATCTGATCAGCCTTTTGTTCATACGCTTTTGCATCCTTGCAACTGTCCTCAAATTGACTACACAAAGTCTTGATCTCTGACGTGTCGTATTGGACCCTGCGGTTGCATATGATGGAGTGCAAAAGTCTCTGCGAGATTAAGTCAATGTACCGCCGTATTGGCGAGGATGCATAGGTGTAGGATGGTAGTTTCAGAGAATAATGCCCTTGCTGTGCTTTGTCTGAGGACATAGAACATAGGACTTCAGCTTTACGCTGACACCTTCTGAACTGATCAATGACTGGCTGGAGCAGAGGGTGGATGTCGTCTGCAGCGATCAGGTCCACCATGCTGTCTACATCATCTGATCCGGCAGCTGCCTGGATTTCTTCCCACACTTCTGTGAGTATGCGGAAGTTCTCACAGTTCGGGGCTTGGTTGTCGTGGTCAACTCTATCCTTTACATGAAAAGACAGGGATATTAATTCTCCACATTTCTTCTTGAATTCTTCAATTTTTTGGGGAGCTGGTTCCGCTTGGCAGCGAAGGGGTGTGCAGTACATGGTTTCCTTTGAACCCATCAAACACTTTGATGCGTGTGTGTTGAATAACACACTCAGCTCTTCAATCATCAGATTGGCTTTGCGCTTTCCGGGCCATCTGTCTTCCTCGGGTTGAGAGTAAACCCAATCGACAGGCCTCAACATCCTTTGGGCCTTTGCGAAACAATAAGCCACCGTCACGCAGTCTTCTATGGAGTCAAATCGAGGGATGTCTCTATATCTTTCGGTGATCATGTCTCCTGCCTCCTTATAAGACAACTTCCGATTTGACTTGATGGATGACAGCTGGAATTTGGGCTCTCCAATGATCTCATTTGTTTGTTTTTTTACTTTGAACATCAATGAAACCACCCGTTTATCTTTTCCAGGCAGAAGACTGAAGTGTTCAGTGGCGTCTTTAGGGAACATATGCCGAGGTTGGTGCTTATCCCCGTAATACGTTACTCCACGTTGTTTTGAATCGCAATCTAATTCACAATCTTTACTCACATAGCTCGCCACATCTGCAATATGGACTCCCAACTCATACTCATGGTCTCCAATTTCCATGACACTGATGGCGTCATCCAAGTCTCTTGCATTTTCTGGATCAACAGTGAACGTAAACTTTGTATTTACGTCCTTTCTGTGTGTCCTGTCTTCATCTTCGGAGGTGAGTACACCGTGCGATTCATTCATACATGTATTGGGTGCAACTTTGAATTCTTCATTCAGGATCTGTAGTGCAGCAGAAAAAGAACCTCCGATTGGAAGAATTTTTATGACCTTCCCCAATGGAATATGGCACTGTTCCTTCCATCCAATCACTTGCACCACAAATACTGAATTTTCTTTGAGGTTTCCATCAAGAAATGTATATGACATGGGGATCCACACTCCATCTATCTGCTCCCATATTGGAAGGAAGTTACGTTCTTCCTTGAGGAGCAGTATGCAGATTTTGGGTGCGGATCTTGTGATGGGAATCATGGTCCTTCTCACAAATTTTTGGTAAGAATTCTGTCTGGATTTGCTGTGATCCTCGTCCTCAAGGATGCACACCAGTTCACGGGCTGATTTGGCTTCCTTGGTGATGCCGATCACTTCTGCTTTGTCTACGACCACTTCGTCCCCACTGAAGACTTCCTTCAGGTTTTTCCATCCGTCAATGATGATATGTTCGCCGGGGTTACGAAAAGGTACCACATAACCTCTTCTTGCTGTCTCCCTGACCAATTTTCCTTGCCGGTAAACCCCTGGGTATTTTTCACACAACGCCAAAAGCTCACTGACATCGTGCGATGATTTTGACTGATGGTTGTCAAAGGCTTTCAAATTCGATCTGCATTTTTCAACTTCATCTTCTTCTCTCAGCTGTTTGTATTCATCTGTCAACTCTTGAAGAATTGCATCATTGAGAGTGTTGCTCTCATGCACTTGCTCAGACTTTTGAAACCTGGCCGTTTCCATGACGTCTTTTTCAAAGAAACCTTGAGCGTAATGCCGGGGTGAAACACTATTGTTGCTGATGCAGTGATCTATGTAGCTCTTCCAGACCGCTGAGCATTTCCCAAAGCAACAAAGCGCAGCGGCGTCGCCCACCACAACCACGAGGGACTGGGCCCTGGTCATGGCGGTGTTTAACACACGGGCGTCATTGAACAGCTCCAGACCGGGCAGGTGAGACGTTTTCAGGCTGTCGCGTGTTTGCACCGCCGACAGTATGACCACCCTAAACTGTTTGCCTGCCAACACATGAAGACAATTCCCATTAGGTCATTTAATCAGGTAAAATGTTGTACAGTTATTTTAAAAAGGATCCGTTCATTTTTATTTTACCAATATCTAACCAGGCATTGAAATACAACGAAGCCTCTTGAACTAGTCAGACAGGTGTGTATGTACATTAAAACTACCTTGCACATTTGCAAGATTCTCGACGTGGACTCCAGAAAGGTTTCTTCTTGAAAGGGATGTCCTGATTTGCCGTACCTAACAATTGCAACACACATCATTATAACTGTGACAATATGCAGCGTAACGTAATATTAATATACATTCATGCATAAATCTTCACGGTCTGATTTACCTGATTCCCCTCTGACAGGATGCAGATGGAGCTAAGGTTCTTTGTCCCCCAGCTCATTGGCCAGTCTTTCAGAACCTCCTTCACTTCTTCAACCACTTTTACAACCTCTTCTTGGTTATACCAAGACAAGGACACAGAGTCCAGGAGACACTCTCCCCGGACGTGGTGAAACTTTAGTGCATGGCCATTTTCAGGAGCCGGAACATCTCCAACGGCTTTGATAACATCTTGCTGACCAACGTAGAAATGGGTAGACACAAACTCCACTATTTCTTTGCTTGAGCGGTAGTTTTCATTGAAGATTATCCTGCTGTTCTGGGCCGCGTCACACTTTTGACCTTGATAGTAATGGAACAGGCGGGTGAGGAGCGTGTGATTTGAACGGTGATGATCATCAACTGAGAAAAGCTTGGGTCCCATTTGCATGTGATCTCCAGCCAAAGCAACCCTGGTGTTTGGCCCAGCGAGGCCAAGGGCCATCAAGGCCTCGCATTCCAGCATCTGAGAGGCTTCATCAATTAGTATGTGGGTGAAATATCCCTCTGGGAGCTTTAGGTCGTGAAAGCGTCTCGCCATTGTTGTCGTGGTTATGACTAGTTTGTGGCCGTCCAGGGCAGCTTTTGTAGGTGGCAAGAAAAACTGTCCATCTTGTGAAAGCAAACAGTATTTTTGAGTGACGTCATCGGTGGCAGCGTAAGCCTTTTTACTGTTTGCTTTTATTCGAATTGGCCGCATCTCGTTATTTCGATTTTTCTGGTCAATGAATGGGTGAAAGTGATCTCTGACGTACAGATCTGCAGAGCTGAAAGGAAACATTGAACCTTTGTCATCACAGCGGTTTGTTGGTGGTTCACACAGGTGGTTCAGAGTAGTTCTGCTGCTGCTGCTCAATTTAATTCAAATAACATCAATACTTTAATACTATAGTACAGTGCATGGCCTAGCTGCCCACTTGTTGTTTGGTACCTGTGAATCCGTCAATAAGTCGACGTGCAGCGAACATTAACAAACATAATGAGCATCTAGTTTGGAGCACGGCAGCGTGGCTGGGTCACGTCAACGTTAATACATTAAAAAATACTTCTCCAGTTACAAACACTGCTATTTTGAACGACATACATTACCTGTTGGTGTGGGTGCAAATGAGCACTTTTTTGTGAGGCTGCTTACAAAGTTCTCGGGCCGCCGTGGCGAGCGTGAACGTCTTCCCAGTTCCAAACGGGCCGTAGACGAGGAGAGGCGCCACACAACCCCGGCCGTTGGAAACGCCCGTGATGAAGTTAATCGCCGACAGCTGCTTTGCATTCAGCTTCTCACAGGAGACGTTGTTCACGGGAGCGATGCAGTCGTGAAGGTCCGGAAGCACTCTTTTAGTGTCGGGAAGGAGGTCTACGGCCTTGTGCATGGTGCAGAAGCCGAGGCGGTCGAGCTGAAACTGCACCTCCATCGGATACGAGTCATCGCTTCGGAGCGCCAGATCGGAGCAACATTTCTTAGACAGCTGCAAATGCATTTTGTTTTCGCTTGTTTTGTCGGGCAGAATGATGGCTTCGTAGACTTTGGGGTTTGGAAAGCTTGACGATAAGGGGGCAATCAGGGCCGACTGGATGCTGCGTTTTAGTGCCAGGCCCTCGGGTGTGTCTGGCGTGAGATTGAAAGGAATTGAGACCGCACAGAACAGTTCTCCCGGATGCGCCTGCAGGGTAAACTTTGTGCCGCTCAGACGGTCACACGTTGTCATTTGTCCACAAACATTTAGTCTGAAGCAGAAAGAGAAGAGAAAGCCTTAGATGTTTGATATATGTGCAACTTCTAAACATCATCAAAGAAAGACGCCAAAGACAAGCATCCTACCTTGAGACAATCTGGTCCTCGGCCCGCTCCTCGTTGTACAGGAAGTCGTGCATTCTTTCTTTGTAGTTCTCGGGATTCAGAGGTGTTTGGCTGTTGTTGGAGGACTTGTCCTGGAAGCTAATCTGTGGCGCCTTGTACTCCTTTAACAGCTCCTCCTGTTCTTCTGTCCTGGACGTACACGGGATGATCACCCGGTTCCCTCGATGCCAACGCTCGGCGCTCTGAAAGGTGGCTCCGCCGCCCGAAGTCGGCTGCTCGACGTCGTCCAGGGACGGCTGGCCTACTCTGACCCTGAGTTTCTTCAGCAGCACTGGCCTCGCGTTGAAGTCCAACACCAGCCACTGGTCATAGAGGCCAGGATTGCTAGCTGTGAAGGACACGGTGATGTCATAGGTCATGTCTTCCCTGAGAAAGGGTTCACCTGAGGAGTGGATGCAGGGCGCAGGACCCAGGTCCCTGAGGGTGAATGACGCTCCCGGTTCCTGCTTGAGCAGCGCCACGTGCACAAGTTGTCTCTGTGCACACAGAAGATGGAAAATGAGCGTACGAAAAGGGTTTTTTGAAGATGTGTTTGAATGATCATAGATCTATTTATACGATGGAATACTATCTAAGAGGTTTGGGTCATTTTTGTTCTTGCACGTATATATTATCATATGTCTTCTTTTATGAATTCTGGCGCTTCTCACACAAAATCTAACCAGGCCTTGTGGTAAAAAATCTTACCTCTGTTTCAACTTTGAAGTCCCACTGAAATGTTGCATTGATCTGTTCCCACTGCACACTTAATTCTTTATCACAAGAGATGCTGACATCGTCCACCTCTTCGGATACCTGTTGAAAGAGTGAATTTAATAGCTGTGATTCACTGAGGAGTGAGCTGTCAGTTAGTAATGCGAACACGAATTATGTCAACTAACCAACTTTGTTAGAAGTCACAATGTTGTATAATCATGTGTTACGTCTGGATTGTATTTAGCTTTAATATCTTTGGGTCTGGAACAATTTGGGCTTGAAGTGTGATGGATGGAGATTTAAAAGGAGACTTGTACATTTCTATCTTTATACATCGACCATCTCAACAGAATTGCATCGCTATCGTTATTTACCCACAATGCATTAGGTTCTAATTCAGTCAGGCATCGCTACCGTAGTTTATGAGTCGGTGAGTTCACTCGGTGGGTGTGATGCCTGTGACCTTGGGGTGAGTCGTGTATGTACTCACGATGTATGCTTCGTTGCTGGTGTTTTTGTATTCCTCCAGGAGGCTCTCGTTGTAGGACATGAGGCCCTGGGCGCCGATGTTGTGTCGGATCTCTTTCTCCTCCTCAGCACGCATCAGCCACTCCTGCAGCTCTTCCACGGAATGAGCTTTTGGACACTTGCTGCCGTATTCGCACGTTTGTGGTCTAGGATGAAAGCGCGCAATTACAACACAGCGACACGATGAGGGTCTGTCAATCAAACTACCCCTCTGGAAGTAAAAGTGAAAAAACTCAGATGTTTACAATGACAGTTCTTGGCCAAGTGTTTTTGATCATGCCATAAATGTAACAGTCCACGACGAAACAAATGATCAAACACAGTAGACAGTAGATCATCATCCGTTCCACGTGTGTTGCATTTAATTATGTCTGATACGTATTATTTATATTACACATGTTTTTGTGAATGTAACCAAACCAGGGTTATGAGTGTACCATAACCCGATACATCTTCTACCATGTTTACTGACATTTCTGCATTACCTGTTATTATATATACACACACACAGAATGGACATGTGATGTCAAACATGTGATGCGAGGTGTCTACCTCTCGCAGAGCCAAAACCCAGACCGGTGGTTGTGTGGGGGCGGCCGTCCTCTCCACCTGGTGGTGGTGTCCTCGGCGAGTAACTGAGAGTGCTCCAAAGAGCTGCAGTGCTTGTAGAAGCTCTCCGGAGAGGAAAGGACCAGGAGGCACACTTTGCAGTACATGGTGACCTTCTTCCTGTGCTCCGTCTGCTCGCCCTGGCTCACCTGGAGGAGGAGCGGTCGCACAGAGAGCCCGCCTTGCTCCGCTTCCCACACGGCCATCTCCACCTCGCTCTGCGCCGAGCCGCAGTGGCCCGGCTGGTGCCAGCACGGCTTGCCCTGCCTGACGTGGCTGCAGTAGGTGAACTGGCAGTTCGGGAGGAGAGGGCGCACCTGGCTGTAGACGTGCTTGCTGCTGTTCTCGGACAGGTGATGAACTAAGACGGGGTCCCAGGTGTGCGCCGAATCTGCCGAGCAAGTGGAATTCCACTTTTTAAGTGTCAGCTTTTGCGGGCAGTCGTTGAAGCATTCCCTGCAGAGCTCTATGAATTCGCCGGAAAACCGCCGGCGGATGCTTTCGGCCGCACTTTCTGGTGTCGACCGCGTGCGCTCAGACTCAACGACCTGTCGGATTAACTGGCCTTTATCGATACGATGGTCTTTCAGGTGGTTCCACACCACGGCCTCTTCAGAACTCCTGGCAAAAGTGCATGCGGCTCCGTGATATGTGCATTCAGAGCCCGAGCCCTCGACGTGGAATCTGCACACTTGGTAAAAAACATTCGGCCCGATACGAACACCCGCAGGCCGGTCCGCGACAGGCTTCCACTGATGACAGGCCTTGTCTTTGGCCAACAGCAGATCTCTTCTGCAATTGTGGCTGATCAGCTGAACTGTGCGTGTTATTTTCTTCTCCTTCACAAAACACTGATCACACGCAGCCTTCAACTCCAGAATCGGCAAGAGGTCACCCAGGGGTTCGGCGTTACCGGGCGGATCCCCTCCCGTCTCGGACTGAGCTACAAGCTTACAGAGGAGCATGTGGTCCAGACCGCGGCGCTTTTCAAACGTCCAAACGGTGGCCTCCTCGACACTTCTCGCAAAGGTGCAGCGGTTCTTGTGGGACGTACAACCATGGCCTTCCACGTAGAAGAGGCACATCTGGTACTGATTCGGATTTGGAAACATGGGCCGCTTGGAGACCGGCCTCCATTTGCTGCCCCCTTTGGCTCTGCAGAGCAGGAGGGTGCGGGCACACTGGTGGAGGACCGACTTCAACGTGTACGTGACTTCTTTTTCCTTGACAGAGCACTGAGTGCATGCAAGTTTGAGTTCATGCGTCGATGACAGAGGAACCAGTTTGGATTCACTAGCTGCCATTGTGATACTTTCATAATGCTGAGGTCAGCACAGAGGATTCACAAGTGCAGATTGTAGTATTTTGGTTGCAGATTCAGTTACAAGTCTGATTAACGGAGGCACCAAGTCAGGAGCCTCTAACAGAATGAAGCTGCATCAACTGGTCTGTGACGTATCTGCAGAGATGTCCGACTTTCCTTCCATGAGTCTGAAGAAAACAAACGAGAAGGACAGCATGATGAAAAAGGCAGGCTGACGATGCAGGCTAGGCTGCTAGTTTGTAGTGTTAGCACGTTAGCTTGTAGCAGACAGCATTGGCCAACAATACATTACATTTGTCCTTTAGCTGACGCTTTTATCCAAAGCGACTTACAATGAGTGCATTCAACCATAGGGTACAAACTTAGAACAAGAAACAAAGTGCAATTTCCTCAAGTAAGCCAATTTATAATTTGCTATAGATGAGTGGCGTTATAAGTACAATTTAAGTGCTATAATTTGTTAGTCTTTCAGTCGAGTCTGAAGAGGTGTGTCTTTAGTTTGCGGCGGAAGATTTGAAGCCTCTCTGTGGTAACAACAATAAACCTTAACCTGTGTGTAATTTAATGTCTATATGACGCCTTGAACCGAGGCTATAAAATTGAGCTTTTGGCCATTTCACTCCTTAAATATACAAGTGCACAAACAGGAAGCGTCAACACATTGTTGTCTGGCATACAGCAACATGCAAACAGTGCACAGTATCATTGTGTGTAATGTCCCAGTGGGGATTCTTTAATTGAGAAGATGTTTAAAAAGTGGATATTTCTTTTTAATACTTGTTTTGTTTACATATTTACACATCCACAATAGATACGGAGGAGCATTTTTGTCTTTAAATGACATTTAAAGAAAGAAAGGGAGATCGTGCTATCATTTATTTTCTATTCCAGTGCTCCTCACAAAGTCAGAGTGTAGGACATTAAATTTGGACAAAAAATAAATAATAATACTGCCCGGCCGTTTGCGCGTTATTGTAAAATGTAATTTTTTCAAGTAAAGTTGACTTTACTAATCCAACTATTCACTTTACTAAGAAATAATCAGGAAACCGATTGCCTTAAAACTTTCAAGTAAGCTGAACTAGAAACTGTAAGCTTCGGACACAAAGACAGAACGGTTATAATGGAAGACAGTTTATTTCTAAGGAACTTCCTCACACATTTTGTTAATCTAAAACATGATTAAAAAATGTAAAATTACATGTTTTGAAATGTGGACATTTTGCTCAAACTTTTAAAACATCTTGACATTGCAAAAAAATAAACTGATTGCCTCTCCTTTTAGTGCTCCTAATGGCATTTGAAAAAAAAAACAAGGAAAAAAGTCTGTCCTATCCAATTTAACTGTACGACTATAGGCAATTAATCAAATATGAATCAATGTTCTGTTACTTGTTTGTTGGTTTCAAATATTAGAATGAACTAAACTTTTTCAAAAAACATGCAATTACCCACAATATGAACAAAACATGCCTTGCATCATGAAAAAGTAAGACTGTGGTTTGTAACAAACGGATAAACAAATGCAATAGTTGTAGATATTCCTGAAGTTGCTGGCCAACACTTCCATTTACATGTGTTCTTCAAAGCTGCAAAAGAAACAAGAAAAGCATCAGTCAAACTGTAAACAACCCATGCAGATGCACGTTAACGGCCAACTAGCCTTCAGTTTAATGGAAGATTTTAACATTTCACTCATTTTATCTGCCCCCTCACAAATTCTCTGGAGGAAGATGGAGAGCTTAAAGGTTCCTTCTTGCATTTGGTTAAATGTTGTCATTTCCAGTAAGTATTAAAATAGAAGAGTTTTTATAACGTTACATTAGTCTTTACGCAATACCGTGACTCCCGCAATGCGGTGGGGTAATTAATAACCGTGCACGCGCGTTAGGCGGCCACGTTGTTTAACGGTCATCACTTATAACCGCACATTAAAAAAGTTAATACAGGTTTCGGTTAGCTTTCAAAATCGAAGAGGTAAAGTTAACCCCCAAAAAACTAACGTTAACTAACGGGTGAACAATATGGCAAATGGACGAGTAAGTTTGCCAGGTGGAACGGTGCCAGTAAACGGTAACATTTTATCATGTAACGTTAGCTGAGACTTACCTTCTGCACCGAGCGGCGCTTTCTTCCCGCTTCCAGCAGCCGCCTCAAAGGGAAGCGCGTCTTCAAGTGCGCATGCGCGTTAGAGCCGAGTGCAGCCGAGTGCTACCGAGTGCAGCCGAGTGCTGCCGAGTATCTCCGGGTTTTGGGGAAAGTTCTTCGACACTCATTCTTTTAAGTAAACGTTACTTGAAATCACAAGTTTCATAAGAAAGTGTACTTTACTACGTTTCCTTCAGTATGGTCACCAAATTAAGCAGAAATGAGTTAAGGGCACTAATTTTTTTAAGTAAGGTCAACAATTAGGTTTTACAGTGTGAGACGAACACCCCGTTGGGTGCCGGGCGGCTCGCCGTTTTTATTTAAAAAATAAAAACTATGACTAAATCCATTCTAACTTTTGTTAACGAGACGAGACGAAAATGTTGGTGGTTGACGAAGTCACGATACTTTCCCCCCTAAATTCGCACGCAGCTAACAGACAACAGACCGGCAAAGTACGGCGGTTATTAACGCGTCATGGTGACGTCATCCACGAACCCAGAACGCGCGCTCGCATCTGTGCAGCGGTGGTTTCTTGCGCACCGACTGCGGACCGCGACGACTAGTTTACGCTTCGGCGAGTTTGAATGTGGCTTCGTTACTTTAGCTCCGCTGTCTCGGGTTAGCTGACTGTTAGCGGGCTGAAGCCGCGCTGCTTCACAGAAACATGAAGACCCGTTTAACAGCTCGGGGCGGTTAACGCGTCTAACGTAATAAAGCCATTGCAGGTTCTGAAGCCTCACGCGTTTCAACTGTGGTTCACGCGCCACATCGTGAGAAGACTGTTAAACCGTCTCGGCCACCGTAAGCTCGTTACTAAGCAACAGAGGCGCGCACACACGTGACAGGTGGATCCTTTTGATAGAAGTGCGCAGTGCAGGTGGAGGAAAACCCGCAGGACACAAGAGAGAAGAACTGGTCATGAAATAAACAAAGAGACAAAGAAAGAAAAGACTGTTGAATGAAAAGTGAGGGTCCAGTTTAGAACGGCTGCTTTATGATGCAGCCAAGAAAATAATGTATTGCAACGATTGCAGGACGTTAAGGTCTCTTTAGTTGGGACAGTGGAAACAATAAAGGACCATGAAGTGTCAAAAGCACTGCAAGTAAACAGACAAAGACAACAAAGTGTTGCATTTAGGTCCCTGGTCCTCATGAACTTGTTACACCTTTGCCAATTTGTTAAATTGCCTTGCAAATAAATGCTTTGCTATTTGTTAAAATCCAAATCCTTTCATGTAATGATTTTTCACATGTCATTTATATTCGCTCACACAAACGCACCATTTGTTCTCCTCCGTCAAATTTTACAACCCATTGTGGCCCGCGAGTCAAAAAGTTTGCCGACCCTCCTATAGACCTGTCCTAGGAGGGACATCTGATGGACAACCAAGTACTGCAAACTAGACTATTATGCAGTTGTAGACACAACACAGGGGGACCCTGGGCCTGAGAAGGGAAGAAACGGAGTTTAATATGGCTATTAAATGGGACTAAAACTAGACTAAAACTAATTACATTTTAGTCTAGTTTTAGTCACATTTAATAAGCCATATTAAACTCCTCGTCGACTAAAACTAGACTAAAATATTCTGAGTTATCGTCGACGAAAACTAGACTAAAACTAAGAAGGATTAAAATGACTAAATGTGACTAAAACTAATATGCATTTTTCGTCTAAAGACTAAGACTAAATCAAAAATAGCTTCCAAAATCAACACTGATACGCTGAACTTACTCAGGTGATGGAAGCAGCCGTTAGTTGCGCTGCATTAACCGGCTCGCTGCTCTCCGGTCGGTCGTCTCTTCCCCGTTGTAATACCTGCTTAAACACGAGTGTCTTCCTCCCGTGTTTAACTGGCGCGACGTCACCAACGTCTCTTAAACAATGCGCGCTTCAACCGTCTCCATGGCAATTACGCGCGCCACGCAACGCGCGTCGCGTGTCCACCAGGTGGCGCGGCAGCACCGGCTCACGGAACGAAGCCAGGCCCTGGCTTTCGGCCAGAGAGCGTCTTTAAAAGTCGGGTTCCAACTGCAAACAATTGTTTTTTTTTCTAAAATACGATTCAAAACATCATGAAGGAATTACACATTAAAAAAAAAAAAAAAAGCTAAACTGTCTAGTCAAGTGTACTACTTTGATAATACTGCTGCTGTCATCCATACTACTTTTACTACTAACGTTACTACCACCAGTACTACCAATAAGGAGACGAACAGCAAAAAGGAAAATACTATTGTGATGAAAATTACAACAACAGAAAAACAATAACAGTCGTGTGCGCGTAGTTACCGTGTATTGGGCTGCTCTGGTGCAGACGGTCGGGTTAGTCCTCCGTGTCACAAGTCAAATTGTGAGATTAGTGCGGGTTCGCTGTCATATGATTGAGTTCAGTCGGCCCCTCCCTGGTCCTTCGCTGTCTATCGCAATAACTCAGCTTAAGTTTCGTTTTCAACGCACTGTGTCAGTGTGACGTCACATCTGTTACGCGTGCGCGCTCCGTTCACCGTCGCTTCCTTATTTTGTCGACAAGCTGCCTGCGGTTTGTTTTCTGTACATGAGTCATCAATCTGGATATTGAATCGTGTTATACTATCTATGTTATCTTATTCAATATTTTTGTTTTTTAAGAAAAAAAATGATATTAATTTATCACAGTGCACCTGCTCTCAAAACAAAACTACTTGTTTCAGCTTATTTCATTTTCCTGATACTAACACAGTACTCATCTGTCTTAAACGCCAACTAGAAACATGTCAAAACTACTGCAATTCTTTTTACTCCCGCCAGCATTGTCCTCATGTCTTACGTCTCTATTCATTTATTCTCTCACTTTATTTCCCTCCCTGCCTCAAACTAAGTCAGCCGACGGAGTATATTCACTCTTCAGTTACAACAATCACATTCCTTTCATCCATCACAACAACAGGAGTGCCGCTCCACACCTCATCCACACAAATGTTCAGCTGTGCCCTTCACCGCTTCCCCATCACCACCAGTGTCCATCAGGCAATGTTTCTTCACCGTTCATGGCATCACTACCTCTTTAAAATAAGGACTTTTTCTTCTTCAAACGTTCCTATTGTGCACTGATGACCCTTTGAGTCTTTGTTTAATTCAGTCTTTTTTGTGCTTTTAAGTCAAAATGTCCGCTGTGAAAATAAATACTTCTTATTCCGGTAACTTCTTTTATTTGGATTGTGTAGCTTTTAGTTGCTTTTTCTGTAAAACAGTCCCTTCACCGTTTTGTCATATTATTTAGACTTTAGGTTGTTACTGAGAATGCTACGGGGCAACATGGCCCCTTTGACACCAATGTATATTTCCTTTTAAAAAAAATATCATTTTAATATCACTATAATGTGTACAAAAAAAGTAAACACGTCAGTAAGAAGCACTTATGATATTGATTTAATTGTATTTACTATGGGCCTAAAATCAATGGCTGCTATAAAAGACAGGAAAAAACAATTTAGACACTTAGTTTCAAGAGTCTTCAAGGACACAGTAAAATCAAATGAATAAATAATAAATTACTGTGTACAGTGAAGCCCTTTGAGGCAAATTTGTCATTTCTGATTTTGGGCTGAATTGAATTGCATTCAGTAAATTAATCCTAACATTGGGTTCAGACAATTTTTGTCAGTTGAGTTTTAAGGACCAATAATCCCACATTTTAATGCTGTGTGGTCATGATATGCTCACGGTAAATTAATCAAAAGTCAGACTTTGACACACAGAAGAGAAGAGAACTTCCACTGGCAGTGTGGACAGAACGTCGTCAGGCAGAGAGGTTCTCCTGAAGCTCCTCCTCCCTGCGCACGTCAGCAGCGTGGACTTCCTGCAAAATAAAGTTAGAAACAGTCACATTCATGTGATTCAAAATGAAACCTAAGAACAGAGATGTGGAAAATGAAAGTTAAACCAGTCAGAAAAGTGGAAACACTGCAGATATGTTGAAATCTCCCAGAAATGCAATCATTGCAATAAACAAAGCAGAACAACCCGAAATTAAGAGATGTGTTTTTTGTCACAGCCCGAGCAGGAGCGCTGCAAAAAGACATGTAGGTGTCCTACTTCTGGATCCTTCTGGAGCCGTCTCCCATTCGTCAACCTCTTGCATCCGGACCAGGTGACGGGCGTTACGCAGGTCCAGCTTGGTGAATATGGTTGCCTCACAAATTTGGGGACAAGTGAACAGAGTTTAGACTGATGAGTAAAGTGAGGGGGCGCGGAGCTGAACTGGGCTCATTAAGCAGACCAGTTATTCCAGATAGCTCTGTGTTTGCCTGTTCAAATGTCAATGTGTGTGTGGGCTTTTGTTTGCGGATTTTCAAAATATGTTCTTTAGAACACCATCCCCAGCTGGGACCAGCTCCTCTAAGCACTTCTGGTTCATCGTGCTGAACAGGTTTGCTGAATGTGTCAGGGAGTGCGTGGGAAGGCAGGACTCAAATGCAGAGTTTTAAAACAAAGAGACTTTAATAGTCAAAAGGACAAAGAAAAGCAAAGGCCAACGGGCACAAACACAAACACACAGGAACTGGGTGCAAAGAGGCAGGCAGGACGATTGACAATGACGCGACAAGTGACAGGAGACACACACACCGCTTAAATACACTGGGGAGGTGCAGGTGATTGGACACAGGTGGAAACAATCAGACAATCACAGGGGGTGACAGGACAAGGCAGGAAGTGAAGTTACCCAGGGAGACAAGAGGCAGAAAACTACAAAATAAGACAGGAAATAAAACCACACCGTGACAGAATGTACAGTTGTTGGCATGGTTACTGTGCAATAAAGTAGTTCCACATGCTGTAAATACGTTTATGGGGGTTAGCTTGGCCGCCACCAAAACACATATGGGACCCTATGGAATATATCTAAGGAATATTTTAGATATACATAAATATATACATATATTTTATACATACATATATAAGTGTGTTGGTTGTGCCCTTCCCCTGTCAGGCAGGCTTCAAACCCTTTGCATTGTTTCCTTTATGTGTACCTGCTGCTAAACCGGTTTTATGTTCCTCAAAAATCAGTCGGAGGGGATGTTGCATTAGAAAGACGGCACTTCCTAGAAAGATAAGCTGGATAGAACCCTCTCCTCTACAGTGGTGTCATGAACACACATTGTGGTTGAACTTTGCTGTGAGGTGAAGAGGGTGACGGCCAAGCTAAGTCTCATAAAAGTTTATTGTACAGCCACCATGCCAACAACTGTACATTGAGGAAACCTGTTCAGCACGATGAACCAGAACCGTTGTTCTGGCTGCAGCGAGTGACTCACAAATTGAGACAGACTGACTGAAGATCTCGACACTATTTGGGAGGACCCAACATTCCTCTATAATTTGTACGTCCAGTCAGGTTTACAACCCAGAAAAATGCATTGTTATGGAAAAAGACTGTACCAGCAGCACCTCCTCACGTGGTGCATGTGAACATGTGACAACGTAGATACGTGCCAATGTGTGATCGTGCACGATTGTGTACGGTTACAATCAAATATACATCTCATGTTGTTGTATTTTTGTCCTTCACTGCACTTTGCAGGTGCAGGCTACAACAGGTCTTCTTTCTACTTCCACAAGCTCTGCAGAAGGCCGTCCTCGTTGACAGCGACCTTGGCAGAGACCTTTTTGTGGGGGAGGCTTATCTGCTGTTGCCATGGAATCGACCCGGCCATCTCAGCCGAACTTAAGAATGAAGACTAAACTAATGCTAAACCGAGCAGATGCAGACTACATAGTGAATCACACATTACTTTATCTATTCTCAATGTTTTTGAGCGTCTTGATTTACTGACTTCATTTATGCCGGCAGCTCCTTTAATCCAAACGTTATACAGAATTACAAACACCGAAAACGTCGCATCAGAGTTGTTGATTCAGGATCATCTACGTTTGAGCTTGCCACCTCTTGGCAGGCTGCAAATGATTGGGTCAAAGGTCAGAGGCAGTGACAACACCACTGTGAGAAAAAGCATCATAGAGGATTATAGAGGAAACAGCCAATGAATGAGAAACAAAAAAGACATGTGAAAAAAAAAATGACCAAAGAAATTGAATCCACTCCTTCCAAGAATTTGGATTCATTTATGTATTCATTATATTTTGGGGATTTCACACAGGCCGCTGCTCCGCGCCAAGAGTTTTGTTCATAAATGAAGCCGAGCAGAAGTTCTCCATAAGCTAATCGCGTTGTTGGTGCCAATAGATAAAAAAGTGAAGCCAAACACGAGTTCAGCACCTGAATCGTCACATATACGCTTAGTCGACAGAGATACAGTAGATGTTCAGTGACCCGTCTTGTGCTCCACTCAAAGTGGGAAGTTATACCGGTGCTAACCGGTTTATTATACGTCTGACGTCATCCCGATAGCTGCAACTTTCCACTGCCGTTTGAGGCCAGTCGTAAGGTAACAGGAGCCAACAGCACAACGGAAACATGAGCTCTGATGTCTGAGGCTTTTTATTGCGAGAAGTTGTTATTTTTAGCAAGATTATGAATTATTAACAGTTACGTGAAAATCCATTTCTATGTCCTGAACCAAGAACAATTTTTGTTTTTTTCCAAGTCACTGAGCAGCGGGACCCAATATCGGATCATTATTGAGTGAACTGGTTCAAAATTCTAGACTCAGTCAGCTGACGCTGTACGATGTTAAGCAGTCTCAGTGTCTAGCCCTGCAGCGAAGCATCAGCTATTTAAAAGTAAAACAGAATCAACTAGTTTCACAGCTGTGGCTACTACATTCCTTTATATTGAGATCATCACAAGCAACCGTCATAATCAGGGCCCGACCCAACCGGTTCCCTAACTGCCAAAAAGGAAGAAAGGCATCCGAAGGTTTCCGCATGGAGCCCCAACCATCACAGTGGGATTGGCAGCGTATTTTAAAAGAAGGGTCCGTCTTTGAACGTCAACTGACCAGTGGCTAAGCCCCGCCCCCGGCTGCTGCTCCATCCACCTGTCACACCTGCATGGAGCCCACGCTGTCACGAACTGCCACCACTGACAAAGTATGCATTGTAGAAAGGCAAAAGCTATTTAGGATCCCACAGAAGTATCGACGTCTTGCATCTGAATATCAACTGGTTAAAATGAATGAAGCTTCGGATCACAGAATAAAAGTGAAGCACCGAAACGCGTTTTTTTAAAATAAAGTCTCTTTCCGACCTCTCTTGGTGCCTCGTGTCACTGTTACACAGCACTCCAAACCCGCTAAACCAGCCTGAACATGGAGAACATCTAAAATAGTTGATGAAAGTCAGTGGACGCTTACCTGAGCTGCCTTGCTGGGATTGGCCAGTGTTTGTCCGAGGGGCGGGACATGGTTACGGGTTGACTGTGCGGCGGGAGAAGGCCGGACCCTGTTGTTGTGCAACACACACACTTGAGTAATCACGGCGTCGTATTTAAAGTCGGATTCGTTTCAGAGATGGAATGTGACAATCTGTTGGTTGTGTCTAACCCCGAGCGGACAAACCAAACAGTGGCTCGCCGCTGAAGGCCGCCGCGTCCTTCCAAACCTGCTTATTACGCAGGATGGGTTTACGGTTTCATCCGCTCCCTGTTTGATCAGCGTTTCACTCTTGCCTCGGTTTGCCTTGCTTAGTCGGGCCTCGCTGTGGAGCTTCCTTTGGTTTAATTGTCTGATAATGCTCTTTGTAAGCTCTGTGTTACGCATCTGCACCCGGCAGGCTCAAGTTACCGCAGCCGGGCAACCAAAGCCACCACATACCGTCGTGAGCCATGAAAAGGAAATTAAATACATTTGTTATGTTACTAACATCACAGTATGGTCATATATTTGTTTAAAGCAGTAAAGCGTCAATTTTGAAATTAAATCTTTATTCATTCATTCTAATATTATCTGTTTTTTTACAGATGTAGGTCCTCATGTGACCCAGCAGGAGATTTGCCTGGTCGCTCTTTGCACCTGCAAAGCAACACCCACATGACTTTGTCTTCCTGTGTGTCTCTGTGTCTGTCTGCGGGTGTGTGGTTAAGATGCAGCATGTTTTGGAACTGTGACCTGATAAACCTTAAATAAAAGCCACTAACAGGCCCAGTTGGTGTCACCAGGGTCACATAAACCCAGAGCAAAGTCACTGTCATCCTGCAGGCCAAGCAGACTCCAGAGGGTTCCTGTTAAATAAATCATTTCACTGCATTTAAATTGAATGAGGCTCCATAACAACTTGTTTCTGCCTCTTCACCAAAATAAATGAGGTGACGCTAATTAACGCAAACACCTCGCAGTAGACTCACATTGCACACGTGAACATTGATTCAGTCCTGGCATCTACTCGTGCAACATTTAATGTTGAAACCTGAGCGCTCAGCAGTCAGCGGGGACGGTTCATTTCGCTACACGTGTTTGTAAGATAGAAGCATCCGCCGTGTCCAAAGTGCTGAGTAACTCTCACATGCTCAATCTAGTCCTGCACGCAGCGGATCTGTTTGTTTAGGGAACCTTGACCTGTCCGCTTGCAGGCCACGTTCAGAGAGCCTTCAACTAAAGAGGTGAGTCAAGATGTAACGTGTGACATCGGCCATGAGTTTGATGCCTTTATTCATCTGCCTCTCATTCTAATTCTGCTAATGGTGTGTGTGTGTGTGTGTGCGTGTGTGTGTGTGTGCGTGTGCATCAGAGAGGCTTTCCAGGTGCACACACAAAAGGAGACATCTGTGAGACAAGGAGCAGGGCGTTGACGGGCCAGCGAGCCAGAGAGCACCCAGTGCTTCATTCATTATTCAGGAGTTTGGGGCAAAGGGGGCATCTGTCAGACGGCCGTGGCTCATTCAGGGCAAAGGAAAAAAGATCAAAGTGTCTGGTTCTGTGCGGAGATGCTTCCTCGGATGTACGGAAGCGTGTGGAGCCAAATAATCACTGTTATGACACCAGGCAGAAGCACCGATAACCTCGCCGTGTCAAAGTAAGTCATAAGGCTGACGGTGGTAATACGTCTCAGCTACATGCGGACCTGTTAGATCAGATGGAGAAGAAGTCCAGCAATCCAAAGCGTCTTGTAATACACTCACCTGGCAAAAAGAAGTTTAAAAATAAGAAGAATAAAAAACCCTCCGTTCAGAACTAACGATCAGTAACTATCACCATTCAAATCAATGTCGCAGTTTACTGTTGCCGTGGCGATGTGGTCCGACTTCTCTGTGTCACTGAGGTGAGCTTCATCCACACAATCTCATCACAATGTATGGAAGCCATCACCAAATAAGTGACTGTTTGACATTTTCTGTAACCAGTGGAACATTGGACAGGAAACAGTTGAATTTATTTTTATTTATTTTTTGAACATGAATAAAAGGGAAAAAAAATGTTACTTCTTGTACACACAAAGAAAATACAAATTATTTAAAAAAAATAGAACAACAAAGAGCTAAGACACAACAGAAAAAAGAAAACTGTTCCAAAAAAAAGGAGTGGGAAGAAGCATGACACTTATTTGATGTCCCGCCCCTTTTCAACTGCTCGTCAGCCTGTACCCACCCAGAATACTACATAATACACCTACATACCACGCATACACTTCACAAATATCCAATGACAAAAACAAACATAGACCACATGCATATCCCTGCAAACATACCTATAACATGTATACATATATATATTTATATACATATACATACTTACTCTAAGAATAATAACATTTATTTAATAATAATAATATACCATATACATTATATATGTTCAACATCTGCTCTATTTTTAATTGACAGAGTACATTTAGATATGGATACAAGGATGAATGCTGACCTGCTCCTTTAGTCTAGACTGAAATATGAAAAATGTTATACATTAAAATCAATCCAGCAGATAACTCCAATTTGTTGGTAAATGGTAGTTGAGTGGTGTGTGTGAAACGCATGTTTGTTTAACTTTACAGGGACCATCTGTGTCTCTGGGTCGTCCATCCATCAGCAGGTTGATCTGCTGTTCCGCACGTCGACGGTTCGGACCTGTGTGGAAGGAGCACTCAGTACCAGGAACACTTTGTGTGGAGGACGCGGGGCTCAAACAAACACACAACTCTTATTTGCATCTGCTTATACAAGAAAACACTTCACCTTTAAGAAACAAGCACATGACTTTGACCCCGGGGCCCAGCGTTCATGACCCCATAGGATACCTACACTTTATTACTGTTATCACTTTGCTAAAACCAGATGAATGTTTTATTTACCACAAGTACTAAATACAGCAGATCATGCATGTTGACAGAATGCTGTTGCATGTTGACAGAATGCTGTGACCATCATCCCAGTGTCCCACTTGGTCCTCCTCTACTTATGAAGTCACCAGGGTGTTATTAGTAAAACGCGTCGTTCATCACCAGCCTCAGAGGGCGTCGTGTTGTGTTTTGCTCTACATGAGTCATCTGTAGTGACTCGCTCCTGCAAAGCGCTGCTCTACAAACCTGCTGCTTCCAGGAGGACGTGGGACTGTGGAAGAAAACCTCAGCTGCCATGACCATTACACCGATACTCACGGACCCTCTTCCCCCCGCCTCATCGAATAGACCTGCACATACGAACAGGAAGGAAACGTGTCTGGAAGTAGTTTCAACCAGGTGAGATGTCGCCAATAATTCTGTGATGTGCATTTTATTAGTAGGATTTCTGAGGGAACAAACGAACTAGTCTTTAAGTGAGGATTAAATCCAATAACCACAACAAATGAATTAAATCATACGATCTCAGAGCTGTCTCTTTAGGTTTTAGTGCGTTCATGCTGCTGTTACGCATCCATCCTCATCCTCATCCTCATCTTGTCTCTCCTTATTGAAGTAGTGTTGTTGCCAAAAGTGCCACAAAATATAGATAAGACATTTTGAGGGATGAGAAGCCGGGGAGGAGGCAGAGAAGAGGCTTTGCAGGGAGGGTCTCGGGGGTCAAAGGTCCCGAGCATGAGGCATAGGTGAGTTCTTGTGAGTGGATCAATATTATTGACTATACTGATATTATATGGAATAATAAGCAGTGACCATGAAGAACAACTGCTGGGGTTCAAATATTATTGTGAGTTCATCCAGTGTTCACGTCTGTCCCTCAGGTGGATTATTGCAGTTATGGTGATGCTGATTAATCACACAGAGGGACAGACGTGGGACACAGAAGCGAGACGCTTTGAGCAGCATGACGCGTCTCCATTACGATACGGAAACAAGACCTCCGCTGTGGGACTAATCAAGTAATAACTCTCACTTTGCCTAAACGCAATAAACAGGAGTTACAGTTGGTTCTAATTTGTATATATGAGGCGTCTCCTAAATACGTTTGAGAGGACAAACAACATGAACTTTGTGTGGAAGTGAGGAACGAGAGACAGACGTTTAGATGCAAAAGCCATCAGGCTGATGTCTACGTCCTGCTTGAAACTCAAAGCATTACTGACTTGATGTGAGATACAGAACTGCACGAAAACTCTGAGAACGTTTCACCGTTGTCAGTGTTAGTTGGACGGCGGAGAGCCGGTGCCGTCCCGCCCAGAGACACGCCGTGTTAATATTTATAATCCGGTGGTGGCCCACAGCGTTTACCAAGCAGCTGCTGTTGTCTCCTGCGATGGAGGCAGCGGCTGCGTCTCATAACCGGCTTGACCTCCAGGCTTTCGTTTTGGACTTTTTAAGTCAAACGTCAATGCAGAGCTGTTCCGACACACAGAAAGCGAATATTACGAGGAAGCAGTGCGATTGCATTCCACAGGTTTTATCCATTAGCTAAAGCCGCTAACCCTTTACAAGGAGCAGCCTATCAGGCCCCCTGCTGGTTCTCAGAGGGGATCAGCGCTGCGGGTCACAGCTTCCTGTGGTGCCCCGTCCCTGATTCGTGTCACCGTGACCCTCTTTATTCTCCACCTTGAATCAAAACATGAAAATGTGTCTTTGAAATTAGAAGTTTATTATCTTCACGTTACCCTGCTGGTGTAAAGTGATGCAGCCAACGATAAGGGACCAAGGCGCTCGCGTAGGAGCCCCAAGGAGTTCAATTGTCTTGAGTACAATAGAGAAACACAAAAGTTAGAGTGTAAAAGGAAAGGTTTTTCTCTCCTACATGTAGAGTTGGGAAAAAACAGTTTGAGCTCACATTTGGATTTTAACTCTCCACACAACACAGCTGTCAAAATAAAAGTCATGAAAGAATGTCAGAAGCTCCTCCCACTCAAGTTATTTCTTCTGATTTATCCATCATGACGTTATTGTGAAGCTAAAAACCTGGTGAATAACTAACACAAGAAAGTAGAGTAGTGGACGTTCCTCAGTCCGAGGGGGGAAGTGTGCAGATTGTTCCCGTTTTATCTGACATATTTCAGTTACATTGGCGTCGACCAGCAATCACACATTTTCCCATCTCCATAAATACTTTTGATCGGTGTTGAATCCCTTTAACAACGACTACAACGCAGTGTTACCCTGCTTTTCACACAGTTCACAGCTCATAAACTCAACGGCAGCATGGATCCTCCCAAACAGTGGACGTTGTCCCTGGGAGGGGAGGGGGGGGGAAGACCGCGAGTGTTGACAGACCATCTCCAAGCCACGCCCCTTTTCTGTAGTCGCCATAGAAATGATAAAGTAGTAGAACGGACGTCAACGGGGCGGCCGACTTCCACACAAGCGGAGGTGTGGGTGTTCAGCTCTCTGTTGGCCCAGTCAAATGAGCACAGATAAGATACTGTGTTCTAAGTGGCCCAGCAGGAGGCATGAGGTGACGAAACTGTTTAACATATTCAAAGAAAGGGCACGTGCACAACACCTACAGTATCACTGTTGGTTCATATTGCTTTACACAAGGTGTGTAGGGTGGAAATTTGAGGTAAATATTGTTCAGCGAGTCTGATCCTGAGCGGCTTGTGTATTTCAGCGGCGACAGGTCGCGCGTCCACGCCCGTCCGGAGACAGAGGAAGTCAAGAGACTCGGCAAACGGCCCAGTCGAAGCCCACCTGAAATGATGCTTCGTGATCGACAGAACTAAAAAGGTCAACTGAAAGCTGAAATACAAACTGTTCAAAGTCACAGCAAAACACGAGGAGCGGGCGGAGAGAGCACCGCCTCCAGGGTTCACGCGGAATGTCCTCCAGGAGAGTCCCTCAGTCCAAAGTGGGCGGCTTCCTACGTGATGTCCTTCTGCCGGGGGGGTCGGTGGATGTTCCGGACCACACACTTCACCATCCACTCGATGCCTTCGTTCACCCCATCCCTGTTTCCAAACAGAAGGCACTCACTACTTTGTTCTTCTGTCCAACTACTCAAGAAGTGCGTTTTCCACAGTGAGGCCTCAGGGCTGGTGGGTGTGGTGGAGTGTGTGTCTGTGTGTGTGTGTGTGTGTGTGTACAGTGGTGTGTGCACAGCTGTCAGTTCGGTGAAGCTGATAAAGAAGAACGAGCTGCGTGTGTTGTTCTCCTACCAACTGCCCCGTCAAAATCAGACAACAGTGTTATAAATAAATTCTGTAAATATAAATACCCATGGCTCACCCGTTTAAATCTCCATATTGACGCAGAAAAAGGTTTGATTGACATGTCTGCAATCAGAGTCAAATGTTCTGAAGTGGAGCAATTTCAATGTACAAATCTAGGCCTTTTATTGTGAAGTACCTCCATGTTGATATAGTTGGATTTGATTTCCCACATCCCTTTAACGTTAGCTTTGCTCACTTAGCAGGTGTATAATGTGACGATTTCTAGCTCAGCTGTTAAGCAGAGAGCAAAAAGAAGAGGGACTCAGGAAGGACCCGTTTATGTGAGTACGTTCCATCACGGGTTACGACTGACGGGACACACTCGCCGTTCCATTCAGCGCCGCCGCAGTCTTACCCGGTCAGGGCGGTGCAAGGCTGGACCAGACAATCCCTCTTTCCGATCTTCGGGGCCGAGTCACTGAAGGCTGTTTTAATGTCCGGCACGGACAAACAATCCTGGGAGCGCAGAGCGGAAAGTGGAAAACAAGAATTATTTCATAAGGTGGCCCGGACGCCTTCTATTTGTCTGTACGACGAACAGCTCGAAACCTTAAGATTTGACATTACGATGAAATAAAAGTGCAATAAGCAGCAAGTGGCCGGTGGTTTAGGTTTAAAATGAGTCCGTAATAAGCTGAAGAGGTATAAAGATCACACAGTACCGGCACATCCTGTTTGTTGGCCAGCACGAGGAGCGGGACACCGTCTAACATCTCGCTGCTGATCATTTTCTCTGCAGACACACAGTCACAATTAGCAAAACATGTCACACGGTGAACCACAGTCATCTGCTCTCCAACACCGCAGTCGGCCTGTCAGCCATGATACTCCGTTACTCACCGAAGGCCTCCTTGGATTCGGACAGGCGCTCCTCATCCGTGGAATCGATCACGTAGATGACGCCATGGGACTCGGCGTAGTACTAGAGGTCAACAAGGAGGTGTCAGAGCAGCTTCCTCACATCTTCTCTGCTACGTGGATCTTAATGCCCAAAGACCTCTTGCGGGTTGCAGGGATTAACAAGTATTTAAAAAAACTACTCATTGGTACAAAAGGGGAATAAGCAGCAGCAAAAACAAAAGTTACAATATCAGCATTGTCTCTGTGCCGAGCCGCTACTCAGCACTTTAGTATCGGGCCAGAACTTCACGATAGGTGCATCACAAGTTAAAGAAGAGGTGGCTCCTCATTTCACACGTGAACAATGACATCCTGCTCTCAAACAAATAGTGATGACTGAACATAATCCAGAGTCTTTGATCTGGGTCCGGACTCTTACGCGGTAACAAAGGCACATTCCCATATATCCGTCACAAAGTAATGCTATCAGTGCATATTTCCTCCACCCTGATTCATCCATAACTCACTTTGTCCCACAGAGACTGCAGCTCGTCCTGACCCCCCAGGTCCCAGAACATGAGACGAGCTTTGCCCACATCGATAGTGCCAACTGTGAAGGAGAGCGAGACATGAATGACAACTGTAGAGCTACACTGTAGAGCAGCGGGGCAGATCACACACACGCTGTGAGTTATAAGACGTATCAGATGGTTCCAGAGTGGAGAAGTAGAATGAAAAACATCTGGACTGAGTTTGCCAGAAAGCAGCAACACAACAAGAAAATCAAGGCGAAATGCCAATTAACGCTCAGTTCATCAAGAATAAATAAAAAGCACCACGGAAGAAGAGGAGCGTGCATGAAAGGCATTTGATTTCACATTGCGCAGCACTAAGATGAGGTGGTTAAACGAACGCCAGTCGGACATCACGCAGTGAAAAACAATGTTGAAACGGCTCTCGTGTGTCGGTGTGAGAAATCTGTGTGGAGCCGTGAGACGCTTTTCACTGATTTTCCACTGAAGCGTTTCATGCATGAATTGAAATTGCGCATAAAAGCAGGTGAAGGGCAGCAGAACTATTGTGCACTCAGCTAATAAAGTACACAAACACCTGTACTGGTTCAGAGGAAGCAAGCACAACTTAAGACGTGAGAATAATTTACTTACTGTTCAGGCCAACGGTGGTTGTGATCTTTGATAAATTCATGCCCTTATAGTTCCTACTGAATTTGGTTTTGGTTTGCTCCAAAAAGGTCTGTGAAGAGACAAAGCAGTGAGATGAATACAGATTTTATATTGCATAGCTCACATGAGAGGGGCTGACATCACACAGCAGGAAGCCGGGGTTTAAACACCACCACAATCAAAAACGGAATCATAGTTGTCCTTTGTAAAAACAGGAGTTCAATAGCCATTAATTTGATGCATAAACATTATGGTTTAGTTTTTTTTGTAATTATGTAATTATCATTCTATAAGAAACATTTTGTCACATATATTTATTGTGTGTTCAAAAAAAAAGTTCTGAAATGATTTTTTATTTACATCACAAATAAATGTTTTTTTTAACAGGGGTGTGTAGACTTTCTATATCCACTATATCTCATCATTTTCTGTGCACACATTGTAAATGATTTTTATCAATGTGCACTGTCCCGTATCAAGTAAACCAATGAAATAAATGCGACAGATCTTTTCTCCGTCGCTCCTCCTTTGTTTCTCTCCAACAAAAGGGGTTTTCGTGTATTGGAGGTGAGGACCTCCGGACAGATGGTAAAGCCCTCTGCAGAGAAACGATGATTTGTGATTTGGGGTCCCTTTAAGTTCCCTTTTATCTTTAGTGTTCATGTCAGACCGACTGTGGTGTCAATTTATCTTGTTTGCTTTGACAAATTATTTTGTTTACGTTGATATGAATGTATACTTCAAGGCCCATATAACCGGCTTTCACATTAATAACAATAATTTTACGGAATAAAATGTAAAAGTATTATAAAACTCAATCAGTTGATGACGCGCAACAGTGCGCGATGCAAACATCCCATTGGCTCTCCGTGCAGGAAGCGGTGCGATGACGACTTCCGGTTTGGCCTCCAAAAAATGCGTCATCCCAGCAGCGCTCGGTGCGTCCTGTTCGTACGCCGGTATCTAAATGCTAAATCCGTAGAATGCGACCGGCGTGGTGCATTCTCGTTCTTCGCAGACGACGGTTCTCTTAGTCTCCTCACGCAACAAGCAACACACGCCAAATGACGACGAAAGCACCACAACACACACGGCGTCGTTGACACAATTGTGTCACAATGTTGCCGGAGGGGACGATGGAGATGACTTTAACTTAAATCAAATTATAAAGTCATTTACCGTTTTCCCAGCGTTGTCCAGTCCCAGGATCAAAACACAGTATTCCTCCTTCTGGAACATGTACTTATATAATCCAGATAATAAAGTATACATCTTGGAAAAAAAATCTGTTAACTCCACGATTCCTCGCTAACTAGTTATGCCGAGAGTAGCTCGACAGCGTAGCTTATGCTACACGGGCCACACGCTGCTTCATAGCGACCAACGACCATAAATACATCAAAAGAGTCCGTACAAGTGGTGGTTTGTCACTAGTTTGCTGCTCTCAAGCGCTCTCTGAGAAGCGATGCTACGTGTTCTCTAACCAGGAAGTGCGGCCGAAGGCATTGTGGGAAATGAAGTACAGAGCGTCTCGGTGGACACTGCGGTGAAGGGGCGGTACGTTCACGTAAAACCGCAATTCCCAGCAAGCGCTCCGGTGTTTGCTTTTAGGAGCGTAAAGGACTGGCGTCATCGCGTTAAAGTTAAAATGTACCCTATTAACGCCAAAGTTGATCATGAAACATTTGAATTAACAAAAATTAATGAAAATATAGAATTTGTTGCATAATGGTGAATGTAGGGTCATTCTATGGATTTGATTTACACCATTCTTTCTCTGCCACTGTTTGTTGACATTACAAATAGTTCTTTGCTGCTATATTAATGCTCTGAATGTCGTTCAGAAAACCTTTCAATAATGGATGTAACCAAAACTGAATAAGTAACATGGGAAAAAAGATACAAAGCATCCACGTCATCTACCATCATGTAATCATTGCTTACTGCAGTTTAGCAGGTTGTTATTGCACTTACAGAGTAATCAATACAAACCCTGGTCAATAAAAAAACACGTCAAATCTCGACAGATACTGCAATCACACAGCTCAGTATAGTAACAGTAGTAGCGGCTGATAGTATAAAATGTGCTGGTGGTCATCCACAGTAAGCGATCTGTGGTCACTGTTGTTCCAAAGGCTGACAGGCTGACAAATGTACAAAAAAATGAACCGAACTATAACTGTTGATAACATGTATTCTGTTCAGTCCAATACAAACGATAGGTTCAAACAAATGACCATGGTCTGTTAAAATTAAACAAAAATCTTAAAAGATACGAAGGACGATGGTGTTGGCCTGTGCATAGCAGAGGGAACGAGGAACTGGCTCCTTCAGGAAGAACCTTCAGAGAGATGTTTGTATAATAGCGCCATCGTGTGAGTGAAGTGATTACTAGTAACTGATAGTTTAGAATGTATAAGAATACAATTCTTTAGTTCTGATAGATTATTGTTAGATAGATTATTCTGTAGCTTGTGCACAAATAATAAACAGACGCCCATCGAAAAGTTCAAAGAGCCAAAAACAACTTGATAAGATTGCTCACAAAACACAATGAAATAACAGTTAGTGATGCGAAACAGACTAGTAGAGGTTGTACTTGCGCCAGCTGAGAAAGTACAACCTGCCTGATACTTCTACTCCGCCATCATCCAGTCTGTCCTCTGTTCTTCCATCACTGTGTGGTTTGGATCGGCCACCAAACAGGACAGAGCCAGACTGCAATGTACTGTCAGGCCTGCAGACAGAACCTCTGGTTCCAGCCTGCCCTCCATCCTGGACTTGTACACCTCCAGAGTCAGTAAACGGGCTGGAAAGATCACTGCAGACCTTCACAGCCTGGACACGAGCTGTTCCAACTCCTGCCCTCTGGGAGGCGCTAGAGAGCAGCGCACGGCAAACCAACCACAGGAGCAGCTGCCTTCCACGGGCCGTCCCTCTGATGAACAATTAACCAGACACCTTCATCTGCACCACTTATTTTATATTGTACATTCCAGTAAATGTTGTGTTCTATTTAGTTGTTTTTTCATATTTTTTATATGTCTGTTGTTTAGTTGCACATCTATGTACGATGTAGAACAGAGTGTAACAGGGGACAAATTCCACGTATGTGTAAACAGACACGTCCAATAAGGCCGATTCTGATTGTGACTCTGGACTTGAGAACGAGCTGTGCCTCTACGGCCAGTCTCACCACAGGGGGGCCAACTGATATCATTGCACTCATACTCCGTGTTCTCGTGAGCGTGAAGCAGTTACAAGCTAAGTGCTGATTAATGGACTCATGAAGAGTGCTCGTGTTTGTTTGCTCATATCTCCAACCTCAATAAACTCAAATCAAGAAGTTGACGTCATTCCTGATGCCCGGAGGTTACCCTTGACTCCCGCCCGTCATAGTGAACAGATCTGATTCACCATCACAGGTAGTTAAGGCCTTTGCATAGCCTGACAGGCTGTTGCACGGACCACAAGTACGTACGCAGAGTCGCACTTTGAGCCTTTTGTTTCATGGTTTGTCGCTCAAACGGCCCTATTTGGGCAAAAGGAAAGAGTTCAGACAATGTTCTCTTTAAATGCTTATTACGTATTCAAGTTCCTCCACAAACATCTGTCGAGTGATTCGGTGACCCTTGCTATGGCAAAGAAAAACTCACAGTTATAAATGACGTCTTCGTTATCAAGTCCCCTAAACAAAGTCTGCTGGATTGCAGTCATTGTGTGAGTCCGGGTGCAAAGTTCTCTCCCTGCATCACCTTTCTCACATGCTACTGACGCCGGCATTGTCGCTTTGAAGGGGAGTATTTCAGGGAGAAGCAGAGATCCACATGTGACCACGGGCCACAACAAGGCCCGGACGGGTTTCAATTTATGGACTTATTGGACTTCTTCTTGCTCCACATCAAAGCCTGCGGATGATAAGGCTACACGTGTGGAGTTATTGAGAACAAGGGCTAAAGTCAGAGTAGGATTTTACTATTTTTTCAAATTAGTATTTAAGGTCCTTATCTTGGTCTCATATTTCAGGAACCCCAAAAGTGAATATGTTAAAGAAAAAAAACAATCCAAAGAAAGTTAGTGTACTCTGTCCTAACAACAGGTCGCAGCAGTTTTCTCCAGTTATTGCTAAACGTGTGCAGCAATACCTGGAGAAAAAGTAAAGCGCCTCGTGAATTCTGTGAATCCTCATGTTCTGTGACCATGGAAATGGACGTTCCCCTTCAAACCACTGCGGCGGCCACTTTAATGTGTAGCAATGCCGTCGCAACGGTTTCCTGTGTTTTATAAACCATAGCACAGGAAAGCAAACTGCTGTTGCATTTGTTCGGCAAATACTTTTTGAAGTTGAAGTGAAGAAAATCTGTCTTTGTGTTCTGTGGGTGTTTAGATCTTTAGAGTCCAGCTGTGCGCTTGTATGTCCACTTATGGCTGCGCATTCCTTACCTATGTAAATCTCGAACTAGAAGGATGATTTGGTGACACTTTGTCATTTCATCTAAGGTTAGATTAGCTCCTCCAGCTCCTTTGCAGGTAATAATTGCTCTTCTGCCATGTCTCAGTATATAAAGGCCAACTGTGTGACGCGATGGGAGCGGAGATGATGTGAGGTATCACAAAGCCAACGATGTGACATTTCTTGTCACATTTACCGATTCTTGTTTCATTTGATAATATGAGCCTTCCACAGCTGTTTGACTTAATATGACACGACAAAATGCATTTCAGAAGAAGGTGATCAAATAAAATATGTATTTATATATGTCAAAATGTGTTTTCACTCAGCAAGGTAAGAATTCATACTGTCACCAGTGGTAAAAACATGACACATCCCTCCAACTATACCGTCTGATAACATGTAGGTTTAAAACACAAATATGAGGAAAGTACTACATTTGAACGACTACATAACTTGAAAAAAAACAACATTTAGTCATTTAGGCAAATGATCGTGTACACAGAGGATGCAATAGAAGCGTGACAGGGGATTTAATGGCTGACTTTTGCATCAGTTGTATCACACGGTGTCTCCGCTCAGGGCTCAGGGCCACGTGCAGCACTTGCAGCTGGTGCTGAAGACGGTTCCGCTGCCGCAGCGGCTCAAGTGGGTGATGCCACCGGCGCACGAGTAGAAGCTGGTCCTGTCCTCGGGGTGGGGGTAAAGGCCGTCAGGTCTGCCGTTGCAGAAGCCGGGTCCTGGAGCGTGGGTGGTGGTGGTAGTGGTGGTGGTGGTGGTTGGAGGCGGGAGGGTGCTGGCACCTGGTTTGGGGGTCGTGGTAGTGGGCAGAACGGGCAGTTCTAATGGTAGAGGAGAAGGAAGGGGTTTGAAGCGAACAAAAAGACAACAACAACACACTCAATGTGAATGTTTAACATGGTGACCAAATGGAATTGATCCCTTGGGGATAATAGGGCAAACGTTACATACCGATATTGAGAAGTTTGCGGAGATGACTCATCAGAGGATGTTTACCCTCACCACAGAACTGTCCTGCAAAGTCATCCAAATCGAGGGCCCACACAAAGGCACCCCCAAACTTCTCCTCCTGCAAATAACGCACCTGTTGGGGCAAAAATAAAAAAGAAACAGGTGTAAATACTTTTTATTTGCTAGGAAGTAGTTCGGCGAATCAGCTAGGAATTGCCTACCTTGGTCTCATAGCTCTCCCTGTTGTCAAATCCAACCCACTCATTGTTCTTGGTGGCGTAGGGAACCTTCTGGTCATCGATCCACTGAACAGTGGTGCCCTTCAGGAACCCACAGATCTAGACGATGGACGTCATGGGGTTTGTGATGATGTGTGTAACCGATATACTGCACAACATGTAAAGCATTATATGAACTATACCTCGTAGTAGGACCAAAATCCCGCTTCACGTGTGAACGGTCCGGCTGATGCAGGACCGTTAGCTGGGGCTCCAACACCAGTGCTTGATGATGTCAGACGGAAGGTGCGACCATAAGTAGCAAATCCCATCCTGAGCTTCTCCAGTGGGGCGCCGTTGTCTCTCCAGTACTTCATGGCATAGTTCTAAAAAAGTTGATGGAAGAGCCAAAGTAATAGTAATATTATTAGTACCAAAGGCCGGGTACCCCTAGGTTCATGCGTCTCCTCTTACCAATGTCAACTTACCGTGTTGAAGTAGATAAGATCACCATTGTCCTCGGATCCACGGAACAGTGGGCTGTTGTGTCCAGTGAACGTCTCCCAAGTTCCATGAAAGTCATACGTCATCACATTGATAAATTCCAGTTCCCTGGAGATGGAGGGAAGGAAATGTTGATTGATTTTCTCTTGATGGAAGAGCCAAAGTGATGCTAATATTCACAGGACCAAAGAGCAGGCGTCCCTACGTTCACTCATCTTCTGTTGATCCATAAAAGAAAGCGAACTCACTTGGCGATCTCAGCGATCTCGAATCCAGCATCAATGGTCGCCTTTCCAGCCGGCACTGCGGCAGTCACCATGAGCTGAGCCTTTCCGGTGGCCTTGGCCTCGGCT